GAGCTTTCGGGGACACTGTAGGTCTTCGCAGCACGTAATACACTTAATTTGCCGCCTGCAGCGCGTGTCGATCGAATCGCCTCAATGGCAAGGATGATTTTCTCTTCTTGTGTGTAAACCGGCAATGTGGTCGTGGAGTTGTTACGCGTCAAAGGCTTAAGTGGTTGGGTGCCGACCGCGTTTGGGAAAAAGCTCGCCGCTGACTGGTAAACCACGTTATATAGATCAAAGGATACATTGAAACTAGTGAGTTTGCTTTTATTGTGTTGTCACTACTTAGGGCCACCAGACATGTACGCAGGGTAGCCCATGAACCGTTTCACCTATACCGATGATCTACCACGTACGAACAGTTGTTTCCATGTGCGAGACAATGTTGTCAAAACAGAATGTACTTATGCAAGCATTGGCCTGGGCCGTTTATGTGTAAAGACAGAATGTAATTTATACTGTAGAAGCTAATGCAGGTCGTTGTCAAAATATCCAAGGCTTTCCACTCAACGTTAGATCAAGGCAATCCATCAGCCAGCCGCTTTGTCGTTCAGGTGCGGCCAGACCACCCGCCGCTCTGAGATCGCGCGAGAGGGGTGAGCAGGGTGATCCGGCCTCCAGGCATCTTTTGCAGCGTCCAAATGCCTTCCATTATCCTAGCCGCCCGACGCCCGAGTGGGTCGGTTAGATCTAGCAGCTGATGGAGCCCCATTGGTTCTTGGTTGCGCTGTACCAGACCGTGTTCACAATACCGGCGGTGCAGCCGGAGCTGCCAGTAAATTGCCAAACCATCTCGCCGTCATATTCGCCGCAAAGGGTGGAAGTCTTGCCACAGGCGCCGTAGCCGTTCAGGTTGTCCCACAGGCCGCCACACTTTCCGGGGATGTCGACGACGCCGGTAGCCCGCACTTGCCAGATGGGGATGGCTGTGTTGCCGAGGTTTTTGCAGGAGGCCGCGGAGGCCAGGGGCGTCATCGCCGCGACGATCAAGGCAGCTGCGGTGGTGTAATGCATTGTGATGTTGGGGGTTTTGGCGTATTGAGTTGAGGAGCTCGAGAAGTGGAAGTTGTGAGGTGAGATGATGAGGATTGCTTGTTGTGCGATGAAGTTGAGGTGAGTGAGAAGGGTGAGATGAGAGTCGAGAGAGGCAGAAAAGCAGTTGTTTATATATCCTGAAGACTTGGCTTGCAAATGAGAGAAGCTTCAATGTCTAAGTGATTCCGACTCTGGGTCCCCATACCTCCCCCTAGCCAAAACTCCTCATGCGGTGCCTCGTAACAGATTTGATCTTTTGTATTGTCGTTTTGATCTTTTGTATCGTATTGGAATTGAGTTTCTCCACATAGTTGCGGAAAGAGTTGTGGATAATTCGGCTGCCTAATGTGTGTCCGGGTTTCTTCAGTCCATTCAGGGTCCAAGGTCCACTCAGTGGATAGACGATGCTAGACCGCCATTACCACTGATGCGTTTAACACAACATAGCTTTTTTTGATCGTACTATAATAGGGTAATGCGACTTACCAAAGATCCTCCAGGACATGATAAATGACCGTGAATCATTACTTAACTCGGATTGCTTACTTGCTTCGGGCAGCTCGGAGCTGAAGCACCCTCCCGAAGGATGAAGTTGCGAGTCATGTCAAAGTCAGATAATTCATCGTTAGATGCCTCTTCGCAGAGCACGTTCCAGTGCCAGCTGTGTTGGCATCAAACGATTCGCTGATTGATGATTGAAGCTCAGGGCAAAGAAATGAAAGGCATACACGGCGTATCGACTCAGAAAGGTTGGATGCATTACTCTCCTTCTTCTCCAACTTTATCTACCAATCTCGCTCCTTCGGGGTGACCCGGTCATCCTCGTTATCTCCAGCCACGGCAGCAAATTCTTAAAGGGCGGTACACATCGTGCTTTGGGCTCTTAGTGGTTCTTGGTGGTTTTATCCGCAGAGATCACGAAAGTGTGAGCTGGGAGGAACAAGGTTCCTCTTGGGGCAGGTTTGAAGGATTCAATTGAGTCTGACAGCATCCCAGAAACTTTATTAAGCACTACTGGTTGCACTAACAGGGGAGTTGCTCACCTATTCGCCCGTTGATGCTGATCACCCACGAGCTTGGTAGGCCGTAAAAGCAGTCATCTCAGGGCCAGGAGTTCGGTAACGTGATTGGACTTGACAAGTTGATCAACAAAGTGTTACGCCACTGAAGAGTGGGCTGTTTTCCGAGCTGTCATGTGGCTTGAGTTCCATCAGATAACCATGTTGGGGCTGTGTCCTAATCTCTTACAACTTTCCAGTCGCCGTATCAGGATAGACTTTGATTCCATAGCGATGCTTGACAGATCACCAATCGCAAAGGTTAGAGTTGTCTTGAATTCTGTGCTGAGCCAGGATCGCCTTACTACGGAGTTGTGGCCGAGGGGAGTTTTGAGACGTACAACCAAGCTTTGTTTAGCTTACAAAGAAAAAGTATTCATCAAGGAGATGTGTTTTGCGGCGCAGGTAGCGTGCTAAATTGATGGGGAGTCCTGGGCACCCTTCATGTGAAGAACAGTCATCAGGGCGAGTTCACACCAAACTTTCTGTGTGAGATTTGCTCGTGCATCAATCTCCACGGTCCATATTCAATCCTGTCATCGAATTTAAGATCAAGACCTCATTGAGCGCATCATGGCAGGGGACATGGGTTGAGTTGCACGTTGCTGAAGCTCCCCTTTCCAGAAACGTTCTCTGTCAGTGTTGTTACTCGGCACAGCTTGCCAATGTGACCCTGCTCAGCATGTGTTTCGCCTCCGCCTACTGCATATGCGGGGTATCATTTGGTTGAAGCTGGGAGGTCCCTGATCACTTTCAAAGGACACACCGGGCAACGAGAGTGGATTGGTCGGATTCTGAGACTGATTCAATACCGATGGCATCATTCTCTGCTGATAAAGCTTGGACAAGCAGATGCGAATTTCGAGCTGCATCCATGATTCCATGCAACGACGAAAGACAGATAGGGAAATTCGAGAACAGTAAATGGACCACGACGGGCAAGGAGTTCGGGCGACACGAGAACGACATCAGCAGCAAACTGGTCAACAAGGTTAGCTATGCGTCATACGCAGATTTGCGCTAGCCGTTGCGAAGTTTGTGCAAGCTTGGTAAGCTTAGGCTGGGCTGGGCAAGTCTCAGAAGGCGCCGTTCTCGGAGTTATCGGGGGTTGCAGGCCGCGGTCGCGTCAATGACGAGAATCGTCTCAAGTTTCGAGCTTGAACCGGACAATGGCCTGTGTGTTCATGTTTTCTGGTCTGACATGAAAAAGTTGAAAATTTCGGCAGATATCGAAGTTTGTAGGTGAGAGGCTGATCCGAGTCTCTCAACGTTGGCCGAGGCCAGCCACGGAGCATCCGAGGATATCGGAGGCTCCTCTCGCCTCACCGAGCAGTCACCGGTCGTCGGTCTGCCATGTGAGTCAGGGTCCCCTCGGTGTGGCCCGGTGAGCCCCGGGTTACCGAATGCGGCATCGGGGCCCAGGTGAGCAGGCCAATGGGAAGGCTCACATTTAAAGCCGGCCGATCATAGGCGCGCCGGCATGAAGCTCCGACCTCTCGGGGCCCACTGCGCTGTTTGCACTGATGTGACGCTGGGCTCAGAGTGTCCCGCAGCGCTCCCGCCTCCCCCACTTTCGACTCACACTGGGACCTTTTTTTCCCAATCAACAGCGAGCGTCGGCGTGCTTTCTTTCTGCCAATGCAGCAGCCCCAACACTCGTCACCACCACAAACTGCACCTCACTCAACACCAACGTCCTCTTTTCCTTGGGTTTTGTTTTTCCTTGACGTCCTCGCGGGTCCGGATAATGCCAGCAGACCCCATTTAGCCGCGCAACGACGCCTCATGTCTCGCCGTGGGTAAGCCAGCAGCCAAGAGCGCAAAGAGCCGCCGTCGCAGGATCGAATCCCACCATTTGTCAGCCCCAAAGCGTCCCGAACTTGTGTCACACCTCGAGTCGATTCCCTCAGATCCAAACCTTCGTGATCCCTCTCCTCTCCTGCCGCCTCTCGACAACCTTCGCCGCACAGATCGGCCCACGAAGCCAGTCATGGAGATGGAGCACTTCTCGCCAGCAAGCCAGCAGTCGAATCCCACGACTCCCGCGACCACAGTCAACAACAACCCCCAGCACTCGCCAGCCTCTCCGACCACCTCTACAGCGCCAGACTTCCCCGCCCTCAGCCGCCACGGCGCAACGTCTATACCCCCCGATCAACCTGTCGCCATGACGGCGTCGGGCCAGCCTGCCCTGAATCCGCGCAGTTGCGTCACCTGCCGAAGGCGAAAGGTCCGCTGCGACAAGCAGATGCCGTGTAGCAACTGCCGCCGCGCCGTCATCCAATGCATCTTCCCCGCCCCCGGCCGCGCCCCCCGCCGACCACGCCCAAAGGACCCCAACGCCCCGCCAAAGAACTCGACCGAGCGCGAAGTGGAGCTGATGAAGCGGTTGCGCAAGCTAGAGGGCATCGTCGAGGAGCTCAGCGGCCAGATCGAGGTGGAAAGCGGTCCCGGAAGCAGCGGCGGGCGCCAGAACTCGAGCACCGGCAACTCCCCCGAAACCACAGGCCACGAAGCGCCTTCAGAGCGGGGAAATAGGACATTCACGGCTGCGCAACTCAATGCGATAAAGGAAGGGATTGCGGACGGGGCTGCTATGCAGAAGAAGTTGGACGCAATCGAAGAGAAGACGAGGGGGATGGAGCCCAAGGCCGCGAGCGTCAGCAAGTCATTTGGCCGCTTGGTGTTGCACGACAAGGGAAAGACGAGCCGATACGTGAGCAGCGCGTTTTGGTCCAAGCTGAATGATGAGGTGAGTCGGTCGAGAGCCATCATGTTTCGTTAGCTGACAGGGGTAATACAGCTCGACGAACTTCGAGAACGGGCGCGCATCCTCGACGAAGAGTTCAGCGACGAGTCTGACCAGGAAGACACACCGGATCACTCGCCCCTGCATGCCGTCGACGCTTCGTCCGATCACCACGCATTTATACTGGGATACCGATCGTCGGATGTTGACTTGCGCAAGCTGCATCCACTGCCGTCGCAAATACCCTTCATGTGGCAGGTGTACCAGGAGAACGTGGAGCCATTGCTCAAGATTCTGCATATTCCGACAATGGAGAGTCTCATTCGCGACATGCGACGCAACATGGACGATCTTACGGCCGGTCACGAGGCTTTGTTGTTTTCCATCTACTATGCCGCCATTACGTCCATGGAAGACGAGGAGGTTTGTGCCTCTATCTAGCACACTGGCTCCAGCTAACCACCAAGCTAGGTCGAGAAGAACTTCGGCTCCAAGAAGGACGAGATGCTATCGCAGTACCGTTTCGCGCTCGAACAGGCCCTCGCAAAGGCAAATTTCCTCAACACCTCGGATATCGTAGTGCTGCAAGCCTTCGTCCTGTTCCTCACCCTTGTACGCCGCCAAGACGACACGCGATTCTGCTGGACACTCACCGGGCTTGCAATCCGCATGGCGCAAGGAATGGGCATCCACCGCGACGGAACAAACTTCAACCTCCCGCCTTTTGAAACAGAAATGAGGCGCCGCCTGTGGTGGGCCATCTGCACCCTCGACCTGCGTTCCGCCGAGGAACTGGGTAGCGATCTTACCATTATCGACCGCTCCTTCGACACGGAGCTGCCGTCCAACCTTAATGATTCGGATATCGATCCAGGAATGATTGACCCGCCAACCCCTCGCCAAGGCAGGACGGATTGTGCGGTTTCACTTGTCCGTTACGAAATTTGCGCCTTGTCGAGAAGGCTGCACACCGTCGGCTCCGCAATGGCGGGTGTCTGTCCGCGCGATGCGTCCTCTACTCTCGAACAGCGCGAGAGCAAGCTAATCGAAGTTTACAACCGGGTCGAAGAGAAGTTCCTGCAACACTGCTTTACGGATGACGACCCGCTGTTCTGGATGGCGGCCATGATCGCCCGCGTGATCATGGCCAAGATGAGCCTGGTCATCTACCAACCCATGCTATTCCCCGGCAACGGGACCGAACTATCAGGCGAGATTCGCGACAGACTTTTCGTGTCAGCAATCGAAATTGTCGAGTATAATTATATCCTAAACACTGACCCCCGCTGCCGTCAATGGCGGTGGCTTTTCCAGACGTATAGACAGTGGCATGCCATTGCGTACATCCTCATGGAGGCTGGTCGACGCCCGTGGTCTGCCACCTCTGAGCGTGGCTGGGAGGCAGTCAACAAAACCATTCGATTTGACCAGGACCCTGGTGAAATAGCAAAGATGGCAGACCACATGGCTGTGTGGATGCCACTGCGAAAACTCAGCGCGAAGGCCACGAAGCATCGCGAGGCAGAGATTGCCCGTCTGCGAGCGAACCCCGAGGCCGCCCGCCAACTCGACGTCGACGACCGCATGGACACGATCCCGGCCAGACTGGGCCCGGTGCCCGGCATGGAGAGCCAACAACAGGCGATTCGCACACGATGGAGGAAGCTCTGCGGGGTTCGGGCAGATTTGCCCATGACACAACCGCCACCCGCCGAACGGAGGAATCCGAGTAATGAGAGGTCCACGGTGGTTCCATACCCTCAACCCAAACCTGCCGGAGAGCCGGTCAACATGTTCCCCGGCCAGGTGGTTATGCCCGACGAAGACTCGGAGCTTGATACGGTCATGATGTCCCGAGCGGGCTTCACTTCCAGCGAGATGTGGGAGTACATCTACCCCACGGCGCAGTCCATGGCCGCAGACCCGAACAACACACTGTTCCCGCCCAGCGCGATTCAGCCGCCGGCATCGCAGCCGCCCATGGTCACGACGGCCGTTCCCACGCCGGCTATTTCCAACAACACCCAAATGACCGACGCCGAGCGGAGACAGAGGCAGCAGGCCATCGCCGCCACGTCCCAGCCGCAGATCGCGTCGTCCCTCAGCGACAACCAACCCCCGTGGCTGTGGTCCGACCCGTTCACGTCTATCAACAACCGCTTCGACGACGTGCCGATGGACACGATGGATGTCAACATGGATAACCTGGACGACTTCAACTGGCAGAACTGGCAGGAGAGTATCAAGGGGTTCGAGATGGACCCGGAGAATATGCCGGCCAAGGGGGCCTGGTAGAGGGGGGTGAGTCCGTTGGAAATGTCTCCTCTCACGCGACGGCCCTTGGAAAGGCTATGTAATGATACCCACTGCAAGCAGAGGTAATGAATGAATGATGAGATGTATTTTTACCATGTCGATGCCATCTACAACGCCTCATTTTATATCGCTGTTGATTTCACTGATACCACTCCCCCCGAACCACACACCCATTCCCCGAATATCTCATCAAAGCCACACCCCCGCCAACAAGGAAAAAACCATCATGATCCTCAGCCAAAAATCAAAAAGAATTGGACGATCAGGGAATCGAACCCTGGACCACTCACATGCTAAGCGAGTATTATACCACTAAACCAATCGCCCAATTGGTCTGATTTCGCCCGGACTTGAACCGGAGACCTTCAGTGTGCCAGGTGAGGGCATCCGGAGAATGCGCTCGATCTGTTAGACTGACGTGATAACCAACTACACCACGAAACCATTTCTTGTTGTGGAGGGGGACAGGGGGAGATGACTTTGAGGGTGGGCGACAGGAGGCAGATGGGAGGGCGACTGGAACCCACTCTGTAGCGGGACTGGTGAGTGGGATGGGTTAGTACAAATGGAAAGTGGATGTCTGTATGTGTATGAATGAAGCTTTGGCAATTGTGGGTGTGACCGAGTTCATATAATTCAATGTAGAATAAGAATGGGTGAGAGATTTTGGAACTTGACTGAGATTAAACGAGGCTTGCAGGCGTTTCCCGCAACAGAGCAGGCAGCCACAGTGAGCCTCCCGTGGCGGTGCGGCGGTGCAAGGGGGCTGGTTGCAGTGAGGCACACTTGGTCTCTCACTGGCCCAATCTCACTGTCCAGGTACTACCGAAGTGAGTCAGTGAGTTCTTTTAAACCTCAACTCAGCACCGTCTATCTTGGCATTGATCACTCAACGAGCCTTCATTTCATTCTTCTGATATACACAGCCAGTGAGTTTCTTTGGCGAAAAGATGTCTGTCACTACAATCAACCCCTTCGCGAACCCGCGCATTGGCGTCGCGGCGATTGTCCAGCGCAAGGACGGCAAGATCGTAGTCGGCAAGCGGGAGAGTAGCCACGGCGCAGGTAAAGGCAACCCTTCTCAAATCCCGCCTCCTTAAGCTTCCTTATTTCTATGGGCTAGGAGGAATTCCTTGCGGAGTTCTTTACACTTGCAGTCTCATTCGGCCTACGATGGTCGGACGCTAACGTTCCTGCGCAGGTACATGGCAGCTCCCCGGCGGCCACCTCGAATTCGGAGAGTCCATCGTCGGCTGCGCGGAGCGCGAGACGGCGGAGGAGACGCAGCTCAAAGTCAAGGCGAGAAAGATCGCCGGCGTGACGAACGACGTGTTCCAGGAGCAGGGGAAGCACTACGTGACGCTGTTCGTGAGGTGCGAGATGGAGGATGAGGCGGCTGAGCCGGTGGTGAGTTCTGATTTTTCCCATTTTTTTTTCCCCAATTTCCCTGAGTGAAGTTGCGATTAGTTTCATATGAACGTTACTGATGATGAGCAGAACCTGGAACCTGAAAAGTGTTCTGGGTGGTACTGGATGTCGTGGGATGAGGTCAGAGAGATCAACGCAAAGGCGAAGGAGGGGGGTGCAATGAAGCTGTTTATTCCGCTGGCTCATCTCATTGAAGAGAATCCCGGTATTGAGAATGCCTGAGGTCTAGCATTTGAAGGGAAATAGTACCTCTATAGATCTTTTGCGCTCATTCTCGGTCGACTTTCTATAAGCCAGCCTCAACCCTCCATGGAAACCTGATATCTATCATGAGTTCTTGGCTTCTTCCAAATCCTCATCCGTATTCTTCGACGCATTTCCCGAGAGCTACGATGTCAAAAGTTAGCAACTTTCCTCGCTCATTAGACGCCAAACTCACCCCAATCAGCATCCTCTTATCCCCAGGCACAACCATCTCAAAAGCATCATTAATAACCCCATACTCAAAGTACCCCAGCCTCGCGATCGGATTCGTCTTCCTCACATCAATCTTCCCATCCGTCAACGCCCACTCGTCCACATGCACCCCCACCACCCTTCCAAACACCACATCCACCGTCCCCATCGGGCCCTTGCCCGGCAGCCGCACCGTCTGCACGTACTCGCACTCGAACCGCACCGGCGACTCCTTCACCATCGGCACGGGAACCCGCAGCCCGCGCGAGAAGGTCTTGGCGAGCCCAGCCCGCGCGAACTCGTCCTCGTCGGGCGGCACGGCCTCCGCGGTGATGTTGACGGCCTCGCGCAGCGCGTAGGTGCACAGCTGCCAGCAGAAGACGCCCGTGGCCTCGATGTTGTTGACGGTGTCCTTGCGGGTCTGCGTGGCGTCGTCGGGCAGGGTTTGGTTCGCGGAGAACATCACCATGGGCGGGTCGAAGGTGACATTGGTGAATTGAGAGTAGGGCGCGAGGTTGTGCTGGCCGGTGGGGGAGGTGGTTGAGATCCAGCCGATTGCGCGGGGGACGACGCAGGCCTGGAGTGGGAGGTTAGTGAGTGAGATGGAGATTGGGAGGGTGTGAAATTTTACTTTGAAGGGGTCGTGGGGGAGACCGTGGTCGTTTACGCCTGGGTTGTAGTACATTATTGCGGTGTTTGCGGTTCTGGAGGGTCTAGCGGCTCTGTGTGTAAGTGACAGACGATCTTTGCCGACCGGTTTGAAGGCCACTGCAGCTCAATTGTTCTTGGCGGGATTATTTATGATAGAGCATGGAAAACCAAAGTCCTGTTGTGCTGACCTCGGATCCGGATTACGTCACTTGTGAAGCACGGTCGGGGAGTTCGGAGAGTATGCTCTCTCGGTGTTTTCGGTTCCTCGGCACGTTTGACGGGTGAAGAAATTGGGACTTTCGATCGAAGGGATTCCCTTCATTTGGCCTTGCTTGAATCGCTATTTGAAGTATCTTCTTCGTGGATCTAGCTGCGAGTTGGTTCCGGCCCTGTTTGTAGCTTAGGCCGCGGCAAACGTAAGACTTTATCTCACGCCATGTTGGCCCAGAACCCATCGATTTCCTTCCCGTTATCTGGGATACAACTCGTAGTTTTCGGAAGAGGTTACAAGAATATCACCACTATTCTCTGAGAAAAGTGTATTCAGGTGTAGTCTGTGGTAGCCTGAAAACGATATCCTAAGTGATGGCGAAAGGCAAGACCGAGTTACGAATGATTGATCCTTGAGCGTTCATATAAATCTTGTAAATGTCAGTCTATCGGCAACTCCTCCACTGAGGCTACTCAGTTTCGTACATGGGCCTGTCTCCTAACTATGTTTGTTGGCTGCTGAGATTACGACCCAGGTTTGGCGCTGACGTGGTGCTTTTTAGAACGGTCCATCTATCTAAAGCTCAATGGCCTGTCAGATCGGTACCTTTGTTCCATTCTTCCTCAAGGACATTGGCCTCCTTAGGAAAGCAAAGTCTTTGGAGGCTCTCGCAATGTAAAAAGTCTCCCTGTTATCCTAAAAGGGTTTCATTTGACGATTTGCTGAAACGTAGTTGTCTCCTGGTAGGGATAACAATAAAAATCATCGAGCTGATTTCTCAGTGACACCCATTGATTGGATATATGTGAACCGTCTGAACCGTCTTTGTGATAGTAAACACCAGACGAGAACATCCAGGTGGTGGTTATAACGCCAAAACGCAGCGTTACGCCAAGCATCTATTTTTGTACATTCTCATAGACGCGACAGGCGCTCTTTGCACTAGAGAACTGTTTCTCCATAATATGAATTAATTCCTGTGGCCTTGTGTAAGTTGCATTAGGCTGTTCGCGGCCACCATAGCGTTCCGAGATGCTAGGGTAGACCACTCAATGAGTTTGATCTTTGTGAGTTGGTGCGTCTTACTGTGGGAGCCTACTTCGAAGCACCGGCGATCACTCCAGAGTCAAAGTCCGAGCGATTGCTATCACTCTACTTTATTTGCCTTCTGCCTCGCCCATCCAATACATTTGGGTCTCGTTCTCTTGTGTCCAGGGATTTTGCACCTGGTATGCCACCCAGATCACCTTTCGACGTAAGGCACACCGATGAATCGACATCAAAATCATTCCAGGACTACACGGGCCACATGGTTCACAATATCATAAAAGAAATCTCAAGTCAAATGACAGACAGGCGCAGACAACTCCGCAGCTACGGACAGAGATTCCTAACTTGTTGACATAAGCAATATGGTAGAACTATCTGGAAGGCAGATTTTGTATAACTACTGATCCAGGCTAATGTTCCCATGAGTCTCAAACCCATTTCCAATATCTCTGGCGCGAACACTTGAAATCTGTCGTCTTCGAAGTAGGGAAGGAGGAGCAAGATGAAGTCAATTTGCAGCCTGAGAATTACACTTGAACACATACGTGCCGACGTGGTTACCAAATCTGGGCTACAAGTTGCGTTGACTTGACCACGCCGTTTTGAATAGCGCAGACTGGCTGCATACCTTTGTTCAAAACACGTTGTCATGGCTGAGTAGGCACTTGCCGGTGGCAGTGGATGCAATCGCGGCCGAGTGGCAAGGGGGCGTGGTGCCACACGTGTGTGCTAGCAGCTTGAGGCGGTGAGGCGTTACCACATTCGCGTTAGAGCGCCAGGAGAATCAAAGATGGCGCTTCACTAATAAGCACCGCAAAAAAGTACTGTGAGGCGACAACTGCCGACTTCGATCACCCGCAACTGCCGGATTCCATAACTCCCAATCCGGCTCCTGTGCATGGCGGTATGCCCGGATCATGGTTCCGTCGATCTCACTGCTGCTGAACATTCGCAGTGTGAAACATCATCATGATCGGCGCGAAGAGGATCGGTCAAGGTAAGACATTGTTTCCTGATCTCATCTATTGCTTATGATGAGACACGTTCCTATGAAACCAAGGTACAGAGAAGCGCGTCCTTTCATGCAATACTGCTCTTATTTGCAAAGACCTGGACACTGCAAGCCGTCTCTGTATGGTTTCCACTAGGCACCATTCACCAGACTGTTGTGTAATTAAGCCACCCGGGTCGGACGCCTCCGAACCCACGCGATGCTCCCTTACACATCAACCCCGCGTTTAGCTCACGATAGCGTCCGCTGGTCCAGGCCGGGCCTTTGTCTTCTGAATAGGTTTCCTTCACCACAACAACCGTGCTCACACCTGAGTCGCTTGAAAGTGCATGTCAGAGAGAGACTCTCGGTCTTATTCTGTGTTAGCTTTTTGTTTCGACATCTTCTTTTCTGACTCGACAATCGACCCCCAGCCGAGCTGTTTTAGTGTAGGGGATAATTACGGGTCCCGCGTCCTGGGAACCAAAAGGAGACGATGTGCTCGCGCACTAAAGATTAATAGCACCAGTAACCAACTTAAGTTTTGCCGCTATCATAATCTTCGCATGCCTCTTATTATTATTAACCGTTCGAGGGTGGTTTATTCAGGCCACGGCCAGCGACGTCTTGCTTTTTTCTTGTTTCTTCCCTTTCACTCTCTCCCACATCACTACTATCATCATCAGGGATAGCAGCAGCCGCAGTATCGCTTGCGATGAGACATTTGCTATGCCTCAGCCTTATGGCCACTTCCTTGGGGGCTGCCCAGGGATCGCTAATAGAGTATGCAGGCGTTTTGCCGCAATGTGGGGTCGGTTTTGCCATGGTTCAACCTCGTGAGATGGTGCTAATATCGTTTTCTGCACACAGCTAGACTGTATCCTGGAACAGCTACCGCAATCGGCTTGTAAGGTCGCGACAAATGACACCTGTATATGTAGTGACGATGGTCTGCGGGAGAGTATGCAGACGTGTCTTCTTCAACGTTGTGACACAGTAGATGCGATAGGTTGGTAACCTACCCATTGATCATGGCTGCAACTGACAACTTCTTAGACGTTGCAAAGATAGAAGCGAAGGCATGCGAACGGCCTATTCGTACCCGAAAAGCAGACATCATGGCGCCACTTATTCTTCAAATTGCTGGGATTCTGGCGGTACTGTTGCGATTATACGCGAGATGGACGATGATGCCTCGACTCGAAGCCGACGACTGGATCATGATCGTGTGCGGTGTACGTCCAATCTTGAGAAACTTTTCAGCAGCTCATCCGCTGATTAATCTTAGGTCATATTCATCGTCCTAGTCGTCATTGGTCAAATTGGTATGTCCCATGGTCTCACCATTCCAGTTCCTTACTGACAATAACCCAGCTGGAGCCTTAGCTTTTGGTGAAGACATATGGATGGTTGAACCAGATAAGCTCACGCTGGGGTTGAAGGTATGGAGACTTACCGCCTCAAATTGGACATCATGTTGACATTTACAGCTCTTCTTCATCGACGAACCCCTTTACCTAGCCACAATAACTTTGACTAAGATATCAGTGCTCATCTTTTACCTCAGAATATTCCCAAACAAGTCCTTTCGAAGGGCAACTTACGCGACCATCACATACATCGTCACATCAATGACGGTGATCCTGTTTTTGCAAATTTTTCAATGCACGCCGATTAGTTTCAACTGGGATGGTTGGAAAAGAGACTTCGGTACATATAGCTGCCTGGATCTCCACAGGCTGGTCAATATTGCAGGGGGCCTTAGCATCAGCCACGATCTTATTATTCTGGTCTTGCCTCTTCCGCTGCTGTGGGGATTGAATACCTCCAAACGCTCAAAAATCGGCATTTCGCTTATGTTCAGTCTCGGGTTATTCATTCTTATCACTGCCTGTATCCGGCTTCACTACCTTGCCCCATTCACGCATTCACTTAACCCGACCTGGGACTTTACGGATCCCCTGATTTGGTCAGGCATCGAAGCATCAGTATCGGTCATTGTCGTATGTCTTCCTGCGATTCGGATCTTCTTCAAATACCGCTGGTCCAAGTTATTCGGTCAAAACGGCACAGCCCGCGGAGGCGTGGCACCCAGGAGAGGTTTAGGTGCGGTACGGCGGAAGGCTCAGGATACAGAGTCAGCTGACAGCAAAGAAAACGCAATAACTGCGATTGACGAAGGAGCTGCAGGGGAAATGTACGCTACAGAACTGGCGAGTGTTGTGAGTACGGAGGAGAAAAATGATTTTGTCTTCTCTTTTCAGTCGACGAGGATGGAAGCGGATGAAAGCGGGCTGGAGCTAGAGCTGGAAGAGGTGGTCCCGGGGGAGGAGCCAGTGAGGTACCCTGATGGAGCTTATGCGAAGGAGAGGAACTGAGAAATTCATATCGTGCTGGGTATTAAGTAAAAATTAAATACCTTGAAGGGTATTTCATTATCTCATTCTGGATGCTGATGCCATTTTCAAAATGCGGCTGGTGCTCTAGATCCCTTTGCCCCCTTCTCATGTTGACTGCTTGAACATAATCCTTCACACCTGCTCTCCTGATATGTTGTCATCCGAATCAGAGTATTACCGCATGCGCAAACCGGCTAGATGACTTTACTCTACGTAATGCTCCTTGGTCCTTTTCTCGGCGGCTTTGAGACATTCCTCGGTAACGGCTGTGTCTCGGGGGATGAGCTTGACCTTAAAGTCCTTGGGGATCGCCACGAGCGCCGTTTTGAACTGGTTGTACTCGACGTAGTCGGTGTTGGGAGGCTCTTCCTCGCTGGCTACGATTTTGTACGAGGACAGCAGGCGAACCAAAGCGGCGTATAACAAGCGCTGGGCGATATACTGGCCTGAGCAACCGCGAGAGCCAAGCCCAAAACTCAGATGGCCCACGCCGGAGACATTCGTGTCAGTGGGCGGGTTGACTGAGGAGAGCCACCTCTCCGGATCGAATTTGCCGGCATCTTCACCGAAGTAGTTCCTATCTGTGTTTGTTTACCGTTAGATTTAACGAATACTACTTATACTAGTACCATGATGATATGCAGCATTCAGACAAGGGACATGCGAACCATGATTGCCAGCTTGAGCGTTGACGAGTATCATTGTCTTGGGCGGAATGACAGCGCCGTTCCAGTTAACCTCCGTTACAGTCTTCCGCGGCAGACTCATTGAGCTGACGGTGTAGTACCTTCCGGCTTCCCTGATGATTGCGTTGACGTACGGAACCTTCTCCTCGGTATAGCAGGCATTCCATGCGTCTTGTATGTTTGGGTAGTGCCTTTTGATATCCTCGTAGGCGCGGTCCTGCCACAATTGTCCCTCTTCCGTCGAAAGCGACCCGATGGTCGACGTCAGAGTTCCGGGGATCGTCTCAAAACCGCCAGATACAAGTGACAAGCAGATGGAGGACACTTCAACGCCCGTGAGCTTCGTCTCCTCATTCTTCAGAATCGCAGCCGAGATGCAAGGCTTGTCGGTGCCGCGCTCGATCATGGAGCGGACCTTGTCGAGGAGATGGTTGAGATACGCATCGCGACGCTCGCGGAGCTCTTTGGAGCGGCGGCTTTTCTCGTTGTTGGGGAAGTAGCGCATGATCGGAACGTAGTCTTGCGTGTTCTCGGACGCGCTGCGGAGCAGAGAGATGGCCGAGCCGACATGCAAGATCTCGCGGAGGAGGTCATCGTAGACGGCGTCCATGCGGATGCCGTAGCAGAGAGTGAGGGTCGTGTTGAGGGCGTAGCGCTGGATGTAAGGTCGGACACTGATCTCGAGCTCGCCGTTGCGGGAGTCCTTGTGCAGGTCGCGGAGGATGCAGTAGCTCTCGAGATCGAACATGGGGTAGTAGTTTCGCAGCGCCGGGCGACTGAGGGCGGTGCCCGCGGCTTTGCGCTTCTTCCGGCAGGAGTCATCCCAAGGGGAAGAGCCGATGGTGAAGCCTTGAGTAGAGCTGATGAGGCCGTGAAAGGTGTATAGCTTGGGCCGATCAATGACGGCGTTCTGGTGGCCGATGAGGAGTTGGCGGATGTCCTCGAAGGAGTTGAAGACTACGGCCCTGGTGTTGCCGAGTTTGATCTGGAAAACGGAGGGGTTTCCTTGCCGCCACCAGTTTTCGCATGTTGACGCGTGGTCTTCGCCTAGCTTGAGAAGGTGCCCGAACACAGGAATCGAGCCGGACATCTCCGGGAGGCCCTTGATGAAGGGTACATCCGTACCAAAGGCAGCCTGCCATGGTTAGTGATCCCCTCAACAGGCGACGGAAACTCAGGCAGAAGGAGGCAGAGGGACGAACATTGTAAATGAAATAAGATAATAGCAGGATTGCGATTGTTGTTAGGATAGACGCCAGAGTTGGAGGCCTCTGGAGGTCCAATACGAAGGAAAGTGTTGCAGAGTCTAAAGCAAACATGATGATCGTTCTGGCTCACTGAGGCTCCCAGCAGTCATCCGTGCTTCAACCCTCAAACTCTGGATTGGTTTTCTTATGAGCTGTTTCCCCTACGGAGATGATAGCACTCATCAATTATGCGAGGGTGTTTTTGGACATCAGACGGGGCCGACGTCACCGATGTGAGGGGACCTAGCGGTTGGGTATGCCGATGCATCGGGTGCGGGGGGCTTATCTCTTTCGGCCGGCAACACCAATTAGATATCGGATGATTCACTCATATCCTATCTGGGCCGTTGCTTATCTCTAAACTCATGAAATGACATCTGTGTCTTAAAGAACAGCTTAAACTAAGGCTCTCGTTTCACACAAGATGGATACAGCGAGTGCGTGGTTGTTCTCTCTCCATAATGGATCAGTCGGGCCTGACGATGACCCGGCTTGGCCACAGTGGCGGTGTTTGTGTTGGGGTTCGCACTCTCCTTTTTGCGACCTCATTGGATTCCTTGGCACTTCAATTAAGAACCGAGACCGAGAGAAAAACCGGTCTGAAAGGTTATTGCGGCCCTTACGGAGCTGTCCATACAACGAAGTCACGCGGTAGTTACGGAGCTTTCCATATAACGATGGCTCCATAAAGCTCCCCTAGCTTTTCTTTTGCTAATTATTTGACCGCCGTTACAGATACACCGCCGCATCGAGTCAATTACCATGCAATGCTGTTAAGTAGCAGGGGCGAAACAGTGATTGCCACCATTAAGGAAACTCTTCACCGGCTTCCCTAGCCATGATATTGCGGAAATTCCATAACCCACACTGCTACCCTGTAAGACGGTGCCCAGCAGGATGAATACGGCAAGAGTACTCGAGCCAATGTTTTGTTCAGTCTGTGGATTGCAAAGTCTGGGATCCCAAAGTTATATAAATATAGTTAGGTCCGTCGGTCGTTCCAGGCTCAGACTGTGTCCGCCAACATCACGAAACCAGCCCTACCTACCTTCAGCTTCAAGACTCTATCAGAAAGCCTCGCTCACCAGTCTTTTTCTACGTCATCACAACATTTACAGTCTCACTATGCGTCAGTTCAGCATCATCGCTTGTCTGGCCGCCTTTCTCGCGGCCTTCGCTGCTAGTCAGTGCATGGATCGGTCCGCCGACTGCGTAAGTGGAAATCGAGAGAAACCTCATGGAAGTAAAAGCTTCAGTGCAAGCTAACCTACTTTCGTTTTAGTCCCCTTTGGCCATTTGCAATAGCATGGGCCCATCGCAGGTTTGCGGAAACACAGAGAAAGTCCAGGGTGAATGCGTCAAGGTCACCAATGAAGAGCGTGGCTACGTTGCTGTAAGTACTATATCCCGTGCTAAGGACTTCACTGATGACATCTTTTATAGTGCCGTTGCTGTAAAGCCTGAATTCATCTGGCTTCATCCTCATCCATGGATGCTTCACTTAGGCCTTAATAAGACTCCTTGATAGGTGCATAATTAGACAATCACAGGCCAGTCTATATAGTTCAGAAATTGCATACACCCTACATATACTCTACTATTTGGCATGTACAACCATTTGCGAACCCATTCATTGCCTCACTCCATGTCTGACTGGACAATGTCGCGTTCCTAAAAGCCTTCTCCTGACCGCCCACTGCCTCGAAAAGGGAACCAGGTTGGCAACCATCCATAGCAAAGGAAGACTGTTCCCAATCTTCTCAATCTATGACACAACGTATCTGTTCCGCACAGCCACCCTGTGCTGCGGATGAGAACAAGGCGAGAGTAAGTGGAAGAACATCTGCTAGAGCACCTAGTTTTCCAGCAGGCCATAACAACAGACCTGAGATCTCACTCGGCTTATGTGAAGCCCTCGGTGGTGATAATGATGGAGAGCATGTTAATGAAAATGATGAACATGATGATATAAGAGCGACTGACACTGATGAAGACAGCGATTTTGAAGACCTGCGTTGCGCGCCGAACCTATGATTATATCTATAGACCTACTATCAGAACAATATTTAGTGCTTTCCGTTCACCCCGTTTGTGTTGTCCCCATCTAATAGTTTAAGAATTTCTTCTGCAGCACGATCACGGCCTGCGCCTTCCGGGTGTCGCTTCGCAAGTTCTTGGGCTCTTTTGATCATTTCCATTGCCTGAGGACCTAAAAGAACCTCTTCAAGGCCCTTGGCAAGCTCGTCTCGCTTCCATAACGGTCGTGCGGTGCGGCTCGCCCACTTGCCGATGCCCAGGAATTCAGCGCGCAGAGCAAAATCGTAACAATCAGCCCATCCTGGTAGGATAACTTGAGGGATTCCACAACTATGAAAAGAATGCGTGTTAGCTCTGATGGCATTCAAATCAGCAGTGGATGGTCGCATACCATATCGCTTCGTGGAAAGAGTTGGATCCTCCATGGTTGACAGAGCAGATAACGTGGCCAGATTGAAGCAGAGACTTGGGCTCGGCAGTAATCCAATCCACAATTCTGACGCGGTCTTGGTCCATCTCAGACACCAGGATGTCTTTGATTTCTTTCCAAGGGCCCTCAAAGCCAGAAGTGTCTCCCTCTGATGCTACCCTAGGCATCTTCCAAATGAGTTGCAAATTGTTGAGATGGGAGCTCTTTGCAGCATCAAACAAGCTGCGGAAAGCGTAGGCCACCTCTCTTGCCTTGGCAACATCGAACGAACGATGTGTTCCAAGGTTCATGTAAACTGTCGGGCCGCGACCGAGCCAAATCGCGAGTTCCGGATCTTCGGTCGAGATGGGCGCTGCAGGTCTTGTAATTGGGCCGCAGGGGACCATAAAATCTGGAATGACGTCAAATGGAAAGTCGATGTCCGGGCTATTTGCGACCATCACCCGAATTCCAGGTGGTGGCGGAGCGAGAAGACCAAGTTCGTTGACCGTGATGAGTTGAAGCCCTTGACCCAGCTGTTCGTTCATGTGGTTTATGCAACGCCCCCGTCTCCTACTCGTGAATATGGCGATCATCGCGACTATGTTATAGAATATGTTTAGCGGTATCTGGTGAAGAGGCACCGGGTATGAAATGGCGGAGTTGAAACTGGGCCATGTTAGCAAAACGATTACTCGAATGAAAGCAGCCATCTACGAGGCGTTACTTCTGTAGACTTACATGGGATATTTCCAAAGACTGGGCAATCCTGGTTGCGCAGATAGGGCAAATTCTTTGATCGTATTCGGGGCCAGGACTATCCACGGCGTTTTTGGGCGGAGGTTATGGCAGAAAGTAAGGGCAGGGGCGAAGAAATTTTCAACGACGGTTACGTCTGGCTGAACCTCGCCCCATACACGCTCGACGTCCCGGTAGATCTCGACAAACTCCTCTGCGCTCCACGGGAGAGTGATTCCTGGAAGAACAGACAGCATGCTGACCATGTTGGGGATCGTCGGGTCGCACGCCCAAGAGTCGAGATTGGGGTTACCAGGCCTCTCCATGGCTTCCCAGTGAGATAGCCCGACCAAGTCATGGGTCTTGATAGATTCTGCAGCTGCGGATCCAAGATCATTGGACACCTGCTTGATGATGCGGGAAAGCTGGCCTTGCATGCCCGGCTGTGAGGCGACATGGATCTCTATGTTGGGGTCGGCGCAGACCAATGCGTAAATGGTTGAAAGGACGACATTGGCTTGCCCGAAGTCGCAGTCCGAGAAGATGAGGATTTTTCGTTTGCCGGGGTTAGACATGGTGGGAATTTTCTAGTCGGGTCGGGGATGATATGATCATGGAATCTCAAAGACAAAGGCACCCTCCGAACCTGTTGCGGGGGGCTCGGCCCATTTTGTATGTCGTCGCGCCTGTACACGTGTGAGAACTGGGACTTGCACAAGGGGCCTGGACTGAGACGTATCGTGCAAATCAGATTGAAGTTTCCTGTTTCCCTTTAGGGACCAAAGTCCGAGCTGTTGATGATCATCAGCATGAACATGTAGGGGTCCATGTTGGTTCTCTGCGGCTAAGTGACAAAAGTCCATTTGGCTGTGGATATGGTGGGCTTTGCGCTGCCAACAGAATGGCCAGATAAACAGAACAGGGCCGTCGTAAACGGGCCGGACCCGACGGAAATGCGGCACATGCATTTCGATGTAACTCAGAATGGCGCGCGATAAGCACTAGGCTGCGCGATGGAAACTCCCGTGAAGGGAATTCGTACGACACGTCGGCAGAATTGGCTACAAGGGACTTTTCGGATTATCGGCTTACATGTACACTGACCTCACAAATAAATACTGGAGCTTTGAGGGGCCTCCGCGATGCCCTTGCCCCTTTGAGGTCCACTCATAGCCTATAGGTGTTGCACTCCACCATCACCATGCGATGCCTTCGTTGGTGATCATCACGACCCATCAGCCGCAAAAGCTCAATCGCCAAGAAGTGAACGACACGAAAATCAACCGTTCAGAGTGGAAAACAAAGAGATAATCAAGACTAACATAGAAGCTTACAACAGCAAGGAAAACTCATCAATTTGTTAAAGAATTCCAGATCATAGATTGGGAGCTAGACGAGCTTTGTGTTGTCGCCAACAACAAGCAAACACATCTGAATCGGTGCATTCCAGACAGCTCGAAGAATAGTTGATTTTGCACATTGACAGCAGAGCCGGTTTTGCTATCCTGTGGACGGGAGAGCGAGACCTTGTACAACCCCTGCCCATGGAGATCGAAGCTCGTCGTGGTACAGCTGTTTACATCTCTAAAATGTCGCGTCGTAATCGACAAGAAGTGTTGGTAATCTCAAATTCTGACTAATAGTCATCTAGATAACGACGCTCCATGATACATATGCTAGATGCACGCGGCATCGGACTTACCACATGCTCCGATAACGAGTTGGGGTACTACGTAAGTTTGGTCCTCGATCGGCACAACTCCTCAACTCAACGTGATAAGCCTCACACAGCACGGAACGAGCGATTTGTGATGGCATCGGTTTCTGTCATCGTGGCTTTGGTCATACTTGCGGCTTTCTTGGCCAAATACCTCGTCATTGACTCACTTCTGCTGAGTCCCTTGAGGCATGTCCCGGGGCCGAAATCGTTTGCGTTGACGAAATGGCGACTAGCCTACGAAGACTGGAGAGGAACCCGAACGCGCACGATCCATCGATTGCATCAGAAATACGGTCCAGCCGTCCGAATCGGGCCTGAAGAAGTTTCTTTCAATAGCTTGAGCGCTCTCCGGACCATCTACGGACCCGGAAGCAGGTATGGCAGGACTTCCTTCTACCGGATGTTTGATGTCTACGTTCGGCAGAACCTGTTCACTTTCCACTCCACTCAAAAACACGGAGAGCGCAAGAGGCTTCTTGCCCATGCTTATTCGAAGACCAACATTCTCAAATTCCCAGTTTCCGCCATGATAGAAGAGAAAACACGGCAATACATGTTTCTGATTGCGCAGGAACCTCACCTCATCAGCGAAACATTCAGAACTCTGCACTACTACTCGCTGGATAGTATTACGGCATTCATATACGGAAAGAATGGCTCGACATCTGCCTTGCAAGGCTCCAAGATGGACCAGGCCTTACTTGATGACATCCTCAATCCAGCCCGGCGACGGCTTTCTTGGTTCGCGATACACCTTCCATCGCTAACAAAATGGCTGTACACTCGGACGCACACGATGGAACGTATAGTTGCGCAAATTCTTCCCATGGCGAAGCCAGCCACTTACACTGGCATCCGAAAGTTTGCTTTGGAAGCTTATGAGCAATCGAGGAAGGAAGTCAATGCAGCCGGCAATGACTCCGATGCCAAGACCGGTACGTCGAGTACCAGCAAACTCACCTAACGTTAGTCTCGAGACTCATCTGTACCGTAGAGGATGATACGCCACGCTCAATAGTCGACCGTCTGGCGCTTCAACGCAAGCTAGGCACGATGGACGACCTCGACATAGCCTCAGAGTGCGCGGATCACTTTCTGGCTGGCATCGACACCACCAGCGACACGCTTATGTACCTCATTTGGGCACTATCACGTAAAGAGCATCACGTATTCCAGGACAAACTGAGAAATGAAGTCCTCAACTTGCCCCCGGACTCCCTTAATGAACGCGGGTTGCCAAAGGCCGAGGCGAGCGACAAATGTCAGTATCTCAACGCCATCATCAAAGAGACCCTGAGATTGTATGCTCCTCTCCCGGCCTCTGAGCCTCGTTCACTTGAGACTGAGTCAGATATCGACGGCTACACGATTCCGGCGCACGCCACCGTCAGCATGTTGCCCTACAGTCTTCACCGCAACCCAGAAGTGTTTGAAGAGCCTCTGAGATTCAATCCTGATCGATGGCTAGGACCTAGAGCAGCAGAGATGAACCGCTGGTTTTGGGCTTTCTCCAGCGGCGGCCGGATGTGTATCGGCTTGCAGTATGTTCTCCCCTTTCCCCTTCTGTGCATATTGATTCTGTGATTCAATCAAACGCCGTATCCTGCACGCTCTGTTCCTCATGATGGCAGTACTCCTTAAGTCGGCTTTTGTGGAAAACTGACATGGCAACAGTCTCGCAATGGCCGAAATGACGACATTGGTAGCTGCAATTTATCGCACGTACGCGACCTCGGTTGTCCCTGAATTTGACGATTTCAGTCCTGGAATTACGTCTCGGTTTGAATTGTTCTTTGACGACCAGTTCACCAAAGTCATGGTACGCTCACGAGGCATGAGCTCGCGATGCATCCAACGCTAACCGGACTCAAGGAACACAATTGCCCCATCAAATTTTCGACGGAGACTGATGCGCCATTGAAGTCAGAAGCGCCCTAAAAGACGAGGTCTTTCCGATGAAGAATCTGTTATGATAGGGTTGAAGCAGGACTGACTAGAAGATTGTGCGAAGTTTAGCCACAAATTAGATGGGGGTTCAATGTTGCAATCACAATAATCATCATGGAATGCACTTTCTCACTTACATACCCATACTCCGGTATACCTAGCATTTTCCTTGCGTCTTATCGGAGGAGCAGGAAAGGAAATGTGTAGATTGTGATGCAGTCTGGCAAGTTGTCATAGACCACCTTTTCACGCGCCAATGCCATAAACAATGATCGTGATAACGACTCTATCTTGGCAAATCCGCCAAGAAATCCGCCGTGGTGATGTGCCAAAAGCAGAAAAGGAAATGGGAGCCATCCGGACCGGACTCCGCATCCGGGGGGCGATTGGAGCGTGCGGGGTTGCGATGACGAACTTACAAAACGGAGGTGGAATTCCGGATCGGATGCGATACCCGATTCGCCGGTCCTCGGCTGACTTGCCGATTCTCCAACTGTGATATTTCAACCTGATAAGACCGTTGTCGATGTCTTGTACCCAACTTCATTTTTGAATACAATCGCGGCATCTGACGTTTTGAAGCCGCAGCTTTATATCAATACTCATCATCAGCACATTAGAGACAAACAAAATGGTTGAAATCAGACAATACCATCTCTTCCCAACGGACCTGGTTCCGAACTCGCCTCGGCCGCTCCTGCAGTACAAGAACGTTCTACCCAAGGACCCCAAGACGTCGCACTGCTCTGCCCTGCAAGTATGGGATAGATTCACGACCAACGGATGGGACGTCCAATGGATCTTCCGATACGGCCAGACCCAGCTCTCGCACTTCCACTCCAAGGCCCACGAGTGCATGGCTGTTCTGTCTGGAAACGCCACAATTCGCTTCGGCGTGGCAGATACCGACGAGGACCTGGACAAGAACACGTACGAGTCGTCTTGGGAGAAGGGCGGCGTGGAGCTTCAGGCAGAAGCTGGCGACGTCTTCATCATCCCCGCGGGAGTGGCGCACAAGACATACAACACGAGGCCAGAGGCGCCGTTTGGGCTGCTGAGTCCTGGGAAAGGACACGGCATCGAAGCCGACAATCCGCGAGAGGCGCTGGGGAAGGTTGAGTTGTCGGGATACACGATGATGGGTGCTTACAGCGGAGGAGAGTGGGATTTTGTGCTCGGGGGAGGCGACTTCGAGAAGGTCTGGGGCGTGCCGAAGCCCAAGCTCGACCCGGTGTTTGGAGACTCGGAGAATGGATTGCGGAGAACGTGGAAGGGAGTTGGCGGCGCTCAAAATGACATCGAGGTGAAGCTTTGATATTTGATGACTGTTACCGTGCTTGCTCGGCATTGAAGCCCGGTCTTACGATAATTAATATCAATACACCAGAATCATACGCTTGCGATATATTGTGATGGATGAGACACTCTGTCAACATGCAATTGTGATAAGAAGTGTTAGTACCCTTATGAGAAGCTGTCTATTACGGAACAGCAGGGTATCAACATAGTTCAACTGCTGGCGGTCAACAACGTCATTGCGAACTGCTCCAACCTTCCTAGGGCCACTAGGAGCACGCTCTGTATTTCCACCGCGGCCGTCTGCAAGCTATACGTGGTTAAGGCAGGCGATACTTGCACCAACATTGCGAACTCTCCGAAGGCCAGCTAGGCCTAGTTCGTATTCTGGAGCCCGGGACTTGGACGGTCATGCCAGGACGTCGAACGATTTATTAGCTTCCTCGTGTGTGCCTCGAACCCGGGCGGCAGCTGGGTCGATCCAAGCGCTCAGCCCGCGGCAACGATCGCACCGGGCATTACCGCAACGTCTGAAATCTAGTCTGTAGGTAAGCCTTAGCAAGTTGCTTGTTGTTACGAAACCTTTGATGAGCTGCGAGGAATTTGAAGCACTGTTTACCTTACCCATGACCTCGATACCTATAAACAACGGGTTCACCACTGGTGGCGTGGTCCCGATTCCGGCCGACTCGCAACTTTGAGGTGACCAAAGCTGGCTTTGCCCGATATCTCAAAACCTACTTGAAGCATTCAGCGTACAGCCAAATAACACAACTTAGAGAAGAGAAGTACTCGCAAGTTTTTCTTTTGGCGTGCTTGAGCTGCTTGGACAAGGTCAATGATGACGTGGTTAACGGCAACAGCGGGAACGCCGTCGGCCAGAATAAGCTTTCGAAAAGAATGAAGTTTATCCAGAAGGTGCTCTTGCAAATCAATACGATTGTAATATAACAGCGTTGTCATTTTGGGGCTGAGAAATTTACCCATATCGAAAGACCAGATGTAGTCTGTTGAGGATTGTGCTGAGAGGCAGAACGTAGCTCTCATTAAGGTGGTCACAAGCTTTGAAAAGGCAGTAAGAGCGCGTATTTGCAAGTTTTTGGTCATAACACTCACTACTGGGAATGCAAAAGATAATGACCTATAGTGCACCTGTGGACCGCGAAATTCATCCTCTGCAACGTCCTCGTGGGAGCCTATGTTTTCTAAAGGTAGAGCTGGTGCAGAGAGCTGAATGGTTGAGTCAGATCCTTTTGATCACCTTGTGCGCTAGTTAAGAAGCTTAGCGATAGAGCAAATTTTACGAGTATTAACATTCTCACCTTAAGAGAGATATTCGTGCTCTAGTAAATACGTGCCCTTGTAAAGAGCAAAGCATGCATGTAGGAAACACCAGAGGCCTGACTTTGTACGAGTGGCCAAGAATAGTCCCCATGGCCACCAATTCCTCCATTTGGAGATGTTCTGGCACACTTGGCACCCCTGAAGCCGCTGAAACATTCTCCCAATCAAGCAAGACTCGCTGTAATTACTGCCTAATTGGGCTAAAGTTGCCGCGGACAGACGTCACCTGATCCCTGCAGCCCCCAACCTTCTCCAACAACAACTCAACTTACAATACAAGTTGCCCTTTCTCAACACACAAACACCCCGAACCCATATCAATTGAAGTATGCAAACAGTATCAAGATCTCGAGACCAGCCTCAATATGCCATCCGAACCGCATCGACCGACGTCGTTCCGCACGGGGGAGACCGAGCCTTTGCTTGAGCCAGCGACACAGGCGCACCTCGCTGGAGATGGAATCCTGGACAGTGACCCCCGATCTCCAACATCGACGGACGAGCTTCCTGAAGAAAGAGCAACCTTACGTATTGCGGCAGCAGCATGGTCTTTTGCGGTGGTTGGATTGTTCACGTCAACGACGGGCGCCGTCATCCCTCATCTAGAGGAGTCTTACCAACTCACGGATATCCAAGTTTCAGCGCTCTTCCTCGTCGGGCCTATTGGCTACGTTATTGCGTCGTATCTCAATGATTCGGTCCACGCCAAGTTCGGCCAGAGAGGCATTGCTATCATCGGCCCGCTATGCCATCTGCTCTATGCAGCTGTGGCTGCCGCCCGTCCTCCATTCCCGGTGTTCCTGATGGGTGCGGCTGCCGGGGCATTTGGAGTTGGACTTGTGGATGGGTCTTGGTGTGCTTGGTTCGCCGCTTTGGATAATTCGAATACCTTGTCAGGGCTTCTGCATGGTTCGTTCTCTACGGGAGCCGCTATTTGTCCCTACCTGGTGGGCTTGATGCTCTCGGAAGACGGCGGGTTGTGGTATCGCTGGTACTATGTCCTGGTAGGTCCTCGAGCGAATCTTGCAAGTGACTTGGTGTGCTGACAGAGATCCCAGACCGCAGCAGCTGCTATCGAATCTTGCATCCTTTGCTGGGCGTTCAGAAACGAGAACGCAGAGAGATACCACAAAAGCAAGCTATACCAAGAGATCGCAAGCGACCCTGCCTCCAAAGGAGCCATCTTCAAATACAAGGCAACGTGGGTATATGCGGGGTACCTGCTGATATATGTCGGAGCCGAATGCACCATCTCCGGCTGGATCGTAGCATTCATGCTTCGTGTCCGGCACGCGAGCACCTACGCATCGAGCATCTGCTCGTCTGCGTTCTGGGCCGGTATGGCAGCGGGGCGGCTGATGCTGGGCGTGGTGACCGACAAACTGGGGGTCAAACGAGCCGTCGTCGTTTACCTCATCTTCGCCCCAGTGTTCACCCTGCTGTTCATTTTCGTTCGGGTGTTGTGGTTCTCGGTCGTTGTTATGGCTCTGCTTGGGTTCGTGATGGGGCCTCTGTTCCCCTCGGCCATCGTCCAGTTGGTCAATCTATTGCCCAAGGAGCTGCATGTCGCTGCCGTCTCATTTGTCGCGTCGCTGGGGCAGGTTGGCGGCGCGTTGCTGCCGTATATGCTGGGAGCCATCACGCAAGTGGCAGGGCTAGAGACTTTCCAGTACATGCTTCTGGTTCAGTTTGGTATCTTGTTCATTATCTGGATCCCCTCCTTTGGCCTGTCATCTGGCCAGTAGCCTTTTGTGTAGGTATGCTGTTATTTCAAGCATTCTTCATTTTTAGGACTTGAAGTCCTTTTCCCCGCACCCTATAAACCTTGTTTTCGGAAGCATTTCCGATGCAATTCAGACACACAATATAGACGATTATCGTGAGCACTCCATGCTAAACTCAGACCAGGGGAATGCTGAGCACGTTAGAATCTGATCAGTAGAAGGATAATAAGGCATTTTACGCATTAACCGTGCCCTCGCCCTCTGGATTATTCGTGGTCTGGGCATACCTTCCCCAGACAGCTTTGCCTGAAGTCGTTGTCAATCCAAGCTCGCTGACGTTCACCTCCATAACGGTGCCACGCGTCAAAACTCCGAGGCGAGTGTACATCGGGTCCTGTGGGTTCTTCTTGATGGACAAGATAGGGGCCTTCAATGTGACGCCTAAAGTAGGATGGCTGACATGGGCGAACTTCTGACGAAGTCCCATCAGTCTAGAGTATAAAGGCAAGGTCAGCCTTCCGATAGCCCTCGGTGGAAGATGTGTCAACAAACCTAATGAACCTCTCTGCCTTCGGGTTCTGCCTGTTGAATCCTTTACCGACAAACGTAGGCTTCGTGATCATGCGCTTTCAGCTCTCGTGATGTGTCTTCCTTCCCTAGCGACGACCTTGAATATCTCCTACTAAGAGATGCCGCGAACCTTGGGTAGGGGGGCGTTAAAACGGGCAGCCTTCTCATTACGCCTCTGCTTGATTGATGATGACAGGGTTTTTGCGGCACTTTGGGTCGTCTTGGTCTAGGAGATAGTGCGGGACCGGGTCGGGAGGGAGGCTGTCGTCGGCGGTCTTGATATTCTGCTCCTCGAGACCTTTGAAAGGCTTGCGCATCTGGATCTTCTCATGGCGGCTATTCTCTTGCATCATCTTTGCGCGGATGCCGCGCAACTCCTGGGCATCGTAGGATTGCTTGTGGCCAGTGCGGGCCAGGCGCTTTCTCTCCCTCTCCTCGATGTCGAGTCTGTGATGCAGATGAACGTTGAGCATCAGGCTAGGTGAACTTTGGAAGTGAGATAAGTACACCGCTGTCCATGCAGCTTCCTCCACCGCTCCATGTACTCATTTTTCGGCATCTTGATGACGAGAGGGCGATTCGGCGCACTTGAAGATACCAAGTGGATTGGTGAAAGCTGAGCTCCGGTGATTGGGCGGGGTAAGTCGAACCGCACATTATCCGGCCCCATCGTGCGGCGCCGGTATGGGATCCACCCCGCCGTCACCGGCGGGGTGGGGCCTTTGTGAACAGAGGCGGCAGCGTGAGTTCTCCTGGTGCTTCTGCCGAAAAGGGTTCTGAGAGTAAGTCCAAGCTAAGCGCTATACTAAAGCAATGACCTGCAGTTGATTACCAATTCGGTCTGGACTAGTTGGTTCTTCGACTTCAATAATCGGGATCGGACGTAGATGGCGTTCTAAACCCGAGAACGAGAACGAGATTGGTCAAAGCCGATATTTGCTTGTAATCCTGCCCGGAACCAAAACACCCCCGCACCGCTTTCCATGTAAGCAAGGAATTCTCAAAGAACAACTGCGTCACTGTGACTAATATTGCGCCCGACGATAAAGAGGCAGGATTACAGAGATTGAAGTAATTGCGCTCAGTTTCCTACGATCGTGTCTAGCTCTTTTAATCCAATATACCATAGAGATCATGCTTGTTCCCAAGGTTATGAAGGCGGTGATCTGCCCTACGACTGGCCCGATCTCCGTGCTGCAAATTCAGCAAATAGCAGTCCCCGTTCCTCAGCCCGGGCAAGTTCTAATCAAAATCCTCGGTTTCGGAATCAACAGGGCTGGTAAGATCGAATCACATTTCTGACCTCAGTTGCAGAGAGTCTAATGAGTTTCCAGAAATGTTCACACGCCAGGGCCACTCTCCCGGAGTTCAATTTCCCCGAATCATTGGCATCGAGTGCATCGGAACCGTCGCCGCCCACCACGCCCCTGCCCCCGGCACCGCTGGTCTTTCGATCGGGGCCCGCGTCGCAACATGCATGGGCGGTCTCGGCCGCGAAATTCCCGGCTCTTACGCCGAGTATGTCTGCGTGCCCGCCGAGAATGTTCGCCCATTCCCCCAGACCAGCCTTCCGGTCGCCACCCTAGCATCTTTGCCCGAGATGTTCCAGACTACTTGGGGCGCCCTAGTGAAAGGGCTGGATTTCAAACGTGGTGAGAGTCTGCTGGTCAGAGGCGCGACAAGCTCAATTGGTATCTGCGCAATTCAGATGGCGCGGTACCTGGGGGCATCTCGCATCGGTGGCACGACGAGAAGCGAGGCGAGGACCAGCATGCTCAAGGATCACGGCGCGGATGAAGTCTATGTTGATGGCGGAAGCATCGAAGCAGGTGTTTCGGCGAGCAGTGCAGGCAAGTTCGACAAGGTTCTGGAGCTTGTTGGCACCACGACTTTACGAGATAGTGCTCGGTGCGCCGTGGAGATGGGAACGGTGTGCATGGCAGGTATTCAGGGCGGCGAGTGGGAGCTGACTCAGTTCTCCCCGTTCGAGTTCCTTCCGAACCGAGTCCGGCTTTCGGTGTACGGTGGTGGGCCGGATGATTTTAGGGCGTGTCCATGGGAAGAGCTTATCCAGGCCGTTGAAGACGGGAAGATCAAGGTCCCAGTAAAGGGTTTCAGTTTGGATGAAATTCAAAAGGTCCATGAAATACTGGAAAGTGGCGGCGGTGGAGCAAAGTTGGTTGTCGTGATATCTGAAGATTAGCCTCTGATTACGGATGCGGAATCGACTGCTCATCCAAACTTAGCCTATCTCCCCGCCGCTCGCGTGACGTCGGGTAAGCTTAAAGCACAGAGCCACATTCCGCGGTGCTCGACGCCAAGCACGGGTCCGGCAGAATTCTTTCACGATGGGGACTGACATGGGCCCTGCCAGTGGGTATTCGTACGATCATAATCATAATTGATTGCGCTGCCCTATCCACCGCCAGACCGCTCGCACTCTTATCCCACCGACATCCGATCACCTCTTGAACGGCGTTTGTGACTGGCTTTCATCGTCCTCCGTCCACCAGAATTCCGTCTTTTTCTGGATACCAGGCTGTAAAGGAATATAGCTATTCGAGCTTCTCGTCTCGGATCCTCGTCGGCGGGAACGGACCATTGTCGATGGCACTTCGAACTGGTCGCCTCGGAGTTTGCTGTTGACATAACCCGACTCGGTGGGATTTGAACGGCCGGTTGAGCCAGGGATCGCGTGGGAGTCGTTGCTCCCGAAGAAATGGACCCATATCGACCGCGAGAGGGCCAGGTTCGCTGCGATGATGCCCAGGAAGAGCTCGAGGTTTGACCAGATTCCGGCAATGCAGTATGCCCCTGTCGAAACTTTGTAAGATATCACTTGACCAGGCAGAATGGGAGACTTACAGCTAAGGTCGGTTGTTGTAATACCAAGAGATGCGGCTCTTGCAATACCGAAGCCCGTTGCACTGTATTTTAAGTTAGCTGTAGGACTGAAACAGAGAGGCTAGGCCGTAGAGAGGGAAGATCCGCGGCATTTGGATGGTGGAAATTGTTCTTACGCTAAGCCCAGTCCCATCAAGAAACACACTGAGACTTTTGTCCGTCTCGGCATATTGACGTTCCAGACGACGGCTAGAGGCAAAAGGGAGCATATCAAGTCGGTCAAAACCGAGAAGGCTGAATGTTCGAATGTTAGTTCCATCACGCAGAATAGCCCCTTCGGTTTCCATGGTTTCAAAGGTTTTGTTAGATTGGATCAACGTACCGATTGTAGCCCAAATCGAGTAAATTCGAATCTGTGTTGGCCAACATTTTGCAGACTTCCCTCGCCAGAAACCCGCAGGCTGACATTCCGCAACCAAAATAATGACCACTCCAAAGTTCGAAACCAAGACTCCTCCCATGATCGTGTATAGCAGGATCTTTAGGACTTTGGTGTCTTTGATCCGCAAAATAAGGAGACAGATCGACACCTTCAGAAAGGCTACTGCGAGGAATAGCAGAATCTGACCCCACCACCCGTACATGTTGATCATCATGTAGTCATAGTCGCTGAGATAGACGCGGTGTCTGCCGTTGCCGTACTGTTGTTGCTTGACCACGAACGCAAACCGTACAATCGAGACCCCACTCGCTATGAGAATCGTCCAGTCGTCCCAGCCAAGCTTTCGATTCGCTGCTCGAACCCATATTCGAGCACTGGTGGTGATGATCATAAGTGCGGTAAGGACGGCCGCGGTTGCAACGGAGGCGGGACCGATGTCCTCGTCGGGAGGGAGCGCCTCGTCTCGTTGGAGGATGCTTGTTGACATTGTCAGGATCGATTTGAGATGCCCCATGGCTGGTTTTTTTTTGCATCGACGCTGTTCAACTGATCTGCCTTGACTTCAGCGTGGTGTCCAAAGCCACGAAATCGGCGAAATAATCTTGGGATAGTCGGTGCACGAGGCTGGGTTCTATATGTCCATCGTGCGGTCCGACCGACAGCCTGCCACAGTATTATGTTTGATACACATATTCTGCAAGGACTCTTTGCCAGACCGGGTAGGCAATTCGTCCGACTGTTCAAGGGCGAAGTCGCTGGGGGCCCCAGATATTGCGACACCACTCGGTCAAGACATGGCCATTCAAACGTGCCAGATGGCATTAGACTTTCCGCCCGCAGAGGCTTCGAAGCGCGCAAGAATGCAGCGGAAGGCCTCCCCAGAGTGCGGAATCTCCTGTGCGACCAGCGTGCCACGCAGTCGCGCAGATAAGTGCAAGGGATGCCAATGCCCTCGGTTGGGGCCCTTGTTGATTGTTTTCAGGCTTCCTGACTCGCATCTCCACTGAATGTCTGGGCATTATTTTGGGAAGGCAAGTGAGATCGGAAAAGCCCCAGCGAGAGAGACGAACCGGTCGCAGGGCGCGTGAGACATGACAAAGTTCCTTGCGCAGAGAACAACGGCCCGAAGAAGTTTGTGGGACGTGCCGGACTGAAGGTGATCTTCCGGATCTCTCGAGCTCTTACTGACGGAGTAACTGCACCGTGATATTTTCCAACGTCGGGGCATCTGAGTCCCGGGGAAAACTTGTTTGTGGGGGGGATATGATGTCCATGATGACTGTGGTGGAACAGGAAAAGATACAAGGTAGTTCTAACAAAATTCAATAAATCGCATGGACTTTCGAGCAAGGCAAGTCCATGGAAGCTGGAGCCAAAGCTCCTGGGATGTGCCGTACCGACGGTCCAGCCCGCCTCCAGGTGACTAATGGTGGACATCGCGAGAATCCACTGCATCATCAACTACTTCGAATTACGGAGAATGTTGACTGACTGCGGTCCAAGAGGTCTTTCGAGTACTTCTCGTAGGACCACGACAGAATTGATGGGAGTGATGATTGATAACTGCAGGCGAGCGAATACAAACCGGCACACAACCTCAATTGAGGTCTGTTGCTCGTTTATCCACATTTTTCAGCACAACCAAATTCGCCCCTTTCCGCGCCGCCTTGGCGCATGCTCGTGTGATATTCGCAAGAACAGAACCCGAGTATCCCCTGTCACTTTCAGTGAACGTTAAGCAGAACTTCTTCCCGCAGCTGCCGCTGTCGCTACCGGCGTGGAGTTTGTGTTAGGGGGCACGACCGGGGTAAACTGCCGAATCCCTGTCACAACGCCCGACAACAGTGGCACCCCTCTTCTTCTCCCTCCCCAAAAACATGGCAGTTGGGAGAGAAAACACATTGAATCCAACACTCAAGGTTGCGAGTGGCGTCTAATATCTGGGCGGTGTTCTCTAGCAATGAAACCTCACCGGATTCCCATCTTCACCCCACTCGGGAGTCAGCCTGACCGTTCAAACTCGGGCCAATCCGTCGGCGTGCTGTGATGCATCTGCAAGGGCCGATACTGCGGTTCGTTGGAACCAACCCTGCCTTCCTCGGGACCTTTGCCTTGGGATGGGCCGATGTGATTGATCAAACGGCAAATGAAATCGCTTTATCGCGCATCGGCTTGTCATGGCACCCCAGGATCTTTCGTACAAAAGGGTTGACGGAACCTTTTCCGGAGCAACCGTACGAACCTCACCCCCTCCTGTTTACCTGACTCAAGGGCCAATTCAAGCTCGTGTTGGGCAGCTTGAGATCGTCGTCGACACCCTTTCCCTCGACGTTCGTGCCACCCTCTAACGCTCGGAAGGTATGTTCGTCTCATATTCACAGCCTTACGCGTCGCATCAACGGCATGGATTCCCTTGAGTCTAGAACCGCATCGTCACAACTCATCTGGCGCACGGATAGCTAATATCAGCCGTAGCCAACATGCTCCCTGCCACTATACTCACGGCCCTGCTGGCGACCGTCGCGACCGCGGCTCCTGGGAAGCGAGCCGCTGAGGCCTACGACTATGTACGTGTCATGTAGCAAGCTGAAAAGCCAAGTTGGACTAAAAGCTGACAATGTGAAGATCATTGTCGGAGGCGGTACGGCGGGCCTTGCCCTCTCAACCCGCCTGAGCCTGGGCCTGCCCAATGCGACAGTCCTTGTCATCGAGGCCGGCGAAGCAGGTCTTGGAGATGAACGCATCGAGATCCCTGGACGCAGAGGCACGACATTCGGTACCAAGTACGACTGGAACTTGACGACCGTGCCCCAAGAGGGTTCCGACGGGCGCGTTTGGGTCCAGACACGAGGCCATGTTCTGGGCGGCAGTTCCGCGCTGAACCTCTTTTCATACGACAGAGCGTCTGCCCATGAGTACGATGGCTGGGAAGAGCTGGGAAACCCTGGTTGGAACTGGGATTCGATGCGCGCCGCTATGATGAAGTCCGAGAACTTTACTTCGGCCAACACGCAGTATTATACAGGAAGTGAGGGTGTGGGAGATTCGGGCCCGATCAAGGCGCTGATAAACCGCCTTATCCCCGAGCACCAAGCTGGGTTGATACCTGTGATGAACAGCCTCGGTATCGAAACTAACTTGAAATCGTTGAACGGCAATTCCTTGGGCGTTCTATACTCGCCTAACAGCATCGAGCCAACCCACTACAACCGGTCTTATAGCGCTAACTCCTATCTTCCTTTGGCTGGAACAAACCACTTTGTGTTGACAGAGTCCAAGGTTGCCAAGGTTAACCTCAAGCCTACATCCGACGGAAACCATCAAGCTACAGGTGTTACACTAGTCGACGGAACCACCCTGACAGCCCGTCGCGAGGTCATTGTTTCAGGCGGTGGTCTTCTCAGCCCTTCTATCTTGGAGAACTCTGGCATCGGTAGCTCTGATGTACTTTCCGCTGCAGGTATTGAGCAGATCATCAAGCTCCCAGGCGTCGGCGAGAACCTTCAAGACCACATCCGAATCCAAAGCTCATACGAGCTCAGCAAGAACTACACCGGGTACGATCGCCTAAAGTACGACACTGCCTATGCTGCTGAGCAACTGCAACTGTGGTGGGATGGCGAGACGTCGATGTACGGATACTCTGGCAGCGGCTACACGTTCACCAACTGGAACCAGGCTCTCGGTGACGAGGGTGAAGCGGACATGCTTGCGCTTGCTCACGAGGCTGTGGGGGCTTCCGATCATCCAGTCGAGCAAAAGAAGCTTCAGTGGTTGAACGATACCACTGTGCCACAACTCGAGATCCTATTCAGCGATGGATATACTGGCGTCAAGGGATACCCCGCACAAGGGACTGATGGGTACGGCAAGGACTACGTGACTCTCATCGCTGCCATCATGCACCCTCTGAGCCGTGGGAACGTGCACATCAACGCCTCCAACCCACTGGGTCCACCTCTTATTGACCCCAAGTATCTATCCCACGAGTACGACCTGCAGGCGGCCATCCAAGCCATCAAAAAATGTCGCCAGGTAGCGCTCACAGAGCCCCTGAGATCGACCTGGGTCTCAGAGTATGAACCCGGCTTGAACACCACCACAGATGCCCAGTGGAGGGACTTTGCCCTCAAGACGGCCTTGTCCATCTACCACCCCGTTGGCACCTGCGCCATGCTTCCGAAGCAGGATTGTGGAGTTGTTGACCCAACTCTCAAGGTCTATGGAACCACGAACCTACGGGTCGTTGACGCCAGCATCATGCCTGTGTTGATCTCAGCTCATATTCAGACTGCGGTCTATGGCATCGCCGAGAGAGCCGCTGAGATCATCATTAATGCGGCCACGAAATGAGCTTGACGATGTGAACAGTCATGACGACATGCCTCGGATTATGCCGAGTCATTATGGATTATGTACCTAATGAATTGAAGTTGATCATACTATATGCCTCTGTCCCTTCTGCAGCGCGTGATGTAGACTCTTGGGACTATCAGTAGGTTGCTACTTGGAACCGTACGTTTCCTTCCACTCGTTGAGCCAAGCTGTTACAAACTCGACCTCAAATGCCTGGGCTTCCTTGACGGGTCCAGGTGGCAAGTCGGCCGTGGTCTCGTTTTTGAACAGACCATTCTCATCCCAGTGATGTACCGCTCCTCCCCCGATGACAAGGTTGGGCTCGTTGATGGTCGACTCCGGCCGAGGCAATCCAATCTTGTTCGGAGTTGCCTGTCTCCACGGGTCCGATTCTCCATCAATGATTGCTACGCGGGGGTAACTGAAGTTATAGGCACCATATTTGTTGATGGCCTCCACGTCAGGTAGTGTTGTCACGTTGAATGCCTTGCGGCAGATCTGAGTTGTGTAGTTGAGGTCGATAAGACGCGAGATCAGTGGCAATTGAGTCTCAGGGACACCGGAGCCAGTTTGGAGGTATCCCCACCTTGGCATCTAACGTTAGCCACCAGATCGCTGGAGGAAATGTCAATTAACTTACTGCGTGCAGTACTGCCAGGACCATAGTCGCCAGGTTTGCCGGAGATCATCCGCAGAATACGCGTCGTCGTCCCCGGAGCCGAAGCAGTCGTCCTGATCCTGCCCACGGCAGGAGGCAACCGTTGTGAAGTTGACGTAGCCAATGTAGTTCTTGAAGCGCGTCGCCAACTCCTCGACCTCGGACTCATATCCGCCAATGGCGAGCAGTTCTCGGACTGCACCATCCAGACTCTCCGTTCCTGGCCAGTAGACCTCATCAGAAGTCATGTTTGCGCAGTAACGCAGGAAAGCCCTGCTATCAATCGCGGGGTCCCAGTTGCGGCCTTGCAGGCCGCTGATCCCGCCATTGATCGTGCTCGCAAAGTCGGCACTGCTCGTCACGTTTTCGAGTCCGAAGGCGGTCTTAAGAAGGACGATGTCGTCCGCAGTGGTATTACCCTTTTGAAGCAAGATGTTGTCAACGACGTGAGTCAGCTTCTGCGTCGTCTCGGCGCACCCCTCAGGAGCATAGAGTCGTGCAGCTTCGTAATACTCCCAGTAGTCTACGACAGCCGCCGTAACACCCGACGACGAGATTGCGCCCCAGAAAACTTCTGGATACAGCTTGCGCAAGAAGGCGACGAACGCGCCAGCATAGGAGCCTCCATACAAGATCCAGGGGGTGTCGGGAGCGGTTAGGCTAATGTTCGCGAGCTTTCCAGGGAAGACGACATTCTGCGCAAAGTATGCTGTATCAGCCAAGGCCTGGTCGGTGGTCAAGAACCGCAAATTCTCAGTGCTGAAGTCCGGGGTTGGGACACTGCTGCCGTAGTATCGGTGCTCCAATATCACGCCGACTCCGTTGGTTGCCTCGGCCAAAATGGCCACAATACCCTTCTGCAAGAATGCCAATCGACCCAGCCCGCTGGTTTCGCCCGATGCCAGCGCAATCACCGGACCGCCGGGCTTGTAAAACCGGTCGTCGTACCAGTACCGCAGCGGGAACGAAGCATTTGAGTGCGGCTCATAGAGCGAATCGTTGTGAAAATGGTCGACTGGCACCGACAAGTTGTAGGCGCGGTAGAGCGTTGTAGGATCCGGCGCTCCAACTGCAGTGTCGTTGGCGAGCAATCGGAACACTTCCGGCGCTGCAGACTCAGGTTCCGATTCGCCAGCGATGCTCTTCCGAATCTCCGGAAGACTCAGCTGGGGACCCAGAGCAGCCGAAACTCTGATAAAGCAGAGAAGGCCGGTGGCCAACCATGAAGGAGCCATCATTGAGGGCGATCTTTGAACGACCAAGATGGGACGAACTTCAGATGAACGCTGGACGCGGCAATAAGCTCCCGACCGGCGGGTGCGCCGTTATTTGTGCCATTTGCGCAACCAACGCTCGCTGATCTCTCCCGTGGACTCCGTGGTGTCATACGAGCCTCCAGGGGATCGATTGCGTTTGGCCCTAGCCAATGTTACCTCCCTTATCGAAATGTTTTGTCACGTCAAATACCACCAACCATTTATGTGAGCGTAGCGATTTCGACCTTCCCGATATGCACAAACCCGTGCACGTTTTGCGGGTAGCCAAGAGGAAACACCTGGCTTTCGACGTCATGGATCCTTGCCTGTGTGACCCCTCATTACAGTGAGTAACATCTCGGGCAGTCGGGCGAGATCTGTATTTCGGCAGCTCATGAGGGAAAATGACTTCGACTTGCCGATGAATACCCAATTGCTGCTCGGTTCAGACTGCGGCTCTCTAGGTGTGCGATCCACAACTTCAGCCCGGTCGCCGGCCGGGGGGGCCAAAATATTCGCTCGGCAGCATTCCCCGCTCACGGATCTACAACTGGAGTCGGTGCCTTCAGTTGCTGTCGAGACTCTAGCAAATCGTTTGTCTCGCTGTAATCACCAATTTGAGTGTTTTGATAGCTGCAGAATGGCGGCGATTGAGGGCTGGATGTTAGTATGTGGCAACCAGCTTTGGGAATCTCGAGAAGTGAGAGATAGCCATCCAAGGCTAATTCGCTCTGCAATGGTTGCTGCAGCTTACTATGAAAGCCAATATTACGCAAGCGCCTTGCGGCCGGTCAATTCAAGATGGAGAGTCACAGTGAATACCAAAGATTTAATACAAGGGCAGATTGCGAAGCCGGTCCTTTTCCCCAAGTTTCGCTTGCTCAACTTGAGGTGCGGCAAAGCATGGGGATTTGAGTGGGTTGTCGATGTTCTGGTTAGGGAGCCCCCATGGGGAACACCAACTCTTCTAACACATTGCTTGTGATTCTGCCAACATGCAATGAAAGTCTGATGAGCCAGAATGGAGGAAGCAAGCGTACAATAAATGCAAAGCGCAGGCTGCTGCCGCTCCCAACATGACAGCCACCATCACAGACCACCAGTTCTGACTCGACATGAGACGACATTCAGCCCCCAAGACTCGCGCTGCCCCCACTGTGCCACTGGACCGGACACTTCGGTCAACTAAAAGTCCATTATGTTTAATCTATTTGCCTTTGATCAGCAATCCGCCAGCACGGTTCTGTCTCGTCTCATCTCGCCCTACCCGGGAAAAGATGGGTCGCCGAGGCGAGTATGGCCAACGTGCTGGCTTAATCCGAACTCTTTCTCGCTAGTTCGTCTCATCCCAATGTTTTAGATGAAACCGAGCAGAGCTAGTTGTACATTTCCTCTCGATTTACTCGCAACAGATTTATTATTCAGCTTGTGATAACTCCAAATAGCTATGCGTTGAACTCAAATAGACATTACTGACTCGGAAAAGAGGCCGGGCTGAGCTTCAACTCCAGAGGCTATAAAGCCTTGAACTCATTCGCTTAATTAACGTATTCAGCAACCATCGGCTTCAGCGACATTCACTCCTTGACAGATTTGATCGTTTTCCCAAATTCATCAGACCCCAGACATCAAAATGCGTTTCTCTACCCTCGCCGCTGCCGCTCTCATTTCTGTCGCCTCCGCCGACTTCACCTCTTACTGCTGTGGCAGCTCCCGACCCTTTTCGGAGGGCGACATTGCTTGGGCCTTGGATCCCAAGAACGGACGCTCCCAAGAGCTGGGTATTGCCGGAGGTGCCAAGTACACCTACAGAACTGGCATGTGCACGTTTGGCGGCGACACGCCCATGGCTTGCGGCAAGTACACAACCACCGCTCGCACATCTGAGCGCGCCGGAACCCAGTTGAAGAACGGCTTCCTTTCTTGCGACGATCCTTTGTACATGAAGGCCAACCTCTGGGTCTGCCCGTTCTAAATACCCACAATATGGACATGTAAGCTATAATTCCACTGATAGCGACGCCATCATGCTAACTCAGATGGCAGAAACCCTCTCAAGTCTGATTATCTCCCCGTTTAGCGCCAAAGCATTGACTGGAAATGGGAACGATCCGATCCAAGTTACTTAACGCTGGGCTTGAGCAAGGTTTCATTGTATATTTTCACTTTCATGACGGCACCTATGGATATCCGCGAGTCTCTTTTCGATACCCAGAATATAAAACATCTCTCTAGCATTGAGAAGTCGAACTATAAACTTGTGACAATTCTTGTGCTGTTTGGCGCAATTCAAACATCCCGCCGGCAGAGAAATGTTCAAGGGTCAGCTCGTGGCTGAGCCACGAACACCGCATTTTCCGTGTTTGCCCATTGCTCCGCTCTAATTGATGAGTTCGACGTGAAGCCAAACTGATGCTATGCGAACCCATGAGAAGATTCCGATCGGAAACAATCCCGAGTAGGGATCCGTATTGAAATGTAGTGATCACATGAGACACCTAGTAATCTACAAAGAAGCGCAACGACAAATTTCTCCCTTCCTCGCTACGCCGGGATTGAAGCTAGTCCAAGTACCTGTACTAAGATTTACACGCCAACGCAAGGTTGTGTGGGAGCGTAGCCTTATCTAGACATATTTGCAACATCATCAGAAATATCACGTTTCGAAGCCTTGATCACGTTATTGTCGTACTCCGTATATGATGACTGCAACCACTTCTGATCGCTTCGTAAACGTGACTACAGGTATTTATACATATTGCAAGACGCGTTCGTCATCGACTCCCTCTTTCCTGGGAAATCTAGGACAAGTGATCCCAATCTCCGCACTGTCCCCGGTTGTTCTGGCACCAGGTCCATGGGTCACCAAAGTGTCTGCAGCGGTACTTGGTTGAAGATGTGCCATCCGCTAGTTACTGCAGTTAGCTCCTGCTTTTTGGACTTGGTGCAATAGTCTTCTCTCACGTTGGCAGTAAATAGAGGCTCCAGATCCCGTATCACAAGGGCAGCAATCGCGATTCTTGACGCACTCAGCTGAAAGAATTATTAGCATGCCAAATCTTGAGCTACGCTGGGGGTGCACTTGCCTCCAAGACCCTTATGAAGTTGAGGGTCTTGGGCACTTGCGGTCGCGAAGACCAGCGTAAAGGCGGCGAAAATGGAGAATCTCATTGTGGTTGTTGTTGTGGGTTGTACCGAATATGAGAAAAACCGCAATGCCGAGAAGAACTGTCTTAGTATGAGGGCCTGGCTATCATCTCAAGCTTTATAGTCGCTTTTATCTAGCGAAAGGCTTAGCGGAGCTTATGTGAGATCCGGTCGAACCGAAATGAGGACTGACTGTAGAGTTTCCGAGAGAATATCCGGCGTATTGGGCTATGCAGAAGACTTCGTTCTTCGTCTGGAGTAAGCGAAAGCTGTCAATACGGTTCAGGCTTCTCGTCGGGATCATCGTGGTCTGGGTGTTACAAGCCGGAAGCGTCGATTGTAAAAGTTGGGAGACCCCACGTTTGTGCATTCTCCGGTGCTTCCAGATTTACGCAGGGAAGACAGGCAAACCTAATTATAGTGCGGGCACTTTTCATTGGACCAACTAGCCAAGAGCATTTAGCGGCTTTACGTTTCAGTGGCAGAGATTGGCCCAAGAAATACTTCTACAGGATACTTACTGGGACAATGCTGCAGTATGTCTGGTGAGGACTGCGATACGTTGACCTCTCATGATGCTGTGTTGTTGAGGAGTCGTTAGTTAGCGTTTCTGAGTGTTGTTTGAGTCTCGAGCATATGTTGCCCCATACATGGAAAGTTGCATCGACGGTAAAGTTTGAGAATGTCTACTGTCTACTACTCAAGGGCTTTGCAATACAGCAAGAAGGTCAAAGTCCGTATTGGACCGGGCGGCAACCAAACAAGAGCCTAAAAGGGGGTTGCGTGGTTGGCCTGAAGTGGATTTTCCCGCCGATAAGGGAAGGGCCTCGCATACATTGACGCACGCCTACATGTGATTTATTCGTCCAAAGACACGTCCGAAGTCCGACTGGATCTGTCTCCATGATCGACAACCACGTACCATCTGATTTGCATCTATCCAAGCCTCCCGAGACGGTCGCATTAGTCATCGTGGTCATCCGAACCCTCGGATTCAGGACTGTGCTCATAGAAAGCTCCGTGTAAAAATCATGACTCGAATGAGTGTTGGTAGGTGCTTCAACACCCGATGCCGTGTGTCCGGAGTCTGATTCGAGATGGAGTCGATATCTCCTACAACGTATCCGGAGTAGACCGTGCTCAGTGAAGGGTTAAAGACTGTAGACTAAGATCCGACTCCCCGATTAGCATATGAAGAGTCTGTATCCATTTTCTGACCGGCTGGATGCTGAGCGAGTGCTTCGCCCATCCCTTTCGCAACGGGCTTTTGGTACAAGAAGGAAATCATGTATAGCAATCCCCGCCGCCTTCAGTCAACCCCCCCCCTTCAAAAGTTTGAATCCACGCTGAACCTTGGTTGAGTCAGTCACAGCTAAACATGCAACTATAAATACCCTACCCAGCCCCCTTCTTTGCCATCTTCAGAGTAATCGAGAGACGAGTTCGCAGTCGTGACATCAAGACATGAATCATGTCACATGATGGATGATATCTTCACAGCTCGTCCCAAGCCGTCGATGCAAAGCTATTTTTAATACAATCCTCTGTGTCTGTGATCATGGTACCTCACTCATGCTGACATGGTCTTCTTTCAATTGTCCAAGGACATAGGGCATACACGTCTCCGCTCAGCTATCCTGCTGCGCTGAATTGCGTGTTCACAAACGATTTGCGTGGTTTCTGGCACTTAATTGATCGCTACTATCTTCCTCCCAGCAGCTACATTGTTGTTCTATGGCCAGCCTATAGTAGGTTAACTTGGGACAGGACAGAATTGGCTCGCAGGATGCCTAAAAAGGCTACGAAATTGGATTATGGATAATTGATCTGCACCTCAACTGCTGCGCTACTACTGTTGACCTACCCTACGGCTTGGCCTCGTTCTCTTTGCTCTTCGACACCGTTTCTAAAAGATACCGTCGAAAACAATGAGGCGCTATCGAACAAAAGATATATTTACGCGCGCGCGAAATGGCCTTCGGTCAGACATAGCCAGCAGAGGCGATGTTGGTACTGAACGCAGACGGGACCATCTATGAAGCCCCGGTCACCTCTGTTACAAAGGACCCAAAAATGACTTTCAATCGGGCCCTCACTCTCGTCATCTGAATCCGCAGCCGCCAATGACAGCCCTTCCAGTGCTGCTTACCGGCACAGCCATTAGCTCCTTTACAAAAGGCCCTATGCTCGAAGGATCTTGACGTCAGATTAACCTCTATGGCACTTTTGTTATCGGGGTTTGGCTGACAATCAGAATATTCTTTTCTAAGCTGGTGCCGTCTCGTTGCGAATGGGCCCGATAGATGGTTGTCTCATTCAGCTGCTTCGACTTGTATGAGGAGACCAGTGCAGGATTGTTTCGATAGAAGCAATGTATTTCAACAGCTTCGGCTGTGAGAGAAGCACAGGGAATCAAGAAGCCATCGCGGCAGACTCATCCGCGCAGAAGGCAATTCCATCCCGGAAAGTGGCTGATTTATCGCAAGCTTCCGACGCTCTCGCCATGCCGGACCGGCGCGCTAGACAAACTATTCCGGTCGCCTTCCTTATCGAGTGCGAGGATCCCCGCAACGGCAGATAAAGCCAAGAAATTCAATTGGCCAATGCCTGTGAATGACCTGAATGACAGCAGAGAATGGAGGGTCAACCTGGTAGGACCACGCCGGTTTGCCGGTTATCCCTCTCTATCGCTGGGGAAATTGGGAATCAAACGCATCGCGGCCCTTCGAGAACGCCACCCATTGGCTGTCTCTAGGCTCGGGATAGTTGATAGGAAAGATAAGATAGAACTTATGCAAGGGTCTAGCGAATACCATATCCGCGCAGTACGCGTCCGATGGGAAGTGGTCCCGGAGATTGTGATCATTCATTAATGCCAACGATGCCGCGCCGGGCGCTACTCGCTTGGCTTTTCTTGGCTGCTGTCTCTTAATTCCCCGATCACACTGTTCGTCGCATTCTGCTCGGAGGCTCTGAAGACGCTTTCACAATGGCGGCCGACATCAGCCATACGCCTCCCACGTACGAGGACCCCGAAAAGTCCGCCGCGTTTGACGAAGTTGGGCTCAAGACGGCGCACAATGTCCACGGTCACGATGTCGAGCTCGAGAATGGACACCTTGCGGAGTTGGAGGTCGATATGGAACATGTTCTCGAGAAAGTAGACGAAGGAAACTACGATGACGATACTTCGCCATTTCCCCAGGTTCGAGCGGTGGTGCCGGAGACAGATGATACCGCCATCCCCGTCAACACCTTTCGCGCTTGGTTTCTCGGTATTGTACGATGTTTCTGGCCATGAATTGACAAGACAGCCATGCTGACTGGAACAGATTTTTGTCTTTCTCGGCGCCGGTGTCAACCAGTTCTTCTCGCTCCGATACCCGGGTGTCCACATCGTTTCCCTCGTCGCAGAGCTATTGGCCTTCCCCATTGGCGTTGCGCTCGCCAAGGTCCTACCGATCAACCGGTTCAACCCCGATCGCCACTTCAACATCAAAGAGCATGCCCTCGTCACGATCATGTCCAACGTCTCATTCGGCTTCGGTTCAGCAGACGCGACGAACTTGATCCAAGCAGCCAGACTCTATGGCTTCAAGATTCCCGCCGGATTCTCTGTCTTGGTGGTGTTGTGCTGTCAGCTGAGCGGATACGCTGTCGCTGGCCTTGCTATTCCTTGGCTCGTGAAGCCTGCGAGTATGATCTGGCCCGGCGTCCTCAGCAATGTCGCTCTTCTCAGTTCGCTGCACTCGCGAGCTAACGCAGTCGCCGATGGCTGGAGAATCACCCGTGTCAAGTTCTTTATGATCGTCGGCGGTTGCGCTTTCGTGTGGTATTGGTTTCCAGGCCTGATCTTCACCGGTCTCAGCTATTTCACATGGATCTGCTGGATCGCACCGAACAACTTGGCAGTCAATCAGGTCTTTGGTATGGTCACTGGTATGGGCCTGTTCCCTCTGACCTTCGACTGGTCAATGGTCGCGTACAACACAAACCCGCTGCTGAGTCCCCACTGGGCGGCTCTGAATGTTTTCTTCGGTTTTGCCATCTTCTTCTGGGTCGTGACTCCGGCTATCTACTACACGAACACCTGGTTCACTTCGTACATGCCCTTCTGCACGGCGGATGTGTATGACCGGTTCGGTCAGCTGTACAACGTGACGGAGGTTCTGACCAACAATGAGTTTGACCAGCAGAAGTATTCCAGCTATTCGCCACCCTATCTGCCTGCAACCTTCGCGTTCGTTTACGGTCTGTCTTTTGCTTCAATCACTAGGTACGTTGAAGCAGTTGCGCGCAGCAGGCTTTGTACTAACATACAACAGTGTCTTGTCGCATGTTTACTTCTTCCATTGGGATGAGATCACGCGCGCTATGAAGGGCACTCTGAAGCTCGACATCCACGCACGTCTCATGCAGTCTTACAAGACCGTCAAGTGGTGGTGGTGGGCTGTCATTCTGCTTGTGGTCTTTGGCATGAGCATTGGAACTGCTGTTGGCTTCGACACTGGTCTCCCTTGGTGGGGTATTATCCTCGGCTTTGTGATCCCAGCTGTCTACATGATCCCTTGGTGAGTTTAGTCGCCTCAGTCAAATCATCCACGATGCAAGCTAACAACCTTCAGCGGTATGATCCAGGGCGTTACAAACGTCGATGCGAACCAGCTGAATGTTCTGTCCGAATTCATCGGAGGCTACATGTTCCAGGGCAAGCCGATTGCGAACATTCTCTTCAAGATCCTTAGCACCGATGTTGTCGGCCAGGGATTGTACTTCGCACAGGACATGAAGCTTGGCCACTACCTCAAGATTCCCCCTAGGACCCTTTTTTTCGCCCAAGGTCTCGCCACAATCCTTGGCGCCTTGACTCAGACTGGAGTCACGTTGTGGATGTTGGGCAACGTTGATGGTATTTGCGAAGAGAATCAGCCCAACGGCTTCTCTTGCCCCAATGGTCGCACTGTCTTCTCGTCTTCAGTCATCTGGGGTCTTGTCGGTCCAGCTCGGCTCTACTCCGTCGGAGCCATCTACTCCGGCCTTCTGCACTTCTTCTGGATCGGACTTATCCTCCCGCCCATCACCTACTTCATCTGGAAGAAGACAAAGTCCGACTTCATTCGTAAGATTAACTGGCCCCTAATCTTCGTCGGAACCTACAACGTGCCCCCTGCGACAGGCATTAACTACTCCTCGTGGTATATCGTCAACTTGGTCTTCAACAAGATCATTTACCGCAAGTTCTACGCCTGGTGGACTAAGTACAACTACGTTCTTGCTGCCGCCTTAGACACCGGTCTGGCGATCAGCGGAATTGTGATCTTCTTTGCTGTCACATACGGTAAGTTTGGTGTTGACTCCCAAGCATTTTCCGGCAAATTGCTAATGCAGATATTTCTAGGTCCAAATGTCAGTTTCCCAGATTGGTGGGGAAACACTGTCTGGCAGGTTCGTAACCCAGCACTTTCTTTGACTAAGAGTAGCAGCTGACTCGCATACAGAACACCGCTGATGGACAAGGACTGCCCTGGTTACAAATGCCTGATGTCGGATATTTCGGACCTGCAAACGGAACTTGGTCTTAATAAGGATACACTTCCGTAGATCAGTCAATAAGAAGAATGTATCAGGTCACAACGCCTGACAGACGATGTTCTAGTCGTCCAATTAATAATCATAGTTGTCCAATTTGGTTTGAGAGCATCGATATGGCTAAGAGGCCTGTTGCTACCGCTACACAATTTAGAAGCTAATCACTTTTCCAGCTGAATACATCTGTCTTGCTCCTAACCCATCAACTTTCCCCACTCTGACCACCAATGACTGCAACGTTTCAATCATCAAGCGCGTATACCTCATCAAGAGTCCCCTGCAGAAGCTTGATCTGATCTTCCAGGAAAGACCTCATTTCCGGAATATTGAAAGGGCGGCGGGCGACCTCCCGCCCACGTTCTTCCTTCCTCTTGGCCCGAATTCGCTCCTCCAAAATCTCCAGTCGATAATCAGTGAACTGAGTGTACAGGTCCGATAGAACACTGGTAGTGCGGACGCCTGCTAGTGTGGTCTCGTCCTTGATGAAAGGGGACTTCGCGCGGAAAGAGGTAACCATGGAGATGCGCTCGCGACCCCCAGAGGCCTTCAGGGCCTGGTGCTCGATGTAGCGCCCTTGCATGACGACAGCAGTGCCCTGTCAAAACGTCAGAGACAAGTTCAATCTGAAATTCCGAAGGTCAAGAATACCATTGCCGGTCCGCGGACCTTTCTGATTGTTCCATCCTGGAGCCTGAGCGCTGTTTCGCCCCCGACCATGTCAGAGCAGTCGGAAAGCATGGTCACGACGACGAAGGGATAGCTGTCATAATGCCATGCAACGGCAGAGAGCTTGTCGTCGTCAGATGACCTCCAGTTCTGGACGCTGTTTTCGTTCTCGTCATTGATGGAAACGTTGACATTGCCGATATCGACGTCAACAGCGGGGATAAGCTCGACGCCTGCAATCTCAGCGATTTTGGCGAGGACCTCGGGGGACTTCCAGGCGTCGTAGATGAACGGGGCTCGGCTGCCGCCTTTTTAGCATTATATCGCAACACCTGGGCCACCTCGGCTGGACTTACTCATGGCCCATCCCGCGAATCATGTTCTTGATGAAGGAAGACTGGTATCGGCAGTCCTTGAGGCATTCATCACTGAACGCCTCGGCTCTCATTTGCTTGATAGCCTCCTCGGTGAACAAGGGGAATGGTTCACAGACTGCCGTGGGTGCGATTCCGTGGCCATCGAGGCCGATCTCCTTCATTGAGTAGATCTTTGACGGTGGCTGGTAGTTTAGGTGCTTCTTGGGATCGAACGGCTCATACTTAGTTGCCTTAGCTTCATTAATGAGGATTTGGGGAATTGGCTCCTTTGGGCGGGTGATTCTCTTGGTTGAAGGGGCGACGACCTTTGGTGCGTCCGGGGATTTCGCAGGGATTGATGAGAAACTCGTGATGGCCGAGGTAGTCTCGATTGGCGATAGTGCAGATGGCATTGTGACTGAATTCTTGGTTATCCCGAAGTTCAAAGTTGGTGGGCGGACGCCAATAGCTTGGGTACCTTAGATGTATTAGTAGAGTCTGAGTTAATTGATGCTCACGAATGGACATGGAAGACATGACTCTCTCAGTTATATAAATCAAGCTCCATGCACGAACATTTTCATATGACCGATGATATTGCCAAGCTCGGTTTCCATTTGAGTACACCACTAGTGAAGTCGAAGACGTTGCGACAATCCGCCAGTCGCAGTTTGGGTTGCTAATCGGATCCCTCAATCGATGTGACACGTGCACCCCTGCGACGCGGCTTCGAAGGCATCGGTTTTGGCGATCGTATTGCACTCCATTACTGTCAAAGAATGTACAAGTTCCTGTTACTGTAACAGCGAAGCTAACCGATGAATGACCGACACATTACGCAGTCGGAAGAATGGTTCGGAATTGAAGCCGACCCCTGTCACGCGAATCAACAGACATGCCGATGAGATAGCTCCTTCTCGGAGGCACCACGGATCAACCCACCCCCTTGAGTCAGACGGGCAGCTGTCACACGGAGGGACAGGTATCTATCTATTTGGTATCTAGTGGGCGCAGCCGAGTCCGCGAGGTCCTCAGCCGTTCTCAACTCGGGATCAGGCGTGAACTGAATTCGACGGACGTCTGTGTATCTTGCGACTTGTGGAACTATCCTACGGTAATGCGAGGGAATGACGATAGACCTTAGAACTATATTGTCGGTCGGATCTAGCGCGGGGGTTTCATGAACACAGTTCGGAAGTCTTGCCGAAGCCGGTCAAGTCACCCCGGCTAGTGAGTGTGAGCAGGACTAGTCTCTAGAAGTGCCAACATCTCGTTCGCTGACATAAATTCTCACGTTTAAGAGATGAAATGGCTGACTTTACATCTTATGTATGCATTCTCAAATGTTGCTAAAATTATTGCACTGACTCTGGAGAATCTTCTCGTTTTTACACGGCACTTTTTGTTATCCTACTCAGTTGTGTGCTCAATACATCATCGTCATGCAGGTATCCAATCGGCTGAAGATGTGCTTCGACAAAGGCCAGTCATCGTTCGGTGGCTGGCAAATGTTTCCAGGAGCAAACATCTCAAGAATGCTAGCAAGGACAGGTGTTGATTGGGTGCTTGTTGATTGTGAGCATGGAAACATCGACGGTTAGAAGCCTGGTTCAGTGAGCCAATCAATCACTAGGATGCTGATGATTTGATAGATGGCGCTATGCATGACGCAGTTCCCGCCATTGCCGCGCTGGGAGTTTCTCCAGTTGTGCGATTGGCGGACTTGCAAGGATGGATGGTCAAGCGTGAGGCACCTGGCAACCTATTTGCCATTTGAAGTCATAACATGCTGAATCCTCAAAAGGAGCACTAGACAGCGGTGCGCACGCAGTAAGCTGATGTGGATATGATGAGTAGTGTGGTGCTCGTAGCTGATCCTCTTGTAGATCCTGGTACCATTGATACGAACCGTCGAGGAAGCAAAGCAACTTGTTCGCGAGGCAAAGTTTCCGCCTCAGGGAATAAGGGGATTCGGGTCTCTCATTGCCCTGGAGAGATTCAATCCAAATCCGACACTAACCGAATACCTTCATCAGGCTAACGATGCCCTCTTGACAATAATCCAAATCGAAACTCGGGAAGCATTCGACAATGTTGAGGGCATTGCGGCCGTCAATGGAATCGATGCGTTGTTCATCGGGCCCTTTGATTTAGGTATCGCTCCCCAAAGTTGATGTTCTACAAGTTCTGACTTCTTTATCTGAAGGAAACAGCATTGGCCATCCAGTTCAGAACGGGGTTATGCCACCAGAGCTGGAGGACGCGTTAGATCGGATCCTGACGGCGGCGCATAACGCGGGCAAGAAGTGCGGTATCTATTGCAAGGATGGGGCGCAAGCAAAACACTTCGCAAGCCAGGGCTATGATATGGTCACTGCCGTGACTGATTACACGGCGCTCCAACGGGTAGCCAATGAAGAAGTCGGAATTGCCAAGGGAGCTGCGAAGCCAAAGGGAGTCTTTTAGTTGAGGACTGTACCATCTAGACCCAGAAATGGAAATAAGTCTGCAGTGACGTACTATTCACCATTTTGTCCCCTTCCAAGCTGCTCTGTCAATTGTTATAGTTCTCACAACCCCATCCCACCGGATGGTTAATGGATTATTGATCGGGTTATCGAAAATCTGGCCAGCGGATCCAATCACTATTGTTGGTGTCTCTGTTGGTTGGGCTTCACCCTCGGCCAAGAAAGGATATTCGGCACATGTCAAACGAGTCCGGTCGAATCAAACAGTAGATCAGGATTCTGCCAAGTCCATCGAAGCTGCAGAGTCCTTTTGGTGTCGTACTGTTCCGCGATCGATGCCACAATACGTTGTGGGAGCGGGGTTTGGAAAAAGCAAAGTCCAATGTCCAGACCAACAAAGCAAACTGGAATCATCCGTCTGGGATGCCGCCAAAGAAATCAGAAGGATTTGGTGTTCTCGTCGTCCTATTACGCGCCAACGAGTGATGTCCCATCTCGAAGCATTAATCCATGTTGGTTGAATGGGATTGCGAAAGCATGCATAACAGGCCTGTACCTGGCTTGCTCTCATTAGGTGAATGAAGTGGCCAAGAGCTGCACTTCGCCACCCAATGTCTCACACCAAATCTGCACAAACACGCAAAAGAGATCTGATAATACGACCCACCATCCCGCCTTCCAGAGGGCAGTTTCGCTGGAACTGATACGTTATCAAATCTCCGTCTTTTATTTGACTACCTCCAATAGCCCAAAGCGTACAAGCCTCCTCTTCGTCAACTCGTCCTCACTACGGTGGCACCCATCGCCGAACGCGCCGGGAGCCGTGATAACAACATGGCGAAACGGGCTTGCTGGGAATGTCAGCGCCGAGGGGTAGTATGCGACTCGGCCCGTCCCGTATGCTCCAAGTGTAAGCTTAGCGGCATTGTGTGCCCTGGGTACGAGAACGTGAAGCCTCTGACTTGGGTCGCCCCCAATCAGATCACGACGCGGACTTGGAGAGGCAGGAAGCCAGCAGCCAATAAGTCCATCGCGCCGCCGAAGACCAATAAGCCCAGCGAAAAGAAGAATGCAGCGCAAAGCAAATCGGCTGAGGAACAGCTCGTTCATATCTTTCCTGGACAGGAGCTTCGGACAGAGACGTGTGATATTGCAGAGGCTTCATTCTACTGTAAGTTCCACAATGTGTGACTCGATGTTTATAGGCGCTGCGCGACCGTATCTGGGCCTGAAAAGGGTCGAGGATGTAAGCTTACTCTTGGCAGGGAACAATCATGTCTATCCGTACTTCTATGACAATCAGTTGACCAAGAGTCCCTGGGTCGTGCCCGCGTCTCACATACACGCCATGAAGCCTTATCGGCGCCATGGCCTGGTCGCGATGGCTATCGAGCACCGCATGTCACAATTATCTCCGACCAGAAATGATCCTTATGCGGCCGAAGTGAGAGCCAGAGCCTACCATCACCGACATACGGCTATTCAAGCCTTAAACGAGGAGATAGCGAATGAGACTACCCGGTTATCCGACGCCACTTTGGCCGGCGTTGTCACGTTCATCTTTGGCGATGTATTTAGCCCCCCAGTATCGTCAAAAAAACTTCGAAGAGCTTCATACTAATTCCTTTCAGCTGATGGGTGGTGCCACAGCACCTAATTGGCGTATTCATCTAAGAGGCTTTGCAGCATTGGTAGCTTTGCGTGGTGGATGGGAAGAGTTCTGCCTCAAGTCGCCGCATCTAAAGACTCTGGTTCTGTTCTGCAAAATGTCAGTGTTCACAAATTCGATCCATTCTTTCGTCTCTTCTGTGTATTTCAAGAGCCGATATTTAGCAACTTACTAACTCACTCGCGGATAGTATCGAAAATCTTGCCAACACTACGAGCCCAGCTGACGACCAAGTATCTCCACTGGATAATTACCGAATACGAGACGTGATAAGAGATGTGTTCTCGATCGGCTACTATCCGCAATTACCATGCCCAATCGATTTGCTCATTCACATCGTCCACATCAATCGTCTCCGCTTCTTGGCCACACTCGAGAACACGGGAAGCTCTGTCGGTCCGACACAAAATGAAGCAGAAGACGTATTGGATAGAATTCAGGAATTCTCTCCAGAGTCGTGGTCCAATGGGATGGAGTCGCCGTCTGATGGCTTCCTGCTCATGGGTCAGATCTATCAGTCGGCCGCACTACTCTTCGGAATCTCATCCTTGCAGAGTGCTGGTGCAATACCTTCGTCACGAGAGTGGGTATCTCTCAAGAAAACCCACCGCGACAGACTGTTCGCTCTTCTCGACGAGACCACTACCTCTAGAGCACTCAAAATATGCACGACATGGCCAATGATTGTGGCTGGATTCGAGGCGAAAGGTGGGAGTCCTTGGATGCGAAGTTTCATTCTGGACCGTCTTGGAGAGGACAGCCGACAACTGGGAATTTATCTCCCAGTTGCAGCAAAAGAGGTACTGGAGAAGTTTTATGCGTCCGCTGGAAAGCATTGGGATGAGTGTTTTGATAGTCCTCGCGCACTTTTCACGTAGAGTCATGGCTACGTCAAACCAAGTGCGGTAACCTCTTCAGATAAGCGGACACAAAATCATACGCATGCCCAGCCGTATAAAAGTGCAAACTGGCTTTCTATTGCTACGGGTAAAACGCCCCTTCAATGGACAGATTAGACGCCTTTGGCCCTAGTCGAGCACAAGTTGCTGCAGCGCCTGAGCGCTGTCGAATCGGCGTGACACACCTTCTCACAGCCTTAGATGCTCACAACCTGAGGAGCCTAGCCTCCAGTCCCCGTGACATCTGAGCCCGTGACTTTCTAGACTAAGAAGACAGCTCTGTGGCCTTCTCAAATGAGGTACTGTGGTTTTCGTCAGTTATGATCGGCAACGCACTAGATTTGCTCTTGTCACTTACGGGGATGAACAGGTACGGGACCTCCTCTTCATAACGCTTCCACGCCTCTCCATACTTCCTGCGACATCTTCCAACATCGCGCTTGGTGCGATGGGTGATCATAACCATGAAAAAGACGAAGTAAAACCAGGGAAAGAAACTCCTGGTAATATGGTCAGTGACGCGATACCATAGCAGACGAGGCTAGGGGTGTACGTACTTGAATCCAGTGATGAGTCCCCAAGAGAACGAGAAAAACATGTCAGGAACGTAGTTAGGCTTTCTGATGATAGCGAACCAGCCATCAACCATGATACGGTCGCCCACATCGGTCTCGATGACTTTGGGGTTCTCGACAGCTTGCCATGGAACTTGAGGGAAGGTTTTTCGCTTCACAAGCTGGCCTCTTTCTGTATGGCGGAAGGCGTTCTTCTGGCCATTCGCACTATCCCACATCCAATAAAAGAAGAGGTAGGCGATGCTAAGAGCTGCCAGGGCGTAGGGGTTCCACTTGTAATCAGACGGATCATGGTTGGCCAGGTAGATGGCGCAGTGGCAATACGAGAAAGGAACGCCGGCCATATTCCAGAATGTAAGAAGAAAGCCCAATTTCTCGAAGTACATGTCCCTGTATCAAACGTCAGCTGGACTAGAAGCCCTATACTAAGAAGAACAGGCTCGGCCACTTACCAACTGCAAATGATCATCTGCTCCGCCTTCGCGCAAGCATTGGCATAGAGATAGTGAGCAGCAGTGAGGAAAACGACTTCTTTCGAGACATAGCCATAGGTCTCATACTGGCGGGCTGCAACTGAGCTAGTTGTGAGAAACAGAATGAACCACGGAATTCTGACTTCATAAAACATCTTGAAGTCTAAGATACCGATTCGCGGGTTCAGCTCAGCTCCCATGAAGAAGTCGTAAATAGGGAACCCCGTCAATCTGTGAGTCCTTCCTCGAATGATGGCCTGAACATAAACGACGAAACTGTTGATGAAGCCGGACAAGATGGCAACAGTCATGATAGAGCCGAAGTCATCAATGATCGTATATAAGGGGAAGACCTTAGTGATATGAAGTGTACCGGCAATGACGATGGTTGCGTAGAAGCTGGTGTAAGCAGAGCAGTAATACGGAAGTCTCTTGCCTCCCTCATGGCGCAGCGGCCTGCCGTAACTGAGCACGCCAGGCATGTAGCAGTACATCAGAGCCTCGCCAATGAAGAAGACCCAGTAAGCTATCCAGGCCTTTGTGGTTGGATAAGCTCCTTCATAAACAAGGTGGGCTAGGTGATGAATAAAATCGGACCAGGACTGGTTGTTTTCTGGGAGGGGAATCTGGCCATCGTAGTATGTGGCGCCGATCCACATGTACCACATCAACAGCGGAAAGCCGATCATAAGCCCCAAAGTCCCAAAGGAACCACCAAAGTCGAACTCGTCAGATGAGCCATCGCGATAAGTGGTGGCAGAAACCGTTGGCTGTTGCTTTTCTTTTGTCGTTGTATTGATAGCAGGAGCGGAGGAGCCGCCGTTTCGCTGTGTGACAGCCATGAGTTTGGTGGTAGGCGTCTGATGAAAAAGGGGGAAAAGGCTTATGGTGAAACTGAAATTTTGAACTTGGTATCGCTGCATTCCACGAATCTCGTGAAGCTTTATATACAACACGATCAGAAGCTCGTATGCAGGTCTAGTGTAGCTCAATAAACAGCCCGATACATCGGGGAGGTATCTCCACGTGGTGGGCTGAAGCTGGGCCAATACCCACGCTTGGCTTCCATACGAACTATGCATATCGGTAAGTCAGATAGGATCGTATGGAAACTTTGGGTTCAGGGGAAATGCTTGGATCTTCTGATGCAGGACTCGTCTAGCAGATTGAATCCTCGCCCAAGCTTCAACGTGTAAGCCAGTGGAGCCGATCTGGGGCAGAGTTGGGGCGCTAATGCACGTCTCGTGTAGCACTCGTCTGTGCTTCTTGTCCAAAGCCTGGGGGAGACTTTGTCCCGCGATGCACTAAATGCAAGCGAAATTACGGATGAGTGGCCCCAAATCATTGGCTAAGTCAACGGAACCCTCAGCTTAATTCCCCAATACCTATTCCTGGGCGAAGCGGTTCTTCAAGCTTGGTCAGAGGAACGGAATCACCTGTGGGGCGGACGTTTCACTGGCTTTGTGTCCAACGAGGGTTACTTCAGGGAACTAAGCATCGTGAGTTGATGACCTCAATACATCCTTAAAACACCTTCCGGGATATCCTCAACATCTCCCATTCCCTGTGTGATGGAGAAAAACTCTTCCGAAGAGATACCAACACTGTCGAGAAGATCGAGAAAATCAGCATTCCCTGAGTCTGAAGGTGGCACGAGCGGGAAAAGGTCCACTGCTCCGGTGATCATCGCCGCGGCGTTCGCGTCTGCTACCATATTTGACGCGTTTTGTCTGTCTTCCTCAATATTCGGGCCCAGATCCATGGCACTCGGAAGCCTGAGACTGTAATGACCGCGGCTTTTCAGTTGCTCTTCAAGCTTTTTGAATAGCAGTTCCACATGCAGCAGCTCAGTCCTTCTCACACCTGCCACGCGGTTCCCTCTCGTGACCATGTCTGATAGAATCTCATGTGCAGCTTGATTACTTGTGTGATCTTCAGAGACGTCCGGAAATATTGCGCCTGCCATGGCAAGATGAAGTGCTGCGCCGTATGTAAACTCTAGATCATAAGGAAGAAATACTTCTGTACGCATGTTAGCCCTCTTGGCCACTCGGTGTTATTCTGGTGAGTTACCGAGAAGGCTGTACTCGCTTGATAGTACCTGCAGCGTTTTTGAAGCTGACTTGATCCCCGAAGATATGATGCCGGCTGTATGGTTCAGAATGCTTTCCCAGTCTATATCGGCGACTTTATCGACCATATCCAGTCGTTCCTTCAATATAGAGAGGAGTAGGGGTCTGGTGGCAACAATGACGCACTGATGGTACAACAGGGTGATGTGGCGCATGCCTCTGGGAACCGTATCGACCGAAGTTTGAAATTTGATGCTCATGATGTTTTCCAGCTCTTGCGCGTACTGGGCCAAAGTGTGCAACGTTGACTTGGTCTGTTCGACATAAGTTGCCAGGGATGTTTTTGTTGGTTTGTAGACGGCTGATCATCAATGTTAGTGGACTCCCTGAAATCCCTGTCCCCTGAGACCTACTTCTAAGTATCATTGACATTAAATGAGAAAGTTTGACTTGAAGACTTCGTAGGCTGTCTGCGTGAGAACCGTGGTCTGGTGGGTTAATGGGTGTTGTTATTTCGCTGTCATGAACTGACATTGGTAATCCAACCGAGGCAGAGAAATGGCGGTCCATAATGTAAAGTGTCCACCACAGGTCGCGACACCATGTGACAGTTTCGGCTCCTATCTCGTCTTCTGGTAGTTGGGTGTGCAGCCCTTCCATCTCTGCTATGTGGATCGCTTGACCAAGCTGACAAGTCAGGCTAACGTCTTCGTAGCGTTTTTCAGGCGGACAAAACTCACATAGACGTGTGCCGACTCTCTCTCATCAATAGAAAAAAGATATAGCCCCATCATCGCCAAGACCTCGGTTGCCATCAGGCTATCTCTCCAGAGGGACATATTGTCTGGAAGTATAGACATTGCCTGCACAAAGAACTTTCCGCCCGGTGGATCTCTTGATTCGGCTGACCCCGGCCGTGAATGGAAAGCAGTCCCAAATGCTAGAACTAATAAGAACTTTGTGAACCAGAGTCTGGATTCAGAGGCCTTTTGAGCAACATGGCCTGAATAGAACTCGCGTATCTGGGCCTCAAGTTCGGCATCGTCGAAAAAGCGATACGTCTGTCCAAGATGAAACTTGACTGTATTAAAGAGGTAAAGCGCATGATCTAAGGAAGGCAGATACCTAGTGTCAGGAAACTGAGTTGATGTAGATTTCGAAGGCAGATCGTAAATATCACCCTCGAGCATTTGCTTTGGAAGAGCAGGCGCGGAAGACTTCAAACTCTCTCCTAGTATGAGCATCAGCCGCAGAGTATTAAACGACCAAGTTGACCACGGGGCAAGCCAGACTGATGCAACTTATTAGTTATGAAATTGTGGCTTGGTCTTCTCTTTCAACTTACTCCATTTGCGACGATTGTTTCTGGTGTTCTTGATAGTTTGAGAAGCCATCTTGAACGCGCTAGGCCAGATGCTCAATGGACCTTCAGGCTGTTGTCCAGGTAAGAAGGCCGGTTGATCCGCAATATCCCTGTCAGCAGGCATTGTACTATTTGGTGAACCATCAAGAGTCAACAATGAGTTATTGGTGGCTGGCCCAGTGATGTCTTCGTCCATGGTGACATTGAAACCGAAGTCATGGTCATCCGCTTGTTCAACTGTCATTGGTGACACATTGACGACTGACCGCCTTCTGGAAGGTGTACCAATGTCGTAGGTGTTTGGCGTTGGCAGGGTTTGAACTTCAATTACCGATGGGCGCCTGTCATCATGATGTGATTCGTCCTCAAAGGGCAGAGGTGACGGCTCCGCGTTTATGTTTTGCTGTGATGCTCCATTTTGAGGCGACTTTGGACGCTTCTCTGCTTTCTTCCGTAGCTCCTCGAGGTATCTGACATTTAGATATTAATTACGGACATGCTTTTGGCTGAGATAGCACTTTGCATACGTTTCTGATACCAGAATCTTTTGATCATTGTCGTTGAAGCGGCACCTAACCAAGCGTCTCTCGCAACTTGCGCATGGGTCTTCTCCGTTGCACTTGATCTTACTTCGCCGGCATGGAAGGCACCTGGAATGATCTTTAGTGTTGCTCTTGCGCCAGTGATGGGAGCGAATGTCTTACGCATTTGAAGTTCTTTTCCCTCTCCGACGCCGTGGTTGAGAAGACTCTACCATGGCTGCGCGTGAGTAGTAGTACAGTCGTGATGCCCTCAAACCTCAGTGCCGGTTGCGACAGACAGAGCAGAATGCTCTTCACTGGGAGGGAATCGTGAGCATCTCAGCATAGTTCAGTGGTCCGCCCTCTGTAGTGCGGGGAAATGTCTGTTATCTGATGTGGCAGGGAAGGTCCAGATTAGCGGCTATCTACCCCGCGTTTTCAGATGTGGTGTCTCTCAACCCTCGCTGCACGATTTGGTAATTTCTACGTAAAGCATCAGAGCTTCAGTGGATCTCATGTTTGATACTAGACCGTGAACAGGTCCTTAGAGGGCGAGGTGACACATGCCGTATCTTGTTCGGGCTTCGGCGACTTATCATGCTTTGGCATTTGTGCCGCCGTCAATTCACACTAGGTGCTCTTCAATTTCGATGCCCAGAAGCGGTAATTGCCATGAGAGCCTTTGCTTATCTGGCGAACCCCAGCATGCGCTAGCAGGGATCGGAAACAGAACCGCGAGGAAGGACTAGGTTCGGATTGAGAAGCCGACACCAGCCGACGGAATATACGGAGGATGGCTGGGCAGCACTCTGTATCAAAGAAAGAAGGATGGCACCCGCTGCGCGATCCCCCAACAACATGGACTCCACATAGATAACCAGCAGGCTAGTGATCTCCGTCGGTAGTGTGCTTAAGATGTGTTGATGATCCGGCCCCCAATCAACCCCTGCAAGGCGCGATAACGCTTCAAGTCCGACGGCCGTAATGCGCGCAGGATTATCAGAGTTCCTGTGTAGATAGGGGGATTTTCGATCGGAGTAATACTTCACTATGATGACAGCGTAGCCGTACTTTGTGTTGAGAAAATATCGAGTCAAGCATGGAAGATTGTGACAGATTGATGCATAGGTATCAAGGAAAAGAGCAAACCCTCCAGGTTCGGTAACCAAGATCATCACCGACCAACATCGGTTTCTAATCCGAAGTGAACCATTGCATATAGCACAGGACCTATCATCCTTATTTTGATATCCACGTAGATAAGGAACTGTCTGGGGTAATCCGGGGTAGTTCTTTCGGAAACCTGATTTGACATGGCTGGAGTTAGTGCCACATTGCCCCTGAGCAACTTGGATGATTGTAAAGCGAATGCGAGAGCTTCTTAGATAAATAGCCATTATCAAAGCTCATGTTTCTAGAAAATCTTCAGACTGGCCTGTTAGTTCATTCATCACATCCTCGGCATAATCTTTCGCCTTTTCACAGCTACAGCCATGGCAGAGACTCACCTAGCAATGTCTCAACCAATGTCGAAGGTCCCAGAAAAGCTCGACGAGCAACAGACGGACATTGCCAATGGTGACTTCGGCTCCGAGAACGAAGCTTTGAAGAGACATCTCAGTCCTCGCCAGGTGCAGTTCTTTGCCATCGGCGGGTCCATCGGCACTGCTCTCTTCATCAGCATTGGCTTTGGATTGCTTCATGGAGGAGCCGGAAGTCTTCTGCTTGCCTTCATCATCCAAGGAATTATGATGACGTTTGTCACTAATGCCATCGCCGAGATGACGATCTTTATGCCGGTTAGCGCCGCCTTCATTCAGCACGGTGGTGCTTGGGTTGACCAAGCCTGGGGCTTCATGCTCGGCTGGAACTTCTTCGTGTTCGAAGCCTTTCTGCCTGCGTTTGAGATCACTGCGGTGGATCTTGTCTTGACCTTCTGGCGAGACGACATTCCTTCAGCAGCTGTCATCACAGTCTGCATTGCTACTTATGGGTTCGTCTGAAGTTTGGAAAACCCTCTGCCCAACTGACCCAGTATTTAGACTTACCAATGCCTTTGGCGTCAAGTACTTCGGCGAGGCCGAGTTTTGGCTGTCTGGAGGAAAGTTGATATTGATCTTGCTGTTGTACTGCTTCACATTTGTGACAATGTGCGGAGGAAACCCACAAAAGGATGCCTATGGTTTCCGAAATTGGACTAAGCCTGTGCGGTGAGCCTGTTCTTGATCTACATTCAACCTCTGACATGAAGAAATCAGGAGCCATTCCTGGAGTATCTCTCCACTGGAACTTCCGGGCGATTTCAGGGGTTCCTGGCCGCACTTTGGCAAGCCAATTTCATTATGGTTGGGCCAGAGTACCTAGCCACCTGCGCAGGTGAAGTTCAACGCCCGCGAACGTCACTCAAAACCGCATTTCGAAGCGTGTATGTTCGCTTTGTCTTATTCTTCATTCTCGGTGCTATTTGCGTTGGTATTGTGCTGTCGGCCAGAGACCCCACTCTCGTCAAGGTCCTCGGTTCCGGAGAGACTGGCACAAGTGCATCATCGGTCTACGTAATCGCCATGAGGAATATGGGCGTCGATGCCCTGCCTCAAGCTGTCAACGCACTTCTCTTGACAAGCATTTACTCAGCTGGCGACTGCTACATGTTCACCGCTATACGGAGCCTGTACGCACTTGCTCAAGGTGGTCATGCGCCGAAGATCCTCTTAAAGACGACGAAGAATGGTGTGCCCATCTACTGTTTCGCAGTCTCAATCGGATTCTCATGTCTGGCATACCTAAAGCTCAGCTCGAGCACGGTCACGGTGCTGAACTGGTAGGTTCGATTCCGGGCACATCCATTAAAGTACGTACGCTAATGTCCTAGGTTCATCAACCTGGCTACCGGTGGACAACTGGTGACCTACATCGCCTGCTGTGTCAACTATCTGTTCTTTTACAGGGCACTGAGAGCACAAAATTACAATCGCAAAGACCTTCCATACTGTGGCTGGTTCCAACCATATGGTACCTGGATCGCGCTCATCTGGCTTGGCCTAATTGAGATCTTTTGGGGCTATGCTGTGTTCCTGCCAGGAAGTTGGGATGTTGGAACGTTCTTCAGCAAGCACGGAATGATTCTGCTTTCGATTGTAACCTTCAGTGGCTGGAAGTTGTTCAAACGCACAAGCTTCGTGAATCCTTACGAGGCGGACCTAATTTGGGCTCGCCCAGCTGTTGACTTGCATGAACGGTTGATGGCTGAGGTCCCAGTCCTGGGGTTCAGAAGATCTGTGATGGAGTTTTTCAGCGCCAGGTTTGGAAAGAAAATTCCTGCTGCTGGTTCAATGGCTTGAAGAGTAAGATGTTGGTCTTAATTGGGTTGCTTTGCTTTCTCATGAAGGATAAGATCGCCAAGAATTCTGTTTTCCTCTCAAGCCCTGAGTTGCAACTATAACAAGGCCAAAGATTTCTATTCGCGAGAATTAGGAAATATCCACCCTATTTCCGCTGCTGGTCTGTAAATCCAGTGTTTGTGGTCATGATCCAGCTGCTGATACACCCCTGACATGATCTGAACTGCCCAGCCCTGTAGCCACCACTGATTCTCGCACCTCTTGAATATCACAGCAAAATGTGCAAGTACGCTGAGTGCCTCTTGTGTCCTAAGCTCAAGTAGTGGGATGAAGTCTTCCAAGGATCTGTATATCCAGACCAAGGCATCAGCCCCCTCCCATAAGTGGACCCATTGCGTCGCATCTCGCAGCATGTCGATTACTCTGGCATACACTACCAGCTCGGTCACATCCGCTACCTCTGCGTTCAGGCGAGCTGCTAGCTCATCCAGGGAGCTATCTGGTGATAGATAGCCCATATCGGCTTGGCTGAGTTGTTGTTGAAACACCCATCTTTCGGCGCCATGGTTTAGTAAAGGGGCCAGAGGGCTGTCGGAAAGACTGCTCCAAGAATGTCTGAGGATTCCATTCATCCCCTTGAGCACAGCAAGTAAGTCGTGGAAGCTAGCATCTTCGTCTAATATCGACCCGTCTAAGGATCTTTGCGGCGTGGCCAGCACTAGAACCCTTTTCTTAGCTTTCATACTGCTTCTTACTCGTACAACAACACATACCAATAATGACGTTCAATGCAGAGAAAAGGAACAGAGGCACACCATCCTGGTCACCCGAGAACCTCTCAAGCATGTCTCTTGCAGTTTCCGAGGAAATCCTGTGATACTCCAGGGCAGCTGACACATAGTGACTGCGGTCACCCGGTCTCGTTTGAGCCATATGAAGGGCTGGGATTGCGAGCAGAGACCGCATCAAGTATGTATGTCTGAGTGCCAGGCTTGGTACAGTGACCCTCCAAAAGTCTCTGAGTGCTGGCGACCATGAAAGCGTGGTATAGGTGAAGGTTGAATAAGTGTGAAGAAGTTCGAGTTGCAAGAAATCTAGGTCGCCGCCATAAGATTGTGTAGATGGGCTGTGCGTTAGACTTGGTTCTTGATCTGGCGGACCTGTCGGATATTCGCATTGCAACTGTAACCTTTCGCATCTTGAGCATGATGGCCGATGCTCATCGCACTGTTTACAGGGACGTGAGCTTCAACGACGCGTAAACGTGATGACGGTGTTGCAAAAGAGCTCACCTTGACTTTCCTTCCTTTGCAAGTCCTACAACCTGTCCTTGACTTCTTATGCGATACCCTTTTCCCCGTACTCCTGTTCCTGTGTTTCTTCGGCTCCAAGGTGGCACATGGGGTTGATGTTGTAGAGTACCCAGAATCCTCTGGGATGGCGAGGCTAAGTTCACCAACCATGTTTACGTGTTGGATGGTGATTGAGAAAGCAAGAGAATCTATGACGGAAAGATCGGTAATGAACTTTCTGCATGCCAATACGCGTTTTAAAAAGGTCCGGCTTTCAGTATGGCTTCTACGACTAGACAGACTCAACGTAACTGGCTGGCATAACATAGTGACTGATCTGATGTCGCGTCATTTGTTGAATCATGCGTTTATGAGGGAGGGTCTAGCCTGGCCAGTAGTTAATCGCGTAGCGAAGATAGTAGGAATGAAAAGAAAGGGGCCCACTACAATAAGCTTAATGGAAAAGCGCCGGCAGCTCGGATGAACAGCGAGAAGTACGACAAACGCGAGGGAGTTTACAACGCCGCGATCCCCAGATTCTTGTACCGAGGAAAATTATTGCCCCAGACTTCCGGCCTGTGGAGGTGGTTGAACTTCGTTGGAGCGGGTGGCCGCGGACTCGGTGGCTCAGATACCTCGTTCATGAACGAGGCTGGACTGACCCACCTCGTTCTTCGTTCATACGCGCGAGCTCGGACTACTCCCCTTCGTTTACACCCCACGTTCTCGCTTCGTTTAAAATCGTTCACTGCATGTGGGTTCATTCCTTTTTGACATCCTCTTCGGCCCACTGCGACATACCTATACGAGGCTACGAGTTTGGCGGTCTTGGAAAGTCTTCAGGCAATTCAACATGTCATTTGGCCTGTTGCACAGCCAGGATTTGCTGGGTAATGTGAGTTCACATAGGTTGTCGGGCACACTGCGAAAGCAACGTAAATAAGACGCGTATGGACAAGTCAATAAAATCCCACTCTTAAGCGCCCAGGTGACATTCGTTAAACATCTCATGCTTTCCTTTAAGTCAACGTCAACTCCAGGTATTTTTCACTTCTTTGCCACAGCTCGTCTCAGAAACCCAGCAATCCGGATAAGATGGATGGGTCAAGTGCTCAGGATACCGCAGCAGCTGCCGCGGCAGCCTTTGACTTCAAGCTTTATCGCTACACGCCGTCCCTCCCAGCTGCCATTGTCAGTGTTGCGATTTTCGCCGCCCTGACCGCATTACATACCTGGCGCATCCTCAGAGCAAGAGCTTTCTATTTTACTGCATTCACCATCGGTGGTTTGTGTAAGTTACCATAATCATCATCTCAACAACGCTCGGCGAGTCCGCCACGAGCTTTCAAAGTCATTCTCAAGAGCGATCAACTAACGAAGCACTTATAGTTCAAACAATCGGATACTGTGGTCGTATTTGGAGTCACTTTGACACACTATCCATCGGCGGCTTCGTTATCCAAGCCATCCTAATCCTCGTCGCGCCGGCGCTGTACGCCGCTTCGATTTACATGATCCTGGGTCGACTCATCCGAACTGTTAAGGCCGAACATTTGTCGCTGATCCCGGTCAACTGGGTGACTCGGATATTCGTCGCAGGTGATGTTGTGGCATTTACTTTGCAAGCTGGAGGCGGTGGTGTCCAAGCTGCAGGCACACTGGTCTTGTACGAAGCAGGAGAGAAGATCATTATCGCTGGTCTTTTTGTCCAGATTGTCGTCTTCGGGTTCTTCGTCGTCACATCTCTGCTCTTCCACGTCCGATTGAGCCGCAACCCGACCGTCACTGCACTGAAGGGAGGCACACCATGGAGGCGCTATCTTTATGTGCTGTATGCAACGAGCGCCATCATCCTCATTAGAAGCGTCTTTAGAGTGGTCGAGTATCTGCAAGGAAACAAGGGATATCTCATTTCACACGAGATCTTCTTGTACATCTTCGACACCTTGCTCATGGTGATTGTCATGACAATCTTCCTTGTTTGGTACGTGCAGGAGTTGGAACCGAAGGAACGGGCGCGATCTGTGGATGGTCGTGAGACCTCGGGATCTAGCGACTACGTATTGGATGAGAGGCGCAAATCTACGCCACTGAATGCTTGAGGGATGGTCTGGTGCCAAATACTGAGAATCTTGCGGTTCATGGAAACGTCATTAGAAGACGCGTTAGATAGCATAGAATGTTGATACCCAGGATGTTCCCAAAACCATATGCGATCATCAGCACACTACCAGTGGAGACATTGGTTCGTTGGAAAGCGAGCGAGGTGGGCGAGAAGCCAAAAACACCCGGCAAATGTACGAGGGCCTCGGACTATCGCATTCGGCATTAGTCCGAACATTACTCGGCAGGTCTCACATTACCCACTGTTAGACCACTCACAGATCAGGGTGGCGCTTTGAGCACACGATTAGCCGCCATCCGTGGTTCTTTCATCCTCGTTTATGTTAGCTAGCCTTCGTTCCTCGTTCATTAACCTTTTCGTTCCCCAACATCCTCTTCCACCACTTCGCCTCCATTCGCCTCCGTTCCTCGTTCACCCGCTTCCAGCGCGACGTGCTATCCGTTCCGCAACGATTATGCCTCTATCGGACGGTAATGGCCGAACGTAACACAGGTCGCCGTTATTCGCGCAAACCGCACTCCAAGACGACGACTGGCTGTTTACAATGTCGGCACCGCCGAGTCAAGGTACGACGACCTCCAAGCTCAAACTTGCCCATTACTTTCTGACACTGATTTTCTCAGTGCACCGAGGAAAGACCGGCGTGCAGAGCTTGCGTTCGGCGGAATGCTGTTTGCGAGTATGTCGAGGACAGGAGACGCCCAGGACGTGCGGCAACAAGCTCCTCCTCGGCTTCAGCGCGTAACATAAGACCTACAGACTTATCCGGACTAGAGGCGAGCGTGGATGTCATTTCTTCTAGGCGCCGTCAACCTCATACCGAAGATACGCCGATAGCTACTTCCGACCCAATTCCATCTGCCGACAAGTCTCTCGGCGCAGGAGTTTCTCCATCTAGAATACCGGCTGTCCTCACACCAGCTTCTCATACATCGGGGGCCCCTGATCTATCCCGCCTTCAAAGCTCTTCCAATCATGATCCAGCCACTCCCCACTCAGAACATCTTTCATCATCAGCTGCCACCCCGGCTACTGTTTCCAGTCTAATACGGGCGCCCATTGCCAATGCACCTTCATTTGGAATCAACGATCTTGCACTCCTGCACCATTGGACAGTTTCAACCAGCATCGACATCTTCAAAAGCGCTCCGGTTGACTCTCTGTGGCAAGTGACTTTCCCACGGATAGGTTTCGAACACCCATTCGTAGCCCATGCCATCTTAAGCCTGGCTGCGTTGCACCTTGCATACATTAGTGCGACAAAGAACAGCCCTTACGTTGTCGAGGCAACTAAACATCACGAGCAAGCTATCAAAGGGTTTCAGGATGCCTCCAACAATATTAACAATGAAAATAGCGAGGCATTACTCGCGTGGTCGCTTCTGAATATCATCTACGTCTTCAGTATCTCGAAGCAGCTGCCAGATCAAGATAAGCGAACCGCCGCTCGTCTGCGGAGAGACCGAGTCCTTGGCATGGAGTGGATACCCATGGCGCGAGGTATCAACGCCGTGTTGATTCCAACATATCAATATTTAAAGGATGGCCCAATTAGCAGCCTCATTACTCTCGGAAACTGGAACGAGCTGGATCCTGCTGTCTCATTGCCTGAGCCAGTGGATGCCCAGCTTTGTAGACTCAAAGAGACGTGGACAACTAATAATGATGCGAAGACTTATGATGAGGCGCTGCACATCCTCAGGAAGTGCCGCATGTACGTCCTCCAGTTTAAGTCTATGAACCCTCAAACCCTTGCTCAATGGGGGTTCAATAGGGACTGGGCAGGACCTTTGACATTCATCCACTTTGTACCTCAGGAGTATGTCTCTCTTCTGCACCAACGACAACCACCGGCGCTGGTACTGTTTGCCTATTTTGGGGCTTTTATGCACGCTCTCGACGACTATTGGTTCTTCGAGGGCTGGGGAAAAGACATTGTAGAAGTGGTCGATGACCTTCTCGGAAGTTACTGGAGGTCGTGGATCACCTGGCCGATAGAGTATGTTGGTTTGAGCTGAAATAGTTTAATACCTGAAATGAGCAAAGCTACCACAAAGGCATAGTGACACACAAGTCCCAACTGTATCCGCCTAACTCAATACAGTTATCACCCCCTTTGCCACCTCCGAGTACATATGCATTCTTTCTTGACGCGGTTACTGAGAATCACAAAATTCAGACCTTAGCTTCCCTTAAAGACGCTGGTGGTGGTGGTGATGTTGAGGCAAGCTATCCATCTTCCAATGCTGGCCACCACCACCTCCAGCCAGGATGGCTCCAATCTCAGCTGGGTGGATCCAGTTAAACAAAACCATGACCAAGAACATCAACAAGGCGTCAAATATGTAGAGATATGCCTCATGCTTGAGCAGGTAGCCGTCGAACCCCTGGAGATACTCGGCCGCACGGAAGACGGAGCGGACCATAATCAAGAAGCTTCCCACGTACAATGCAGTCATATGCTTCCTCCATGGAATGCTGCTGTTGGAACGTCCGGTTGGTGCGTTGTTGATGGCGCGATGGAAGGCTACAGCAACCACCACGAAAAGCCCAAAGCAGATGAGCTGCACGAATAGACCGACGATAATGACCTTCGCGCCGGCCTTGAGGGCGTCAAGAGTCCCCGAGGCTTGGTATCCACCACCTGAGATTCTGAGTTACCGCTGTGGCGTAATTTTGGAAAAGCTTTGATTAACTTACCTCCGCCTTGGAGGAAGAAGGACAATACGTCGCCCGCGACGAAAAGCTTGGTGAGCCATTCCTTTCGGATTAGACAATGCCCTTCTCCATCGAGAACAGTGATTATTCTGCCAAGCTCCATGTACACTGTTGCTGCATACAAAGCAGGGGCTACAAGGAGAAGAATCGACTGGATGATGTAAGGACCAAGGGACCAGTTTGGACTCTCCTGGCCGGACTTGGCTCTGGCTGCATAGCCAATGACTTGCACTAGTCATAGAATATCAGTACATTATTCGGAGAGCTTGGGACTTTCGTAGCTTAAGGGCAGCAGTTTGGACTTACAAACACCTCCAACTGTAAGAGGAATCAAAAACCAACAACGCGACCGTACTAGTTGCCAGAAGTGAAGGATAGTGGTTGCGAGAAAGAGGAAAACGAAAACAACGGCGCCGGCTACCGTCGGATCATAGTGGTAGAGTTTGAAAACCGCTGCCTCTGACATGTCGGCGGCTGAAGTATCGCGAACAATCAGACCCATAGTGCGCCGGGTCGACGCCTGTTCTGGGTGTTGTGATAAGTAGCGAGTGATGGTTATCAGGCAGTCTGAAGAGAATAAAAACCAAATCCGATGACTGAAGATATCAATGAAAGACAGAAATGAAGAATCTGCAAGTAGAAAGATCGACGATGAGTAAGTTGGTCCGATCACATTGACGGCGACCTGAGGGCTTTTGAACATACAGTTCGAGTGCTGGAAAGGAGTTTCATTGCCGACCTCTGCAGCAGAAAGGGGTCACTCATGCCAGCAGAATATCAAACACAGCCCCGAAGGAAATACATCGCAAGGCATACCACGACTACGACCGTCAGGTTCTGGGCTGCGCCGGACAGCGAAGCGGGTCTCGGGCATCCGGCTCGGGGTCAAACACGCGTTTTCGGCCCCACATGTCGGGTTTCTCGTATTCGTCCCTCGTTCCTCGCTCTTTTTGAAAATTTGGCGCGTTCGCTCCGTCGTTCTACAGTGTTGAGGCATGTCCAGATGTGTCAACCCGAGTATTGACAGGTAGTCGCTAAGAGTTTTAGTGCGCGGCGTCCCGTACTCCACGATGATAGCTTTCGTCTGGGGCTCGGACTATTGTCCTCGTCTGTCACTTTCTGTTAGTAGGGGGAAACCTACACCCCCTTTAATTCAGCTACGCCTCGTTTTTGAGCCTGTTGCAGTATCAAAAACTTCATGCTTGTCTCTGCTGCGAGGGCGCCCAACAACCAACCCTGCGACGTTTTCTCAAATCTGCGCCCGATTTCACCATCAGGCCACGAACTGGAGACCTCGTCGCAGTAAGAAAGCAACTGTAGATCAATGAGCAAGCTATCAAGAAGGTCGATATTCATCTGATACTGGCACTAGTCACCGTGGACGTACATTGAACAGGGGATATCCGAGATCCTTTTAACCGTCTACTGTTTGAGCGAATTGATGAACATATACGTAGTACGTTAAGTAATAATGATCATTATAGCCTAGTGTATTAGGTCAGATATCTTCCACGGCCGTGCTCATGCTTGTTCAGCGAGGCACCACGACATACGGTCAACGAGACTTGAGTGTGACGCTTCCCCCGGGCGTGACATCGTTCAGTGCGTATTAAGTTTCAGTTTGGTACAAGGGACCAATCGTGATCGCTATGATATAGCAAAGCCTACTCTCATTAAAGCGTGATAACGGCTGGCCCTATACTTCATCGTAGCCAGGCGATGATATTGTCTTAACAGCTTAGATACACCGTAAAGTTACAAGAATAATGGAAGCAGGAGATAGTAACTCCTACGCGTGCAGCGCGGCACTGTGAATATAGAGAAAGGCAGTGCTGGCCTGCCTCATTGGCAATGTCAAGGACGCATCGGAGCGCATGCTCATGAGCTAGGTCTTACTCCATACCTTCACACCTATTAGGGGTCGAAAGTGTCCTTAGAGTTTGGAATACGCGTGGTGATAGAATGATATGTAGGTAACCGGTTGATGCAATAGAGAGCAGCTGATGTTTTCAAAACCCATCTACCTAGTGCAACATTTGTACTAGTCGAAATATTAGCCTTCGACCTCGTTATACGTGGCATCACACTTACCTCCAGCGTTTGCTCGCAAATCGGTACTGAGTCTGCGGGGAATGTCGTTTTCTCGTTGAAGCTGACAACACCCCCGTAAGATTGGCCGGCTTGGCACGACACAGGTCTTTGCTTCTGACATGCGATGCCCCAATAGGTCACTTCGGTAAGGACTCGGCAATCCCCTCGAGAGACAATAGTTCCGAGGGGACTGCCCTCGACGGCAGAAAGCCAATGGAATGCCAAAGAAAGAATGAAACTAAGCGATGTCGAATGCATGGCGATGGCGGATGAATTGGTGTTGTAGGTTGAACGGGCCTGAGACAGTGAAGAAGAAAAGCTTATTACAATGACAATTAAGGTAGGTTGGGAAACTCATTTACTTATTAGACTGACTGTGTTGCTCTAAGTAATACTACCGAGGACCCTGTCCTGGGGCATTCGACCGCCGTATTGGCACGCTCCATGCGCAACTAGGACTTGCCCCTTAACCCAGGATGTACTAATGAAGTTGGAGGGGCCCCCATTATCAATCCAATCTGTGATTTCTTGACAACTTTCGACTTTGAACAATCTCGTGCCTGACACAAGCCACCCTTATGGGAGGGTCATGACTGCCTATCGTCATTAACACGCTCGGTGACTGCGAAGGCCCCGACGGTTGCTAAACCCAGTAAACGACTGTTACGAGTCACGAATCGTGGCCCTGGCGACCATGCGCATCCACTCATGACAAGCCTATCGTTCGGTTTCGCAAAGCGGCGAGTCGTAAGCAGACATGCTCATTTGGGAAGACACGGAAAACGCGATCATTCAATTGCGCTGGCGAGGCACGTCCGGACTCTCCGACGTCCTGGATGCTCAACCACCTGGGACTCACGGATGTCTTTCGCGATACTTCAGGGCACCTTCAGCCACTAAGATAGAGACTTCGAAGTATTTCTCTGCATAATAGACTCCCGCCTTGAGTTTATTCCCCGGTGCCGGTTAAATAAGACTTGGGGTAGGGCGCCAGCAAGGACTAGGAAGAAACACCATCGACAGTGGGTACTGACCCGCAGCCAACGGCTCTTCACGCCTCGCGCAATTCAACTTGGTAGAACTTCTACTAAGACTGCAATAAAACTCTCCCGACATTAAGCTTATTAGAGAGGACTTTTTCGTTATATGTAAGCCAACAAAAATGTCATCTTCCCGTAATCACAGAATTTGCGTATCAGTGGCACATTTCCGGTCTTCATAAATCTAGCTGTCGTCGTTAATTCACTCTGGGCAGCGTCTTCATCACTCTCACACGAGATATTGCGCGGAATCGGGAAAGCAGTTGTAGGCTTTCGGTGCATGTGCGCCTTGGCGAAGTTGTCCAAGCTGGAGTTATCGTTTCAGATCCCAAGACAGGAGCTCAATGAGGACAAAGCAGCAGGATGTATCCGTAATTTCCAGGGCCCGGCCCGGAAATGTATCCGGCTCGCTTAGTGTAAACTTTCTCTTTGCCCATCAGGCGATGGAAGGTAAGGGCAACCAACTGGAACAGACAAAAACCTCAGGGATGCCCTTGACCTCGTATGCCCGGGCTGTTCCGCACTTTATACATAATGTGCGGAACAGCCCGGGCAGGGAAGAGCTGAGGCAGTTGTAAGACGAATGTGAACTCCATCCCTAATTTCGAAATGTTGCTCATTGACATGAAAGGCGATTACTCGCCTCGCGCAATAATAGTGCAGCTGAGCTTCGGACTGAACCCAGCCTTATCTATAGGGGGGAGTTGGCTTATTACAGAAACAACAAGGAGAATGAACGGATCATTGATGACCACTACGTAGCGAACAAAGTCGATCTTGATGGGGAAAACCCCTCTTGTATGTGAATCCGTTAGGCGGAGTGCAAAAAGCTGGACGCTTTAGGATCCGTAAGGACATGATCACCGGGGGTCCTTGCAACGTGCTTCTAAGCAAATCGAGAAGGTATTCTTTTGCGACCTGTGTTACTATACACAATCTTCTACCCAGGTGTGACTGGTTGAATGTTGCTTCTACTACTTTCTAAGGATCTTGAGTTAGGCTTGAGGCTGGGGAGTATACTTGACAGTGATGGATAGCTACCTCTTAGAACTATTCTTCCAGGCCTTTTTGCAAACAAAGAGACAGAGGGGTCAGCTCATACAGGTGACACTAAGCTACAACTCGGAACCTAGGTACTTGAGTGTCTACAAAAATGTGCAGTGAGTGACAGAACATCGATTTTCCTTCAATTCCATCAGTCTTGCGCGTTGGCTGAAATTTTGCGGCGCAAAGCTAAGCTCTCATATACCAAGCTCATCAAGCCCTGTATTTCAATGAGTGATACACTTGGAATAGTCCTTATTTGCCGGGCAAGACTTGACATGGTGGCCTCCTCCCGTGCCCGGTGTGCCTGGCTGCACAGGCTGCCCCTTCTGCCTGGTAACTGGGTAATGGCCCCAAGTGTAGTTCCACTTCTCAACGCGAGATGCGTGGAAGGCCTTCCGGTCGTTGATAGCCTCCACGTTGGCGGCGTGTTGTTTCGGGTCTCTTCTTGGAGCTAGGGGTAGGACTCGTCGACGTCTCAGGGGCGGTGGATTGACTTCGTTGTTTGGGCCAGGATAGCTCGCGACATCGGGGTAGTTGGCGGTGTCAGGATAGCTCACAGCATCGGGATGATTCGCGGCGTCGGGGTAGTTTGCGGCGTCGGGGTAGTTCGCACCGTTGGGATAGTTCGCGACTTCGGGGGTAGGGTTATGATATGGCAGAGGATCGATGGTATAAGGAGCATCGAAGTTATCAGGAGCTTCGGGGGCCTCGGGGGCCTTGGGGGCCTCGGAGATATTGGGCTCCTGCTCCTGCTGCGGTTTTGACGTTACAGCTACGGCCGGGACCTTTCCAGTCATCCCTTTTGGAGGCGGTGGAGGTGTGCCTGCTGTAACCAGCCTTGCCTCATCCCGCAAGCGGGTTACTGGCGCCGCCATGGCCGGACCAACGATGATGAGAAAGAAGACATTCGAAACCAGCATCTTGATGAAGGCTGTCTTGTGTTACCTCTTGAGGATCTTCGTACCAGTTTCAAGAAACCTCGAGGGCTGATGATAGCCCCAGTTATTCTGAAAGCTGCTTAGAAGATGCTTAGAACATTTAACACAGATGCTGTCGGTCTGTTAGCCCTTCGGCGCTCTGCCGCGGCCACTCATCTGCTACTTACCTCTTTACAATCAGCCCGCATAGCCAGCCAAAGGCTAGAAGGTCAAGGACAAATCCCACGACTCACGCTCTTTGGGTTTCTCTTCAATGTTGTTTTGTTTTTGTGTTATTCCCGTCTACATACCATGAAATTGGGTTTGTCTTCAGTGAAGACATGAGGATCATTCCCCGAAACGGATCGACGTCGAGAGTTATGTCTAGACATGCCAAATTCTCCAGAAATGGAGAAGAGGATGCCATCCGAATTCCTATCCACGCAGACGAAGCTTTACGCGTATCCCACCTGAACACAAGCTAGCGATGCCTCGGCGAACTGTTAGATCAGCACTACTATCGTGTTACCCCTCATAGGGCGAGTAGGGCGGAACAGAATGCAAGGTAAGAAGACTTGCCTAGCTTACTGAAAATTGATAATATCTCGAAAGGCAATTTGGAAGTGCGGATTTAGAGTTGCGCACAAAAGCACCTGGGCTGAACTCCTCGAAAACCACGATATTTTAGCTTTGGGTCTCAGTAAGCACCTTTCAGGCCGAACTCTGAATACTCAAAGTGTCGTATATTCTGCTCTTCAAATTGAGGTTTTATGCTATAGGACATTGTATAATAATGAACCAGGTGGATTGCATGACCTAAGGACGTATACGTCAATAGTACGAATTGACTTCCGATGTCCTCTGCGGGCACCAATAGTCAGTTGCGCTCACGGTTCACCAAAACCTTTCACATCTCGGAAGTATCGCCGATAACCTCGCTCTCGGACTACTCTTCCATAGTCAGGTGCTCGAACAAGAGGGAGAGCGGTCGTATTACTCGGATCTCGGCCCTTTGTCGTCATCGCGGGGTTCAAGATCATCCGTTTGACGAAGTCCGTGGGGTTGTTCTTCTTTACCAGCTTACCAGTCGCGGCAATTATGTCTGGATGTGGAAGTCTTTTCCACTTCACACCATTCAGATTAGTACTACACAGCACACGGAGTAATCCGTATATTCTAACTGAAAGGCAAAAGGAGTAAGTTGCGAAAGAGTATGTCCAAAGTTCTTTGGGGACGACGAGGGCTTTTTCTCTTATCGAGGTTTCGCCCGAACAGAATTCATGCTGGATTCACCTCATGGCCCAAAAGTCCAACCTTTAATGTTGGTGGATGAGTGAAATCGCTGTGACGTACTCCGCAAGGTCCAGACGTCCTCAGCGACCGAGACATAGGAGTCTCAGGAGGCCCCAGATTCTTTTACAACGCCTGTAATATTGTAGACAGTGATACAAAGACTCAGAGATAACCCTCACAATTTCTCGAGAACTTGGCTACTTCTTGTCTCCGGCCTATTTTATCCTCTTGGGCGCTCTCGAGCCCTCTCGCCAGTGCTCCTTCCTCACTGAATACCTTAGGAGTTCTGTACTATAGATGCCCAGAGCACCCCCCTCCAGGCTGTACCTGACGGTTTTCAAAACTCCTATGCCTAGTTCTGTCGCAATGGATATCGAGGGTTCAAGCTTAGAGCATAATTTGAGCCAGACTTTCACGTTGTCATGGATCCTTCTGCGTTCATCGCGACATGATGGTGGTGATGCATGAGTCGATGTGAACGATGGACAATGGACTTTCCAAAAACCCCGCCACCTTCGGCGTGACCAACAGTTCCGTCACCGAAGATTGCCCGGGTCTGGAGCGGAGCGATCCAGGATGTCCAGTCGCGTCAAGATAGGGGTTGAGCGCGATGCGAACCGCGCCCTCCTACTCGTCTGCAGCCCAGCTCCTCCGGAGCAGAGCACAGGAAGGTTCATGTGAAGAAGTTTGTGAGGAAGTTTCCCTCGCGCAAGGAGGAAGTCAAGAGGTATCACCGCTTGCGCAGTACATTAAACCCGCGCATGGCCTGAGAGAAGCGAAGAACCTGCTGAGGCGTCCGTGTTGGACGCGGAGGTGGACGCAGGAAAATGAGCGTTTTGGGTCGTAAGATCGACTGCATTTGCGGGTCTAAATCGCCACATCATGCTTTTCAAAGTTCTTCGCGTCAGTTCTGCACTCGGGCAAGTCCAATGTTTGGCATGGCCCCTGCCTCGACGCGTCCATCGCGCTGCGGCTGGGCCCCGTGTATTGGCCTTTTGCAGAGCCACGATGGAGGCGAGAGGCGTCATCATCTCCCTGTGGGCGGTGATCACATCTTGGGATAGGTTATCTTCTAATTCAAAGCTGAAGATCATGGGTGTATCAGGTCTTGTTGACGGGACCTCAGACGCTGTGCCTGAATACCGTTTGACTGCCGAGAAGATCCATTAGACCCGCATCCCTCAAGTTTCTTGTATTGACGAAGACCCTCGGGCCTCTTGAGTAAATATCGGATAAGCCGGAGGATAGAAATCCGTGAGTTGCCGAACTGGGTACCGGATTTCCAGCCGAAGTCAAGCAGCGGACGCGAATATTCGGCATTTCTCTCCGAAGACCAGAGAGCTTACCAAGCGGCTTTTGTTATCGCTGGATGATGGAGTGTCTGCAGCCGTGGAGCAAGATGAGGTGGTACTGGTGATCAATGGAATCGAGTTCAACGATGTACAGGCCATTGGGGAGAAGGCTCCTGTCTGGGCTAACCAAAGTATGGGGACGAGGACGAGATTTGCAAGCAGGTGGTGCGAGAGAGGCTGGCCTGATGGACGCATACAGCAGCTTCGCATTCAACAGGAGAAAGCCGTGCTTTACCATTTCGGAGAACTGTGCTGGTGGACTTGAAGTAACAGGCCCGTTGCAATGAGAGTCTCATAGCCATTCCGATGGCGTTGCGAATGCCCGAATCAGAGTCAACACTTGACTCGGAGAAGGCTCTGCATGAGCTGTTATTCTTGTGGGAGTCTGTATATGCAAGATACGATTTCGCCCGGCGAGCCTAGCTGGGGTTTAGGATGATCGTGGGAAGCTGCGGGACGCCATTGTCTCCTCTCCATTACGCTTACAAAATCGCGATGTCCCTCAGTTCACGTCTAGCCAGAGGGTATCATCATAAAACAGGCCCGGCCGAGCACCGGGAGCTGACCATGGTCCGGGACCCTCATATCGAGTGCCGGACGGCCGGCCATCATGACCATTTTCAGGCCCAACGGTATTCTCTTTCATATTCTCGTTCATATTCTCGTTCATTAGGTCAAGACCTCGATCACTTCATCGCTCGAAAGCGTGGATTGAGTGTCCAGACATGCCGCAAATTACTGTATTGTGGAGCTCGGGCCGATAGATAGCATAGATAGCACTCCCTCAGTGGCAGTGGGTGTGAACCGGTCCAGGCTCTGGAAGTAGTAAACATTCCATTGATGGGCCAACACAACTCGAAGAAAACCATGACAAATTCTTTCGTGTTGGGTGAGATGTACGGCTGTCTTGGGGGCAGGTGAACGCGAGGTTGGCCACACTCTCGCGTAAAATAGCATATGTTTCGACAAACGTCCAGCGTAGCGCTTAGCTTCCACGGGCGGCCGCCACTAACACGGGTCTATGGACGGCTGGATGCTGGAGTTTATACAAATGAGGGGAAAGCCCGTCTCAAACAACGCGTGATGTGGGCGCGACTCCGGGCATATTATAGTCTTTAGTTGTCTGGAAATATCTTTGGTATTCGCGTGCCACCTTGCGCGGAAAGAGGTGTCGTTAAAAGATGCTCTTTCTGCGGATGGGGCCGCAAATGCTCCGCGCGCTGGCCTGGGCAGCCTACAGGACGCATTGTCTGCTGTCAGATTATTTCCAGCGTGGTAAGCTGGGTTGGACGCCCCCACGACACCCTTGATGGTGGGCCGATGTCGGTGGAGGTAGTCTTGCATTCAGTGGTTTCCTGTTGGGGCAAGAATTTCCTGAGGCGAGGTTGACACGGGAAATGGGACAGTCTTGGGTTATTTGGCATTCAAAACCACTTGAAGGATTTGTGCTGTGACTCCTGTCATTTGAATGGTCGCATCGGTCTTGTTGGTGGACCGTCTCCGTTGCTCGGTGGCCATCATCTCCGGCGATGGGTACGGGTTGGCCTCAAAGCTGAAGGCTGCAGGTTACGTAGCCTGAAGAAAAGTCGCAAAAGGCCTTGCGATAGGATCCGGGGCTCCGTGGCGCCACTTTGAAAGACTGCTTTGACTTCGGGTTGGCAAGCTGCCAACCTCTTGGCATCGCCAGCTTGGGTCATTGCGGGTTGACGATCCGCGCATCATCGCGTGGCACTGCGGTGGTCTGACTCCCAATACGGTCCGCGCTGGAGTCTGCAATCAAGCTGTCGGGAATTGAGTCCCGAGACACTGTCAAGTCCCCGGGTAGCGCTCCTGCTGGATCGGCAATCGCGCTTCATGGAAGGGCCTTTTCCATCGTAGGTCCAGCGGCAACTTGATCGACTTCGAAAGCCCGCTTGCGCTTGGCCCAGTGATCTGGATTAGTGCTCTCTCGCCGGTGGGAGGAGGCGTCTAGATCGGCAAGGGACGCTGACGTGACGGCTAAACGGCATGACTCCCTTCTTCTGGTTCCAGTACGCATGACTTCCGAGACATCGCCACGATCTAAGGTGAAGACAGGGCATGAGAATATCCTCAAAAGGCTGAGAGACGCTTTCTGTAAGGCACCGACGCCGGTGCATGAACCTTGCTCCGACTGCCGCCCGACTAGAATGGTATGCAGGGCTCACGAGACATCCGTGGATGGTCTTGCGGCACAGCACAGCAAGCGCGTATGAAGGGCTGAAATCGGGTGAGGTTTCGACCAAGCCCGGTTTTCGGCCTTATTGGCATGTTGGCGCCGTGGCATGCGGAACTAATCGGAGTCAGTACGGCTGTCGAATGGTCTTTCCATTATCAATGCCAAAAGCTGCGACGTTGTCATTGAGTCCATGATGTCCACGATTCTCTGGTAGCAGTGACTTCGTATGCAGATATACTGTACTTGGCGCCAGTGTAACGCTGCTCGGCACGCGGAAGACACTCGTAGAAAAGCGGTCTTCGTGGGGACCTTTCCTGGGTCTGGGGATCGGGATGGATGAACGATTGAGATGGGAGATGGAATCACGGAGAGGCGAGATGGAAGTGGCGGATGTTGTCGGCCAGTCAGCGAGCCTGATGATCTGATAAGATTGCTAAAGGCGGGGCCGAATCAGATAAAAATTTTGCATCGGCGCCATTGGAACGGCCCCACCGCCTAAAATGACACTAAAGGCGATGGACCAACCAATGGCCGCCGTTGGGGGACCTCCTTCCCTGCAACAGTGGGTGGGGTGCGTTCACCACTGATCGCTCCTTCCAGTTTTCCAGTTCGATCCTTCCTTCCCGATGTTCTGCTTGTTCTGGGAAGGCAGGTTCCATTTTCCAAATGGCAAGCACGACCTGCCCCCCACCTCACCTGCCAATTGGCAGTCGCCATGAACTGTGGCCTCTCGTGCCCGGCCAAGTTCACGTCGCATTTTCCTCCTCCACTAAACCCTGGTCAACCTTGAAGTCAAGCTTTTTTCTGTCTTTATTTGGTGCCTCGGCTGGGGTACTATCGGGCTCCGGATCCTCGCAAAGACCCGCAACTCGAAAGAGCTTCTGTCCAGCAAGCTCCGCCGTTGAGGGCGATGGCTCCGTCCGGTCGGCCGCCTCTGCTAGGTACATTTGAGCGAGGCTTGACGATTTCGAGACTACTCGAATGGCTTCGGCTGCGTCAGGAATGCAAACATCTTGCGACCAGAGGGCGTCAACACCCGGTCATCCTCCGTCTCTCGCCACAGAATCATCGTCCATAGCTTAAGGCTGGGAAAGGGTAGCCAAGGCCACATGAACCGGCGATCCCCTGAGCTCGAATCAGGCCAGCTTCTTACAGCAATCCACTCGCCAACGCCCGAGACAAGTGGCAGCGAGCTCTTTTCTGACCAATCTGACATGTGAGGCCACGGATCGATGCCACCAACGAGTGACCCGACACTGGTAACCGAGCTGCAGCTAGGGCTTCTTTCGGCGCATCGGCTCCTAACGGCAGGCTTCCACCCTTTACGCATCTGCACGCACGATTCACCATTGCAATGCCAAGCAACTAGAACCTCTTTCCACTCTTCAGCTGTCCATCCAAAGCATCCTCCAAGAATCTCATGCTCTCGGAGGGCTTCCTTGTACATCGACTGCCGCCTGCGACATGTCTCTCCACTCCGTCGGAACGCGCCCAACGACCTGGACCGGTCAAGTCCATCTCCCTTGACTTGATTTCGTAATGCTGCGGCCGTCCGTACCAGAAGACAATGAATGGCACCACTGCAGCCCGAGTCGTCAGAGTGGAACACCGGCGTGGTCTGGCTTGCTTACCACAACCCAGAACCGTCCGTCTGCCACCGCTGATCCTAGCCATCCCGTGGACCCTTCCCCACCACCCAAAACCGCCAGACGGTTCTTTTGCGCGGGCGAGAGCTGGACATCCAGGCACACGAGCCTGTTGGTGCTAGTCCTGGGCGTGGTGGAGGTGTGGGTGGCTCTCGCCTCTGCCTTAGCGTTGACATCCGTCAGAATCAACCTTCAACATCGCATCGCCGAGCCGATGTCCTTGCATGGGCTTGCCGGAGGGTCCCGTACCATGCTGTATATAAGCAGCTTGCCGCGCTGCCCTCCATCGGGCAGCCTGTGTCTCTCTCAGCTGCATCCCTTCCCACGACAGCAAGAAACGGGGCTCCTTGTTGCTCTACTGCGCCGCTGAGCCTGGTCCTCGCACATTTTAGCATCAAACGAAGCCGGCTTCCGATTAGACAACCAATCGATTAGACAACACAGCGATAATGGGCTTGTTCTCCAAGAAGGCTCCCGCCGAGGAGCAGGTGGCCGTTGAGCCAGCCGAGCCCCTGCCGGCCGGCGATGAAAAGTCGCTGAGAAACACAGCCGAGAAGTCCAGCGAGGAGGACCTCGTGGGCAAAGATGTTCAAGCTGGTGTTGCCAAGGTTGAGGGTATGACGGCCGTCTGGACGAAGCGTGACCTGATCATTGCCTACGTCTTGTGAGTAGCTCGAGTGGAGGCTCTTGGTAACCTATTACTAACAATCCATTCAGCATCTGGCTCTTCTACGTCGTCACCGCCATCCAGGAAGTTTCCATCCGTGTGTTGACGCCTTTCGTCACCAGCAGCTTCTCGCTGCACTCTCTGACAGCAGCAACGAGCATCATGTCAACTCTGATCGCTGGCCTCATCAAGCTGCCCTTGGCCAAGATCCTCGACACCTGGGGCCGTCCTCAAGGTCTCTCCTTGATGCTTGTATGCTGGATGCTCGGTTTCATCATGATGGCGGCATGCAACAATGTCCAGACTTATGCCGCCGCACAGGTCTTCTACTCCACAGGGTAAGATACCATCTTTCCATCAGCCGAATCAGCGGCTAACTTGCACATCACAGAGCCCAGGGCCTTAGCTACTGCATCACCATTTTCATCGCCGATACCTCAACGCTGAAGAGCAGAGCCCTTATGCTGTCATTTGCCACGTCGCCTTACATCTTCCTGACTTGGGCCGCTGGGCCGATTACCGAGAGTCTTCTCAAGGAGGGCGGTATTGGCTGGCGCTGGGGTCTGGGCATCTGGTCCATCGTTGCACCCGTCGTGATTTGCCCTCTGGTCGGTCTCTTTCTCTGGAACCAACGCAAGGCTATCAAGCAGGGCGTCATTCAGGACCGCGGCGCCATCAAAAACATCTCTCTTGCCAAAGTCAAGGCGTTCCTCATTGAGGTGGATGCTTTGGGCATCCTCATTCTTGCTACCGGCATGGCTCTTTTCCTCCTGCCATTCAGCTTGTACTCCTACCAAGCCGACGGCTGGCGCTCCCCCATGATCATCTCTTTCATCATCATCGGTTTCCTCCTGATCATTCTCTTTGCTGTCTACGAGAAGTTCTGGGCCCCAGTCACCTTCATTCCTTTCTCCCTGCTGATGGACCGAACCGTCTTCTTCGGCGGGTTGATGTTTGTCTTCCTGTTCTTCAACTCGGCCGTTTGGGGTTCTTACTTCACCTCCATGCTTATGGTCGTCTGGAACACCTCTGTCTCACAGTCTACCTACATCGGCAACATCTACCGCACCGGATCCTGCGGTTTCTCCCTGATCATTTCTGGCTTGATCTACAAGACCGGTCGTTTCAAGCCATTCGCTCTCTTCTTCTGCATCCCTCTTATGATGCTTGGTGTTGGCCTCATGATCTATTTCCGTCAGCCGGACAAGGACATTGGATACGTTATCATGACCCAGATCTGTAAGTTGCCCGTTGTGTCGCAAGCATCTTATCTTACTAACTTATTCAGTTGTTGCTTTTGCGGGTGGCCCTTCCGTCATTTGCGGAGAGATGGCCATGCTTTCTCCCTCCGACCATCAGCATGTGGCAGTCATCTTCGCCGTTCTCGATCTGTTTGGCAGCATTGGCTCCACGGTTGGATACACCGTCGCATCAGCCATTTGGACCGGAACCTTCAAGAAGAATATTGCGAAGTACACGCCCGCAGGAACTCCTGTCGACCAGATCTACGGAGATATCTACTCGCAGCTCGGCTATCCTGTCGGATCTCCTGAGCGCATCGGAATCCAGCGTGCTTACGGTGACTCGCAGCGCATCATGCTCATCACCAGTGTGTGCCTGTTGGTTGGTGCACTTGGCTCCGTTGCCATGTGGAGAGACATCAACGTCAAGAAGGTGAAGCAGGTGCGCGGAAACGTTGTTTAAGTGGAATGGTGCGGCATATGATACCCCTTTTGCATGGCGGAAGCCGTTCGCATCACGAAGAAAACAAGTCCCTAAGTTGAGACTACATATCTCAATGGACTTCCATACTATATATCTTATTTAATTGATGGGATGTGGATGACAGTTTACCGAAAACTACTCTAGTGCTCGCTTGTCCCGGTGTCTTCGCCTATGATGTCTCCCTGACAGAAATCTTCCACCATGAGGGCAGTCGACGATTCTTTTGGAAGATCGGCCGCGTGGGCTGCATTCATCCAGCGAGCCGGTGCTACCGGGGTATCTCTTCCGGCCACGCGGCGACTGGCTTGGCGAACAAGGGGTTGGCACATGGCGACAGCGTGAGGATCCAAGTTGATCAAAGGCGTTCTGCCTGTCCTTCACGTCTACGTCTTTACCTCAACGGATGAGATAGAATTCTCGCATGGCGCGAAGCCATTTTTCCAATGCCGTCACTTTTCGAGCGAGAGGGACAATTTCGGCACGAACGTCGACCATCTTTACCCCAAACAGGACCAATGCTACCTAGGCCCTATTTCACCGTCTTGGCACGCGCTCAATCCCCCGCGATTACCAGCATCCAGCGCATGCAATTCTGCAAGAGAAAGAATTTCCTCCATTGACATGGCGAATTGGGAGTGGATCGATTACGCCTTCATTATTGATATGTAGTTGCACACAACAACAGCACGGCTTTGGAGTAGGCTATGCCATTCCAGCCCATGAACCCGGCCAAATGGCGGCTCACCGAGGGTAAGATAACGAGGGCATTGCCACGGTATTAATATGTGACTTCCATTCTCCTTCTCCGCCGTCTTTGGCTTGATTTTCAGCGGCGGCTTGTCTACTCTCTCCCGTTAACCCATTCCCGGAGTTGGTCCTCACCTCTCACACGATGCGTACCTCCCTCCCCATCCTCGCTCTCACGAGCAGCCTCGCCCTCACCAACGCAGCCCGCGCCTACTCGGAATGGCTCGCCTCCTCCTTCATCGACCGCCAAACCCCCATCGACGCAGGCTATGGCCCCGCCGTCCTCTGGGAAGGCATCGCCCGCGCGGGCGCCCACATCTCCCCGACCTCGCCCCTTCTCAAAGCCGCCGAGGCCAAGGTCTCGTCGCTCGTCAGCGCGGACGGCACGCTCGACGGCTGGGACCCGGAGTGGTACTCCCTCGACGACATCCGTATTGGCAACAACCTGCTGTACTTCTACCAGCGCTCCGGCGACGCGAAGCTCAAGACTGCGGCAGACGGGCTGCGGCAGCAGCTCAATCGCTGGCCGCGCACGCCGAGCGGCGGGTTCTGGCACCGCGCGCCCATCTACGAGGACCAGATGTGGCTGGACGGGATATACATGGCGGACACCTTCTACGCGACGTACGTCAGCCTGTTTGAGAGGGAGAATGTCACCGCGTGGGAGGAGATTGCGCTGCAGTTTGACCTGATTGAGGAGCACTGCCGCAACCACACTAGTAACCTCCTCGTGCACGGGTACGACGAAGCCAGGGACGCGGTGTGGGCGGATCCCGTCACCGGCGCGAGCCCGCTGGTGTGGAACCGCGCGGTGGGATGGTACTTCATGGCGCTCATCGACACGCTGCAGGTGTACCCTTCGGACCTGCCCGGGTATGCGCGGCTGCTGGGGTACTTCGTCACGTTGGCGGACGGGCTGGAGCGCAGCCAGGACGCCGGGGGCGGGTGGTGGTTGATCATGAACGAGGGGTACGAGACGCGGAAGGGGAATTACATTGAGGCGAGCGCGACGGCCATGTTTTCGTACGGGCTGTTGCGGGGCGTGAGGGCCGGGTTTCTGGAGGAGAAGTATAAAGCGGTAGGGCTGAAGGCGTATGAGCTGTTGGTGGATGAGTTCGTGAGGGAGGACGGGAACGGGACGATTAGCTTCTTGGGGACGGTACAGGTTGGGAGTTTGAACTCGAATGCGAGCTTTGAGGTAAGTTGTTCGCTTTTTGCTTCTGTGCCTGACTTGGCTGTTGGGAATGTTGCTAATGAGTGTTCGCGTAGTACTACACGAGTATCCGGCTTGTCGAGAATGATGCTAGAGGGTCTGGGGCGTTTTTGTTTGCTGCTATCGAGGAGGAGCTTCTTTAGACCAGGCGCGAGGCCCGACTGCTGGATGACGCCAATATGTGCTCGAATGAGGCGTAACTAGAGAACCTGCTCTGAGAGGACAGTATGTGAGCTTGTATTGTATTCTGTAGATATCTAGAAAGATTACAGTATCATTTTGGACCTTATTGGCCTCATTCAGCAGCTTCAAAGATAACAACACAACAATGGAAGTCTATAGAGAGGCCCTGATTTCACCAACCTGCAAAATAATTCATCCGCAACTGAGTTCATCCCAAATCTTACCCTTCGGACTCCGCATCATCTTTTAAACGATCTTAGTCATTCCTGTTGATTCTTTTTCGAGCGTTCTCGGTTGCGACTTATCGATGTTTCGTGGGTCAAACCACCCCGCTGCGGGATCAGAGGAGGGCGGCGGATGATGTCATCCCGACATGATCCTCACTCGATCCCGAAAGGGAGCAAGACACGGTTCTCCACGCGGCGGCTGGAACATCAGCATGATTCGCATCGCTACGTCATCCGGGCACGTTCTAGAACTTTGAATTGAGGCGTTTTATTTTCGGTTCTGTGGCGCGCGTGGAAAAACGCACAAGTCCCTGCAGCATTGCATCTGAAGCAGTTCTGTTTTTATCGATACCAACGCCAACGTCAACAACCTAATGATTATCGTGTCGCACCTAATAAGAGATACTCCATTGTTCAACGTCGCACGATCTACCGCGCATACGATTTAGCAAAACTTTAAACATACACCTAATGGCGTCGCACGCGGAAGAGCGCGCAACGCAGCCAACGGCGCCGCCGGCTGCGAACCCCGCAATGACGGCGCAGGAGCCCGGACCCTCGAAGAACCCCGCTGCACCCACCGAGAGCTCTGCCTCCGAGACGGAAAGCAGCTCCCAAGACTCGAGGAACCAGATCGCAGCGGAGGAACAACAGCAAGGCGTTCGTCGTCGGGAGGGGCGGCAGCGGCAGGTGTACGAGTACCAGCAGGGCGAGGACGGGTCCACCGCGCAGCAGGTTGCGCCGCAGAACGGGCAGCAAGTGCAGAGTAAAAGCAAGGGGGCGCCTTCGGTGCGGCTTGATATGGATCTTGATGTGGATATTGAGTTGAAGGCTAAGATCCAGGGCGACTTGACGTTATCGATACTGTGAGTGCTGGATCCGTTGAGATGAGGTGAGTTGACACTGACGATGTCGTAGGGGAGGAAACCAGGAGAGGAAGAAATGAGTGGATGGATGAGAATGGGTTATGATGGGATGAGATTAATGTAATCATGTATTTTTATGAGTTGCATGTGCAAGTGTAATTGTGGTAAGGCGACGCTTAGCAAAGGGCACTGTATATAATAAGAAGGGCAGGTTGAAAGTCATCATCAAATTGGACACAACACATCGGTCTCTGCGTTGCACATGATTCTTCATGTAAAAGTGAGGTCGAATCTCATTACACCAACGCAACTGCCCTCATTCCTGATGCAGATCCTTCCTCATAACCCCCTTCAAACTCTCCTCCGAAATCGTAATATACTTCTCCGGCGCCACGCTATCCTCAAACGGCACCCTTAACCACTCGTCCGCCTGCACGATCTTGCCCTCCCGCAGCTTCAGATCGATCACGCCCGAGTACTGGAACGGCAGCCCCGTCGCCTTGCGCCGCCCGAGGTCGTTGACGAAAACGCCCTTGTTGACCGTCCGGAAGCTGCAGTACCCGTTGCCCTGGTCGTCGAGCTGCGCCCAATACACGGGGTACTGCGGGTCGAGCCACACCGCGAAGTCGTCGTGCGCGCCGTTCCAGTGCTTGTGGTGCCGCTCGAGGAAGGCGAAGGGCACGTGGATCTGGGCGCCGTGGTCGGTCATGACGGAGTCGGGCGCGAAGAGGGCGAGGAGAGGGGCTGGGTCGCGCGAGGCCCAGGCGCGGCAGTATATCTCGGGGAGGTTTTTGAGGTCGGTCATTTTGTGATGGGGGAGGTTTGGCACGTGAGATTGGTGGTTTGGCGTCGAGTTTGTGGTGTCGTGGGCAGTAGGTTTTTGACTTGAGGGCTGCAGAGCTGAGAACCGCAGACACCGGGAGACGTTCATCTAGCAGCTGCATCCATCCTTTAAGTTCACGTTGATGATTGTGTATTAGCTCGGATGGGGGTTTGGGGAAGATCCGGCATCCAGTGGTGAGTGAAACCGGAGATGTGGATCAGATGAAGGTGCGGTTGCGGTGTTGCGACTATGCACTGTCCCGGGTTAACGAAACGGGTCTTCCGGGGCGTCTCGGGGGCCGGAATGGTGGCTGGGGAATGTCGGCCGGAGGACGGGGATGTGTAGAGCGAGTGTGGCACCGAGTCGCGGCATGTTGGGGGTAGGTCGGTGATAACCTCCAAATTGAGATTCACGATCTGAGGTGTGGTCGAGAATGCCGTATCAAACCGGTTTGTAAGCGGATTCGCGCCCGAAACTCCGAGATTCGATGTGTAGATGTGAGAACAGGCCAGGGACACGCACGGCTTATCTTGCCGTGCTACATGCACAAGTTCCCTGTTGGTAAGGTTGCGTACATCGGACGACGCGAGGCACTTACCTCATCACTAACGACAACTTCAATCATCTGTCAGAGAGCGAATTACCTCTTGAGCGAACCGGATCTCTGGAGGATAATTGTAGGCAAATGCTATTAGACGCCAAAAACAATTGACACATGTACTGTCCCGTTGCTGGCGCCTTACTTATCATCAACATCCACTATTGCATTATTCTATGTTTCGGAAATGCCGGCTGTGAGGGAAGATAGAAGGCGCAGCTACGAGGTATTTACCCTAGAATTCCCAGCCCAACACTAGTAGGCGCAGAAAGACTGACTTTTTGAAGGATGCCATCAATATGTTGAACTCGACACAGTCAGGTCACAAGGCCCTGGAAGAAAGGCGGCGTCACGGTCAGAAGCTAGATGGAGGCGCGTTGAAGCAGATGAAGCACTGGCTTGGATGCCTTGGCTATACTGTGATCATCCCAGAGCCCCGTCGATGAATCCTGACTGACTATTGAGCCTCGCGATCTGAACCGCATGAACATCGTCCACGTGGCCGGCACAAAAGGCAAAGGGACTACGTGCGCATACACGAATTCCATACTTCAAAGCTTGCACAACGAGTCAAGCGCACCACGAAAGATTGGTCTGTACACATCTCCGCATCTCGTATCAGTACGAGAGCGAATAAGAATCAACTCAGAGCCTATCTCAGAGGAGCTCTTCAACCAATACTTTTTCGAAGTATGGGATGCTCTATCTGCAAAACAGGAACTGGGTTATGAAGAAAAGCCGACTTACTTCCGATTCTTGACTCTAATGTCGTTCCACGTCTTCATGCAAGAGAATGTCGACGCAGCCATCTACGAGGTCGGGGTTGGCGGTGAGCTTGACTCGACAAATATCATCGATCAGCCGGTGGCAGTTGCCATCACAACGCTGGGAATAGATCATGTACAGACTCTTGGCAACACGATTGAGCAAATTGCATGGCATAAGGCGGGGATAATGAAAAGGGGGTGCCCTGCTTTCACCGTAGGTCAAGACGCTGCAGCGATGAAGGTTTTGAGTGACAGAGCAATCGAGAAAGGGGCAAACCTGATGAAGATAAACCCGGTACCGGCTCTTGGAGAGATCAGCATTTACCCAGACGAATCTTTCCAAAAGGGGAATGCCTCCCTTGCTATTCACCTAGCAGGGGCCATTCTTGAGAGATGGGGGGCACCTATTTCATGGGGTGGTGATTATCTTCCAAGCCAGGTTAAACGTGGATTGGAGACCATGGTCTGGAGGGGCAGATGCGAAAGAAAGATTACGGGAGATATTCGCTGGCATCTAGATGGGGCTCATAATGAGCAAAGCCTCCAAGTCGCTTGTCGGTGGTTTGACACGGCCACCCGGTACTCGTGAGTTGCTCTGTTCCTCTTTCATCTCCCGCCAATTTTAATCATTTGCTGTAGGAACCTTCCGTGTGCACTAATCTTCAACCAACAGTCCACGAGAGACGCCCATGCTCTGCTGAAAGTGGTGCACGAGAGCCTGTATCAAACCAACAAGACTAGGTTCCGATACGTTGTGTTCTGCACCAACGTCACCTTCAAAACCCGACAGTCCAAATTTGGTACGTAACCCCCGTTTAATAATTCTTTGATCTTTGCCGCCGACACTGATGATGAAGATCTCACCAACTTCAACGTCAACCCCGCAGAGCTCAAAACTCTCCAGGCGCAGAAGGAGATGGCAGAAACTTGGAGACGCCTTGATCCTGTCGCTAGGGTGCTTGTGGTTCCTACCATTGAGGATACTACCGACTTCATACACAACATTGGCGGCGGGGGTTCAGAGATGAACGTCTTGGTTACTGGGAGCTTTTACCTTGTCGGAGGTTTACTGTCACTGCTCGAGGATACTGTCTCTTGAGACGACATTCTAAACCCCACACTCCTAAGATATTCGAAGAAACATATGTGCTTGATTGGACAATATACAGAGCAGTCGCCCAAGTATGTACAGCTAGAAGAACCCTGACCCAAGAAACCCAGTCTACATCCAGCGAGCCAGTGCCCTCCCTATATACCATGTACCCAATACATAACCGAACCTAGCAGATGCGTTCTGCTACTTCATGGAGCGAGCTGATTAACAGCCAGAAGTCTTGACATTGGTCTCGGAGCAGACTTTGGGGTCATTAGGCGCATCTCCAGGCTCGCCGCCGCCAGTCACACCCTTGGAGTTCTTGCACACAGTAGCGCCGCCCAGAATGCAGGCCCCGTTGACAGTCGCCTTGTCGCCCAGGTTTCCGTTGACGTGGACGATGGTCTTGGCCCCGTCGACGTAGATGTTGGTGAAGGTGGACGTGCGCGCCGTCTGCTCCTTGCAGTTGCCGCAGGAGCGGTACAGCTGGCCGATGTTCTGGGCGTAGAAGTCGATGACCTCGACCTCGCCGCCGCCGTTGTGCTGGAAGACCTTGTCCGAGCCGCCGCGCGCGCCGCCGCCGCGGACCGTCGACTTGCCGCCCGTCTGTCGGAAGGTGGCTGCGTCTTCGCAGACCTTGTCCCACCAGCTGCAGGATCATGTCAGTCTACTAGGTCAGGGTGATGGGGGTGACATGGATTACTTACACGTTCTCGAGCGTGCAGCTACCGACGCACTGAACACCTTCGCCGGCACCGCCTCCGATAATGGCATTGCTCAAGGTCGCGCCGTCCTCGAGGATGAAAGCGGCGTCGTTGCGGTTTCCTTCGCCGCCGGTGCAGGTGCTCGGGACGCGGTCGTACAGCTTCATGCCTCCGTCAAAAGCGCCGGTGATCTTCTTGACTGCAGAGAGGTTCTCGGTGCCGGCGGGTGTGGGGAAGGTCTTTTGGAGTCCGCCGCCACCGCCGCTGCTGCCGCCACCACCTCCTGGAGTTGTGCCGTTGTTCGCCGAAGATCCGCCTCCTCCAAGGTAAGCGCCGCCGCCGCCGCCGGAGCTAGAACCACCACCACCGGAGCCGCCGCCGGACTTGCTGCCCCCAGATCCAGATCCAGATCCAGACCCGGAACCGCTGCCCTTGTCCTTGTTCTTATCCTTGCTCTTGTCTTTGCTCTTGTCCTTGCTCTTGTCCTTCGTCTTGTCCTTCGTCTTGTCCTTGGACTTATCCTTGGACTTATCCGTGGAGGGATCGGCTTTGGAGCCGACGTCGCTGCCGTCGTCCTCGCAAGAGCCGTTGTTGCCCGGGCCGCCCCCGCCGGGCCCGGCGAAGCGGACCTCGACCTTGGCCTGCTGGGGCGCCATCACGGCGCGGGCGAGGTGTCCGACGCCGCCGATGTGTCTGCGGGCCGGCCGCTCGGCGTCACGACCACCAGGGTTGATGGGGTTCGCAGCAGCCAGTGCGGCAAGGGTGAAAAGGACCAGCCTGGATGCCATTGTGAAGATTGTTTTGAATGACGGTAATAGTAACTGGAACTGGTGAACCTAAGGTTGGTGAAAGAAAGGGGGGAAATGTGGAAAAAGAGAAGAGGGAAAAGATGTTGAAGATGGAATGAAAGAAACTGTTTGGCGATGAGGCCTGCCGAAAAGAAACATGGCCAGATAGAGGGTGATGAAGCAGGCTTATATATAACCATGATTTCTTGTAGTCTACTGAGATTAGAGTAGTGCTATCCGTTCATCGCATCTGAGAGTCCCCTGCAAGAGGTGGACTTCCCATCTACGAAACCCCCAGCGGCATCCCACCGAACACGGGTTAGTATATCGATGACTGCCCAGCCTCTCCACTATCTGGTGTATATGATGGATCAACGGCCTGCGAAATTGGCCTCGTTAGAATCTGCGGGATATCCACCGCCGACATGTGTTCCAGCGTCAGATTCATTGGCCCAAGGGGAAACAAGACTTCTTCGGGGGCATGGTAGCAACTACTCTAAACCCAATTGCGAGTGTCACGCTGGGCTAACCCGCGTTCGACGGTGGAACTGCCCCGAAGAAGCACCTCCAGTCGCCCATATGGGGCAGTCTGGTATATGTTGGTCCTCCCCAGGATGACAGCTCGAGCGGGAGCGCCATCCGACGACATGGACCAAAAGGCCCACCCAGTTCATCCCGCCTGCCGGATGGGCATAAGATGATTTTCATATAAGGGATGCCGTGCGGCTTCTGCACATCATAAGTCAAACCAGCTAATGGCCTGGGCACGACAGACTTTCGAGTCGTACGTTCTTGGCAGTCCCTCAATCTCTATCACCGTACTGGCGGGTTTTCTGGGAGAGGAAGAAGAAAAAAAGCTTGGAGCAGCCCGTTCATCTACCCGGGAATTCGGGACAGGGTTGTTGTTGGTCCTCGGATCCCGGAGTTCTCGGGTCGCACGGGGTTGGGGGCTGACCGTGCGGCGCTCTCGCCGTTCTTTTCGCTACAGACGAGGCGGGCGGGCGTGGAGTTGATGGATCTGATGGATCTGATGGATCCGGGGCTCCGGACTGGAGACTTCTACAGGCGGCCTTCGTCCTGTCTCCGTCCGACTAAAAGACACCTTATTTTAAGCTAAAAACGAACAAGAAATAAGTCTGGTCAAACGACAGGTTGGAGGGTCGTTGATATCTCTGTCGAAAGTTGCGGTTAACTCCCGTGAACTCTGAGCAAGGAGATTTTGAGTCCTGTTTGTTTAACCCCTATTAGAGTTTTCGGGCAGCCAAAAGTCTGACTCTCAAACCATCAGTTGACCGATGCTCATCATCTCAGGGGGGCCGCACAGCAACGCTGACTGATCTTCATAGAGTTCAGTGCCAAGAATTGCTGTGCACGCCAAGAATCGTCAGTCTTCATGCAGCCGACTCAGGATTGACTCGCGAAGGCGCTCAATTACTACGAGACGCTCCTCGCACCAAGAGCGCACATGTCTTGACAACGATTCAGACCCCAAGGTTTGGCGCCAAAGATGCTGTCAAACCTCTTCATACGAACGTCGCTTGGCCTTTCGTGACAGCTGCCACAGACCTCAGACTAGAACGGCAACTTGACGTGCTGGGTCTGTTGTTTCGACGTTTCTTGGGCGAAAGCCATGCGGGCAGCGTGTTTGAGATATAGCTATAGCTATTTTTAAACTTTCATAATGGACTTTTTCACACACAAGGCAGTGCTGGATGTGGAGTGCAGTGACCCATCGGGCATGAGACCGAAAGTCGACGACGAAGCGACTCTTCACTTCGGAAGCCGAAGGCACCGTATTCCATAGCATCTCGCGCATATGATAGCAGCACATTCTATGAGCGTGCGCCGAAAGCCAATGTCCTGTACCTGAAGCTTAGGTCTCGAGCCAAGAGAAACTCATCAGAGTTTGACGATCAGGACTCGCGACTGCCGGCGGTCAACGCTTTGAATAAAACATATTTCGAATAACATTAATTGAGCAAGTATTAAGTAAGATTGAGACAAGTCCCGAGCTCTTTCGTTTTCGTTCGCGACATATGGTATCCAATGAAAACATGCTGTAACTTCGTACGGGTATCGCAGCTGTGTCGACCAAAACTCCATACTTCAGGCCCATTATACCATCTCACCGGCTGAAGGACGACGATTTGCCCTATTATGATGCGATGTCACCGTCTTACGGGGAACACCGACTCCACGACCGTCCCTGCTAGTGCTGTACCGGGTCCTAACCGTCTTGTCGGTACCATAGGGCTTTCCTCCCCATTCTTTGCCCCAGCCTGCCTTACGGGTGGCGACCAGACCGTCGCCGAAAGAGTCGACATCGTATTCGAGGGGCATCTTACGGTGGAGAGGAATATGGTTGAAACGCCAGTCCCAGATCGAGGCATACACCATTCGGTATGACGAGAAACCGAACATCGTACCGATCAAGCCGCCGGCCAAGATGTCGTACCAGTTGTGGGACTGGTCGACGGTCAAGGAGCCTCCCACAAGTGTGGCGCCGAGGATGGGGGCGTAGGTAAGGATCAGCTTCCACATGGATGGGTGGTAGTTGGACCACACCTTGAGCTTGGCATTGAGGTAGAGGTACAGATACACCATGCCGGCAAACATGGATGTTGTGTGCCCCGATGGAAATGATTCCAATGCGTTAGAAAGGGAACCTCCCATCTCGGTGGTGCAAATGTCGTAAGTATACATGATACCACCATAGCCTGTGCCGTCGAGACCAGTCGCATTGCCACCTGGTTGGGAGGCTTTGCTGATGTCGGGTTTGCAAACCTCGAGGAAATTTGGGCGGAGACCACCAATCAACCATTTAATCATGACCTGGAACACGGCCGATCCCAGTTGAGCATAGAGCACACCGATGATACCGTTGTTGATGTCCCAGAACGAGCGGATACGAATCTGGCAGAGGAGTATGACCAGTATTGGGACGCCGACGCCAAGCGCAGTTGCAGCATGGCTGGGGATATATTGCGGAATGGCAGGGTAGCCGAACTGAGGATACACGACTTCGCCGTCTTCGAAAGTGACAGGGAACAGCCGGTGCGCAGGCGGATGGGCTCGAAATACCTGCAATTCACATGTCAGCCGTCATTGGAGATGTTGGGGTCGCGTGAGGTACGGACACCTAAAGCGATCGCGCCCATAGCTATCATCGTCAAGATATCGAGCCATGTCACTTTGAGCCATAGCATGAAAGGAGGTCGGTGAGCCATGGTATATGGCTCACCGCGGTGCCAGCGCTCGTTGATCTTGGTCTCGTCACTGCTTCGGCGGTGATGGGTGGGAAGAGGGGTCTCAGGGTCGTGTCGCCGACGACCAAACAAGTTGAAGCCCGCCATCTTGTTGGATATGGAGATCCTCGGGCAGTCAATCAGAATCGCTGACGCGCCTGGCGATGTTCGGGGGAGAGTGCTGCAGGCAGCTTCTAGGAAGTGAGAATGCGCAGGTCGACAGAGTGGTTTGGGATACCGATAGGAGCATGCAGCAAGAAGGCAGAGACAGATGATAAAGGCCGAAGCCTTTGATCATGTCCTCATTCCCAGGCCGTCGCTCAAGTCTTGGCAATCACAGTCATCCTGTTCATTCTGCCTAGGTAAGGTCGTACCTGACGACAAAAGACAGTCGCGACTACACGCGCTATGCCAAGTGTTGGTGCTGTGACGTCAGTCACGATCGGCCGGTGCAACTGTCGACAGACACGCAACGCTTGTCTCTGCTCGCTTACGGGATGCCAAGAAATGTCCTTGACGAGTTGAAGCCACTGGAGGCCAGCAAAAAAGGCTTGGCTGATGCGATTCGGTTCAGCCACATCATTCAATGGCGCATGCCCTGCCTTGAATCTGTGTTTATTGATATACGGAATGGAACTGTAGCCGTTCATAAGTAATTACTCAGTGGGTGACCATGTGATTGGTGAGTATGCTGCGCTGTTACTCTACTGAGCGGACCTTGCTTGTTCGCGGTCAAACTTAGAGCCTGGCCATCGCTGGAAATTTTCACGATTCCGAAGTCCTTATGCCCGGCCGTATAGTCCTTTCCTGCATCGGTTGTTGGATGATGGCTGGCGTGCAGGTGCACCTACCCGATGCCCCATCATCCTCCCGGTGCCGGCTCCGGAATAAGTGGATCATCTCCGATCAACCGGGCGCACCTCCGGTGACTCCGACTCGATCACTTATGCCTACATCCAACGCTTAATTTGTTTGTTCTGTAACCCAAAAAGCTCTCCCTTCCCAATCCAACCAAGCCTGCAAAGCTTTCGTGCCTGCGTAATCGATGGTAATAATCACAATGTTTACGGACGAGAGATCCTCCATGAAAGCAAGTTGAGTATATACGGGTTGAATATGTACACTGAAGTATTGAATTGAATATCCATGAAGCTGAAACTTCTTTTCCTTATCTCTTGCATCCCTGAGACTACGGTATTGGCCAGAGCCTCACCAATACCCGCCCCCACCGCTAACCTCTCAAGGAGCGTACGTCTTGAGCAAGCTGTTGTAGTACTTGTATCCCGTGCCGCTGGGAGGCTCGAAAGAATAGATGTAGTCGCCCCACCAAGGGCCAGCACTCCACCAGAGGGCACCTGCTTCGTTAGTCTCGCGTTCAAAAGTGTCCGAAAGAGTCCAGACTCACCAGTCCACACGTCGCTGTTAGCCTTGAGGTAATCCAGCATGCCCTTCACAGCAGTCTGGCACTGCGTGTTCGCGCCACCAGCAAACTCTCCCAGGATACCAATCTTTCCGTTCTGCCTCAGCCAGGTCGTCGCCGCAGTGACTCTCTCAACACCAATCGTGGTCGACACACAAGCATCCGACGTCCCAGAGCTATCCGAATCAAGATACTGATGCATCTCGTACACGATCTTATTCTGCGGATCCGTCAGGGCCTTCATGTTATCGTTGACAGTCGTCCACGACCACGCCCCGGACCACTGGTTTCCCTCGACAAAGATGTACTGCGTCGCCCCCGCGGCGCGGATGCCGTTGATCGCCGCCTGGTTGAGGTTGAGCACCAGCGTCTGGTCCATCGTGTTGTACTCGTTGTTCGTGTCGAAGATCACGTGGTCGTTGCCCTTGAACTGCGTCGCGAAGTTCTTCCACCACGTCTGGAAGCCCGCCGTGTCGGTGATGATGGCGTCGTTGAAGCGCCCGTAGTTGTGCGGGTCCAGCACGGCCCAGCCACCGCTGGAAGTGATGTGGTTGATCACGGCGGTGTAGTTCGCGAGGTAGGCGGTGTTGAAGGCGCCGGTCAGGCCGGATGGGGTCAGGCGTTCCATCTTGAACTGCACGCGGAAGGTGTTGTAGCCCTGCCCGCGGAGGGTCTACTCGCTTTGTCAGTATACGGGTGTGGCTGGTCTGGAAGGTGGAGACTTCTTACGGTAATGGTGGCAGGGTCAGGGAAGATGAACTCCTTGCCCCATGTGCCGGGCAGCGTCTTCTCGCCAAACTCGCCGCCGGCCTCGTTGGTGCCGAACCACCTCCAGCTGCCGGCACCGGGGGCCGCAGTGGAAGTGGGCTTGACGGAGGTCGCCAAGGTCGTCGAGGCCGGCGGGTTGCTGGAGCCGGAGCCGGGAAGGCACTGGCTGTACCACTGGTTGGAGACGGTGCAGGTGTACCCGGAGACGCAGGTGGTTGCGCCGGTCCAGCCAGAGCCGCCGCACTGAGCGTAAGCGCCGGCTTGCGCCGCCGCTCCGCTGACGAGAGCGCCAAGGGCGATGAGGGACCTCATGTTGGGCTTGGTTTCGTGGTTGGAACTTGACGGATGCAGAGAGGGCAGTGTCTCGGCAGCTAGCCTTGGCTATGGTTGTTTATATATATCTGGGGTACGTCGCCAAGATCCTCCTTCCCCTCTGGCCGCGCAGTCTCATGGAACCCTCCATTCCGTTGCGCCATTCCTATTCTACCATCATCTTCTCTGAAGCCCCGTGGGGTCGCAGATGCCTTCCGGTTGGCCGCCGGTTCGGCAAGAACCGTCCAAATATGAACTTCTCAGGGGTATGTTCTCCATCCTGTCGGCTGTTGAAGCCGTCAAACCACGGTCACGATCAGGGATCACCCCCCGGTATAACTTCTCTTTCGAGTCCCGGGATATCTGGAGCCGCAGTTGTCAGTGCTGGCTTGGATGAGCGAACAGGCAACGTCGGACCGGTTCGCTGGGATTAGCCCATGTGCCGGGGCCGGCAGGCAGGTGACTGCTGGCGGATGCGACCAATGGGCGGGGAGGTCATTTCCGAGAGCGGTCGAACGGGGCAGCTTTTGGGGTGAAGAACTTGAGAAGGGCAGTTTTAAGGATGTTGGTGCGTGCCGGAGTGTGAGCCTCCGAGGTTGCATCGGGCCATCGGACGGCACGTCGGGGGACACATGACCACGAATCGAGCATCACTCGGTACCGAAGATTTTTTGATTGGGCTTTGTTGGCATTTCCACCAGTTACGTGTATGGGCGAAATGAAATCGCAGTGTTGTCAGGAAGGGCAATTTTCGGCATCAAGGGCCTTTGTTTCCTGGCGCGATTCTGCTCGGATGGAGCATGAGTGAGCAGAGGCGAGGTGAATGTCACGAGACTCACCCAAAGATCACAGACTGAACCGCTGGGACTAACATGATTTGGCTTCATGGTGACTTGACGTTGAAAATGCAAGCCATCGGAGACTTCATTTCTTGGCGCCTGGGGCTGCAGTTGATGGGCGCGTCTGGTGCTACCACCCTGAAAGCAGATGCCGGAAACAGTCTCCCCGAGGTGCAGCAAAGCAGAATTTGAGGCTGTGAGCGTTGGGCCTGGTTAACGTCTTCAAAGCGTGGCGACCCAGCTCACAGAGGCTGCTGTGGCGGTGTCTGGATAGTCGCTTGTGGCAACGCCTCCCAAGTTTGGCAACAGGTCAATCGACCAAGTTGCGGATATTTGAAGACCCTGGGACAGATGTCAGATGGTTCTGACAGTGACTCACTGTCTACCATGTGGTCGAACGAGTCGGACATGAAGGCTCCACTCGACGAATGACTTTGAGTTCAAAGAGGCCCAGTTATTGAGCCTACAAAACGCAGGTCATGTTTCCCGTAACTGGAGATATGAGCCTCATTCCGCAGAAGCAGTTGCATTCTTGTCCTGATGCCTGCCAGCTGTTGCAAGTAATAGTACAGATGTAGACACGTAATGAAGTCCCGTGGGCCTGTATTCTACAAGTCGTCTCTATCCAGCCCGCGCTTGTAAGCTGATAACGCCCGCTCGCGACACCCCTTGTGCTCTACCATCTGCTCAGGGTAACCGGCCTTCTTCGCCTGCGCCCCAGCGCCGCGACCGTACGGATCGTGGATAGCTTTTCCTTTGACCCCCTTGAGCTCAGGCACCCACTTCCGGATGTAGTCTCCGTTAGGGTCAAACTTCTCGCTCTGTAGTAGTGGGTTGAAGATGCGGAAGTACGGCTGCGGGTCGACGCCCACGCTCGCGGAGAAGCCCCAGCCGCCGTTGTTCGAGGCAAAGTCGCCGTCAATCAGGTTCTCCATGAAGTGGCGCTCGCCCATGCGCCAGTCGATGAGCAGGTCTTTTGCGAGAAAGCAGGCGACGATCATGCGACATCGGTTATGCATCCAGCCCATCTCGTGCATCTGGCGCATCGCGGCGTCGACGATGGGGAAGCCCGTCTTGCCATCGCGCCATGCCTTGAAGTCATCCATGTCGTAAGACCACTCGATGTTTGCGTACTCGGGCTTGAAGGGCTTGTTCATGCTGAGGGAACCGGTCAGCGATCATGGCGTCTCTGTTCAAAGGGAGAATACGTACCACACGAAGGGCCAGTTCACCAGGACGTGCTTGTAAAAGTCTCGCCACGCCACTTCGCTGATCCACACTCGAATGCCCTCGTTGCCCGCGTCCAGCTTTTTGGTCTTGTTCCGGTCTCGCGCGTAGCGCACACACGTCCTCGAACTGATGGTTCCACTGGCCAGGTGCACTGAGAGAGTCGAGGTCCCGGCGTCGTAGGGGATGTTGCGCTTGTTGTGATACTGGCCAACCTTTTCCTCACAGAACTTCTCCAGACGGCTCCGTGCCTCGTGCTCCCCTGGCGGGAAGAAAGCTCTAAACCGTTTCTTGTCATCGTCTTTCAAGGTCCTGCCCTCCACCTCTTCCGGGATCTCCGTATCGAACAGCTCTCCAAACTTCTTTCGCGCGCTGACTGGGTTCTTCGCGGGGGGGTCGTAGAGCTCTAAAAGGTCCAAGTTCTCGTGGACGTGGCGCACCCAGGCGCGGAACCAGGGAGAGTAGACGGCGTACTGTTTGCCGGATCCGCTCGTCAACTGCCCTGGCGGGACTACGCACGTATCGTGCAAAACCTCGTATGAGAGGCCCTTGTCCGCAAACATGCGGACCATCTTTGCCTCCCGCCTGAGCTCGTCCACTTCGTACTCCATGTTGGCAAACAAGTGGCTGGCTCCCCATTGGCCCATAAGCTCGGCGATTCTGTCGGGGATTCTCTTTCTCTTTTCAACGGTCTCGACGTAGAGTGGGATGTCGAGTTTGGTAAGATCCTCCCTCAGAACATGCAGGGTCCTCAGCATGAAGTCGACGCGGATGGGGGCTGTGAGGTGAGCCTCGAAGTCTTGCGGGCTGATGATGTACATGGCGATCAGCGGGACCCCGGCCTCCTTGGCTTTCTCGCTGGCAAGGGACAGTGACCGGTTGTCCGTCGTGCGGAGATCCATCTTGAACCAGTGTACCACGGCATCCTTTGGCTTGACGGCTTTGCGCGCCTTGGACGTCTCCTCGAGGGCGGCGGTTAGCTCCTCGATAGGCCGTGGGATCTCGTCGTTGACGTAGGCCCGGGCCCGGTCGTTGCTCATCTCGTGGGGATAGAACTTTCGAAGAACGATTCCATGCTTCTCGGCGTCCTTGTGGAAAGGATGCGGCTGGCGTAACGGGTCGGAAGATGCGCTGCCGTTCTGCTCCGTCTTTGTCCTCTTGCGTCCCGAGTCGCTGGGCTCGGCCGTAGCCGCGGACTTGCGCTTCTGTTTGGGCGGCATTGTCGTGAAAAAATGCCTGTATCTAATAGTAACACAGGTAGCCAATAGTGTAGAGTAAAGGCGAGAAGTAATAGAAGCAGAAAATGCAGTGGTTGTCAGACGCGTGTTGCTGGGCAGCAAGACGCGACAGAGGAGCATGGAGGTGGAATGACGAGGGACAGCAAGTGGGTGAAACGCGATCAATTCTACCTAAGGTCAGGCAAGTGTGTTCGTTACATTGCAATAAACTTCCCTGAGCTCGCTGGGAGCTCCACGAGAGGGCGATGCCATTAAGCTGGGGAAGAGCTTGCGATCGGCCGATGTCTTGTGCGTCATCATGTTCCTGAAATCGGCACATCTGGACGTGCATCTGCGATCCCGTCGAGCTTTAGCGTCCCGGGGCCCTGGACTAGTGGGGCTTTGGGACCAGATTCCGATCTTTTAGCGGGGCATCGTCGGAAACAGCGCTGTGACTGGTTCGGCAGCGGGCGTCTGGGGGGCTGCTCGGTGAGGAATCTCATATTCTCGGTAAGGTCCGGTTTGGGTGACAAGAAGCCAAGCGGTCCCGGTCAGTCTCGGTGAGAATCACGTGCTGATAAGCCGCGCTGACGTTTGTGGGCATCTGCGATAAGCTTCTTTCGCGGCCAAGCAGGCGCCGACGATGTGATGCTGCTTCCATTCATCTCATCTTTTCCCATTTTCAACTTTAACGACAACGAACATCCTCCTTACTTGACAACCCGCTTCAACGCCTAAACCTTACGATCGACACAAACATGGACCCGGGCCGCAGAGCTATGATTAACTCTGGGCGCAGATCCCCCAGTCGCAGAGACCGCGAACGCGAACGAAGCATCACCTCCCCCCGGCGCGACTCCAACAATCGCATCTCAAAGCCCTCCAATCCTCCCCCGTCTTCGAGGTCACGTCAGAACAACAACAACACGAGCTCGAGCTACATGACCCAGGACGAGCAGTCCCGCCAGTTTGTAGCCGACGAAGACAAGTTCGTCTTGAAACAGGCCAAGAAGAAGGCAGACATTCGGGTTCGGGAAGGCCGTGCCAAGCCCATTGATCTCCTCGCATTCAATCTGCGCTTTATCGATACCGATCGCGACGTATTCGACGACGACGATGCCGACCTGTATCTCAGCGTCCCCTCTCCAGAGGACGTCTTGCAGGGCCTCGACGAATCACAGCTGAAAGAGCTGGATTCTGACATCACGTCCTACCACACCCTCGAGACCAACGGCCGTAACCGCGAATATTGGAAGTCGTTGCAAACAATCTGTGCAGACAGGCGGCAGAAACTGAAACCCCAGGGCCCAGACGCTCGGGTCGTCAGCACAGTGTCAGACGACGTCGACAAGATCCTGCGCCCCAAGACCTACGAGCAGCTTGAGGCACTCGAGTCCCAGATCAAGGCCAAGCTTCGCTCCAACGACGACATCGATGTCGACTACTGGGAGCAGCTTCTGCGCAGCCTGCTTGTCTGGAAGGCCAAGGCGAAGCTCAGGAAGGTGTGCGAAGCAATCAGCGAGAGCAAGGCCGACATGCTCAAGCTGCAGGATCCTGACAAGGCAAAGGCTCTGGGGCAGCAGGCCCTGCAAGCCGAGTCTATTTCCGGACCTGCAGCAGTCAGAAACATGTCATCTGAGCCTGTTAGGGCCGAAACAAAGGCAGTGTCTGTTTCATCAGGACTCCAGGGTGGCGCGCCACCAGGAACGGCTCGCTTTGCGCAGACCGGCAACGAAGACTTCTCCCAGGCTACTAAGGCTCTCTATGACCGCGAGGTCGCTCGTGGCATCGGCGAAGACGAAGAGATTTTCACGGCCGAGGAGACTGTGCCGAGTGGCTCGAAGCCCCAGTGGGCAGACAAGCACCGGCCGAGAAAGCCCAAGTACTTCAACCGTGTTCAGATGGGCTACGAATGGAACAAGTACAACCAGACTCATTACGACCACGACAACCCACCGCCCAAGGTCGTCCAGGGCTACAAGTTCAACATCTTCTACCCTGAGCTGATCGACAAGACCAAGGCACCCACCTTCAAGATTATTCGAGAACACGGCCGGAAAAGGGGAGAGTCCTTTGCAGCTGCAGGGGAGGAGGACACGTGCCTCATTCGTTTCATTGCGGGACCTCCGTACGAAGACATTGCATTCCGAATCGTGGACAGAGAGTGGGATTACAGTGCAAAGAAGGATCGCGGCTTCAAGAGCTCTTTCGACAAGGTGAGTGTTGTGGCGTTCCTACACTGTCTACACGTGGTGTCCCAGGCGCCCTTTCACTCGTGGCGGAGTCGTCTTGCATATGCGAGAGAGCCACAAGGGGGGATGAGAAAGGGGAGAAGGGGGAGGGGATGCTGCCAAAGAGCGCCCGCAGGACGGCGTTTCTTTTTCCAACTCCTCTTCTTTCCCTTCTGGCCCCCAACCTCCATGCAGTTGGAGGAACCGACCCTCCTTGAGCGTCCTCCTCCAATGTCGGGAGGCGCGAGGAGCGACAGTTTTCCGCCAGACCGCCATCTCCGCCCAGTGTCAACACCACCACAACAACACCATACCAGCCGCGACTATCTGACGCGCGCCTCTTTGCGCCCCTGTCCCCATTCCATTATTCCATCACATTGCAACCCCATCCACCCCATTCTTGGCCTGAGCTAATCTTATCCTCCCTACAGGGCATCTTGCAGCTTCACTTTCAATTCAAGAAGGTAAGGGACAGGTCCCACTCCATTTGCGATTGTCATGTACTAACAGGCTTCGCGCAGATCTTCTATCGGAAGTAGACGCCCTCAAACGCGGGCTGCTGCTCCTGCCATCAGGCCGCATATCAGATATCATCAGAGTCATCCGGGCTGGTGCTCTGGAAAAGCGTTTGGACCGGGGCTCTTGGCCGGCCGGAAGGAAAGAGATCTATCTGGCATCAGGAGAAAACATCCGCCTCACCTTTCACGTATCCGTTGGCGCTCCCACTCTCGCTGGTACCATGTACTCCCGCCGCACGCGCTGCCTTACATACTCACGCCGACGACCGCGACTGACCGCTGCGGGCCGACCTCTGGAAAACACACAATGACGCACAAACGTCCAGGCGACCATAGCTCTCGCCTTCAACTAATCAATTATCTGCTTCTCACCTCCTCGTGTTACCTCCGGAACTGGGGCATCATGCTGCCCCGGTCAAGCTTGCTGTGCCCGTCTCCTGGCCTGACTGCTGGGCCCCCCCACGATACTAAGTGCTGACATCCTGGACGACCTGATAGAATCTGAAGCACGCTGATATGGGGCATACCCGGTCTGAAGTCGGAGTACAATGGCTGCAGCAGCTGCTGATCTCCACACCATCGCAGATGAATCCACCGTCACCCTGTCACGCCTGCCCTCTCATCAGAGTTGGTGGCTCAACCCCCTTCACCGACTAGTGGAAGGGCTGAGGTTGGGGTATCATGACGAACAGCATGGCCAACATGGCGTTGGCTACACGTCCGTAAGTGCCTGCAACGATCGGTCAACCCTGTGATGCACAATGTGAAGGCAAGAAAACTCGAAACAAATCTCACAGCACGAGCGGCGGCATCTCGGCCCACGCGGGATTGGCGTCCACGGCTTCATATCGTCTGTTCTAAATCTGTTTCGATTCCGCTCTCCCCGCGGACTTCTAGAATGTGTGAATGATCTACAGGATGCGAGTAGGTGTCAGAGGAGTGATCTTGCGGTCGCCTTGCAACCCCTTCTGGGCTGGCACGCTCACCATTGTGAGGCATCGCTCATGGCACAATGGCAGTGATTGGCCGTCTCGCCAAAGACCATGCACGCTTCCGAAGGGGAAATGCTGCCTTCCGGCCTACTGCCCTTCTCCTGGATGCTCACATTTGGCTGGCTAGTTGGCTGGCCTCACTCCAGTTTTGGCAATGACATGCATCGTCTGGTCAAACTGTACCGGTGTACAATGCTTTTGTCATCTTCTGGTAGCTACTCACATCGGCCTAGGGTGGATGTGTGCAACAATCTCTCTGACGGCCCTCGCCTGGTGTTAGCCAGAGCCAGAGCCCGCGGCATGTCAGTGACTTGCCGTTGGTCTTTCGCGGCATTCTCCACTCGCACCCAAGTTGCGTGCGAAGGCCAAATGCTCTGCCCGCCGTGTGCATCATTGTGGTCACTGGAGTAGACCTCCGCTCCTGCTATCAAATCTGGCGTTGCACGCAGACGCCCTGGATCATGGGTCGACAAGCTAACGAATGGGCTTACACTTGGTGGCGTTGTTAGCCCCAACGGCCGGAGGAGACCCTCGCGGGAGAGGATAAGCCACAACCAAGCCCCGATTCTCCGTTTGTATCAGTCACAGAGACGCAGATTTGCTGCGGCGGATCAGTGCAGCTCGCAGACCTTGATGGCGCCTCTCGTCTAGTTGACACACATACAGCCATACACACACTAGAGCAAGCAGACATGAGCAGCAAGAAGAGCACACACTTCATCAACATCGACGCACACAAGCATACAGGCACCACACACATAGACACACACACATGGCCGCGGCAACGGGAAGGGACGCTAATCCAGACCAAGCCATGAGCTGGCAGGCGGGCTGCTATCCCCCCGATATCCACATGGCTGTTGGATGCTGGCACCCCTGTCCAACCCCTGTTCTTATTCCTCCACGCCCCCTCTACTTCGGTACCTCTATCGTGTACCTAGCTTTGTCCTTGTACCTGGTCGACATTGCCAAAAGAGCAACCTACATTTGTCTGCACAACACGACCGTGGGCATTTGGACGAACATCTCCCTCTAGGCTCAGGTTTTATCAAGAAGGGTCAGCGACCCGTGTCGAGGCCCTCTCTCATCAACTGTCAATGCCTACACCTCCAAGATCAACATCACTGGTCTCATAGCATTAATACCTCTCGTCGCCTCCCTCTACATCGGCACCGCAACCTCGACAGCATTCTTTATCTGATATCATACCTCAGCACCTCGTTGCATGCCCTCGTCATTGTGATTAGACACCTCGACCTCGC